TTTACGAAAGTTATTTTAATGTTTTGAGTTCAGTTAAATTCTATAATCGTGTTAATTTTAGTGTGATATTTATGAAACACAAATATAGATAATAAATAATTTAAAATTTATGCTTAAGATAAACAATAAAAATTAATAAAATAAATATTTAATATTTTTAATTAAAAATTTATGAAAATAAATACAATTTAATTTATTATTATGCTTAAGTATTATATTTTTAATAATAAAACTATTATTTATTGATTTTTATCATGTGTAATATTGCATATATTAAAAAATATTAAAAGTAACTAATATTTTTTTAAAATATAATAATATGTAATATTTTTATTTAAGTTAAACTTTACTATTATGTTAGTTATTAAAAAAATATAAAATATAAATATTTATGAAGAATAAATTAAATAAGAAAATATTTTTAAAAATGTATAAAAAAAGTATTGCAAAGAAGATTAGAGGAGTAGCTTTGCTTGGTGAATATTCAACTTCTTGTAGCAAACTCCGGGCGTTAGTTGCTGCTCTGCTCAGTGGCTCTTAAATATATGTACTTACTCAGGGCATTAATTGCTTTGACTCGATCCATGCTCGTATCGCTTTCTCGTGCTTTGAATTCCATGGTCAAACTTTTCATGGTGTCAAAATTTATGTTTTATTTGACATTATTTTTCAAAGTTTATTTTCAATATTTAAAGATAATAGTTTTATTAAAAAATCAATTTATTTTTTTAATATTTTCTCTATTTTTATCAAAAAATAAATAATTTTTTTAAGAATAGTAAAAAATAGCTATATATTTAAAATTTATAACGTATTTAAAAATATCTATAATATTCATGTGGTCTTTGATTTTGGTGAAGGTTAAAGTCGTTTGTTTGTATTGAGCAAAGCACGGTAGAGAAGCACGTACGAGCAACCTCATCCTCAAAATGACCCGAATCAGTTTCAGAATTTTTGGCCCAAAACCACCCCATGCCTTGCCTTAAGAGTAGAGAAGTTTATAAAACTAAATAGATAGATATTAATTATCAATTTGTATTTTTATGATATAAAAAAATAGTTTTATTTTGTAAACAATTAAAAAAAAACCCTCCCTCTCCGTGAATTTGTTTAAGTGAATCACATCTCGTATTATTAAAAAAAATAAAAATAAAGAAAAACTCGGGTTACATAAAAAATATTGTACAGCTAATAATAATAATGACGCCCATTAATTGAAACGCTAAATTCTATCATAAATCATGAGTTTAGAGCATTCAAGCGTCAATTAGGGATTATATTTTTAGCCTATGTGTCACAAAACTATAAGATTGCCTTACGTAGTACTAACTTTTTAGTTCCTTTTAAGCTATAATCTCCTAGTTGACTTATCTTTCGTATTCGTAAGGACTAAAGTCATCATTTTGAGGGCAAATGTTGGATGATCAAAGTATAATATTGGTGACAACTTTAGCTCGGATCTCGAAGTCGTCCTCCTATTCTTATTAAATTAGAGTAAATTTATATAAAAGTAATTTAACTTTTTATTCTACTATTTAAAAAATATATATATCAAATGTCACTTTCTCCTAATTTTCAAAACATTTTTAAGGTAACTATGCACATCCTTCTTTTTAACTTTAAACAGGCCTCTCTATGAAAAAAAAAAGTTTAAATTACTCTCTAAATTTTGTTGCTCTTTTTAAAATCAATTTTAAGGATTAATATTAAAAAAATAACACCAACTAATTAGTGAAATTAACTGTAAATCAAACAATATTACTAGTTTGTTGTAAATCATATTTCTAAATAAATTAATAATTTTAAAAGGTAAAATTGTTATTTTTTCTTTTAATTTTAAGATAAGTTTCAATTTTGCACTTTAACCTTTTTTTAAGTCCTTGTAAAAATGTTTTAAATATATCTTTTTTCATTAAAAATATTAATTCTATTAAAATTTTTAGTCATTTTCAATCACATATACTGTATTAATACTATTCATTATTTTCTTTAGACTATTGATTGTTTCATCTAGATCTTCCTCGTTCTTCTCCTTTCATTTTTTTTTCTTTTTATAATTTTTGTTCTTTTTTATTATTATTTAACATTACCTTATGTTCCTTTAATTTTTAAGTGTAACATGCTTGAGGCCGAACACATTAGAGTAACTATACAACATGGTTATACTTGAAGTTTTTAACATGTGACAAATTTCATTGTAGAAGACAAAAGATCCAATCCAATCAAAATCAACCATCCAATATGAGATGTTGAATGAGTATATTTGCTTGAAGGAGAAAAATGTGATGTTAGGTCAAGAGAGGTTCACAAAGATAAAGAAGAAAGGAAGAGAGGAAGAAGAAGAAAATGAATAAAAGGATAATTATGAAAGGGAATAGGGAGAAAAAGAAGACAAAAAATCTGTTGCATAATATACATAATAAAAAATAACAAAAAATTTTCACGAAATAGATTTTTTTTAAATGACTTACTTCAAATATTTTTACAAGTTAGATGACTAAAATAGATTAAAAAAAAAATGAAAGTTGGATGAAAAAATTAAAACTTACTTTAAAATTAGTAAAAAATACTAATTTTATCATTTTTAAATCATCTTTAAATTATTTCTTTTTTATAATTTCTTTCAATCACTTTTTACCTTTAGTTATAGTATTATGTTCCATATGATTTACTATTATTAATAGACTTTCATACATCTTTTCCCCGCATATCCAAACCACGGGAAGAGACAATTATCATCTCTTTTTAAATAGGTGCTATCCCTATTTTTTTTTTCTCAATATTAAAAATATAAAGTAAAATATGTTATTAGAAAGTATTATAATTAAAAAATATAATTTTCATTTATAAATCGAAGATACAATATCACAAGTAATTTTGACGAATTTATAAATCATTGAATCCCTACGAATTTTGTAAACTTCATTTTGTCCATTTTTTAAAGTGGTTTTTGGTGGTTACATTTTTCTTAGACATCTCACAAGCAATACCCGGATGCTGACTTTTAGTTAAAGAACTCTCTGACGTTCAACTAACACTTTGAATGCGTACTATCCTAACCCCATGCAAAGAGGACCGGGGATAGGGGGAGATGGGGAATACACTACTAGAGATCTAGCCCCCCTATCCCTCAAACAAATAAGAATAGAATCACAAGGTGTCCTCACTCTATGTCACATGACCTACCAACAAGGAACAAAGATGACCGGGCATTCTCTGTGCCACCGTTTCATGAAATTGACTGAACAGCGTATGAGTAAACATTTTAGAGCTTACATTTATTGGGTTAAGAAATGATCTAGTATTTTGAATAGGAAAAAAAAAAACACAATGATCCAGCCCATTTAACTGCCTAGTATTCATTTATTCAAAATTTTGATTGGGAAAAAAAATGATAAAAGTAATTTGATAAACATTGGAAGTTTTGAATTTAAAAAAATTAAGATTTAAAAATTAATTTGTTTTAAAGATAATATCTTAAAGCAAGTTTTGAAAAATAATTTATTTAGATGACATAATAAAATTATTTTTGAAATGTAAATATAAATATATCTTATAGATCCGATATTCAAAATGAAATATTTTAACATAAGTTACTAAATTTGACTTGCGATGAGGAATTTAAATAATTTACAAAGAACTACAATGTCAAATTTAATAACTTAGGCCATTGAGATTTTCGAGATAACCAAACCGGCTCTTAAAGGGCTCATTTGGGTGTTTTATGAATTTCTTTTACAAGCTGTAAAAAAAATCATAAAAAGTTATCCGATAACAAATATTCTAAAAGAAATAAATAAAATTTTATTGAAAATCACAATATGAATACATTAATATCATTGTATGTTATATTATTATATAAAAACTTTTTACTTTTAATTCTTTAACTAATATCTTTGGAACGTCAGCTAACATTCTGAAAAAAAATACAAGCCATTTTTTTTTTCTTTCTAGTAACTGAAACAAAATTCCGGATTCAATTAATTGAAATAACTGTATAAGAAAAAAGGGCCTTTCCATGTCGAGGGGTTAGAAAAGGAAGATCAATGATGAGATGGGGAAAATGACGTAAATTTAAGTGCGTGTTCAGATTATAATTTGCCCACATTGAACTTTGGTATAAATTGAATTTCTTCCACAAATAACAGGTTAAGTAAAATCATGATTGAATTGTTTTTTTTAACATGATTTTGGATCTGGTAAACTTGTTTGCACTTACAAAACTGCGGGTTAATACAGGTGTGCAGTTCATTTTCAATTGCTGGCTATCCTTTTCCATCATTCAAGTGTGAGCAATGCCTACAATCGTGAGAAAAAAAATGACAATAGAATCATGCTTCCAAGCGGCATCATATGTACATTTTCATATTTCCTCCCCCTTGAACTAAATACTTAACGTGATCGAAACAGCATGTCTGAGTAAACAAATATTAATTTGGTAATTCACCTACTTGCATTATTGAATACCACATTATTGCATAATTACCCGGTACATTAAAGTCTACGGTCCGACATTTTGGGAAAGGCCTGACTAACAGTTCGAACATGCTAGAAAGCTTAAATATGATTAAATATGACTTTAATCCTTCAGAAATTTTTAGGAAAATTTTCTTGTTTTTTAAAACAACCCTTGTTATCACTTAATGATTACATGATATACATTTATACATATTACATCAGCAATTTTTCTCAGGTGCCAAGTAATACGGCATTATGACCTTGTTTAGGTGAGGTTATAAATAAATCCTTATAAGAGAAAAAATTAATATAAAAAATAAATAAAACATTTTTATAAATAAAAATTAACTTATACATTTTTATTTTTTATAAGCTAATTTCATTTAACTTTAAAACTTGAAAAGATAAGTTATTTTTAATTTATGAGAGATTATTTTAAAATAAAATAAAATTTATGAGGACCAAAACCAATAAAAAATTCTTTTTAAGTGTAAAATCAAATTTAACCAAATTTAATAGGGCTAAAAATATTTTATCCAAAACTAAAAGTGTTTATGAGCATAAAGAAACTCATACCATTCCTGTCCGCCAGTTATCAGAGACATGGTTGGCTGTAAGCTGGCAATGATAGATTGGAACTAGCCCAGAGAATAAACAGGTACACTGCCAGTGAATTATTCCGTTAACTTATTTGGTCTCAAAATTCTTTGTCAGCCCAAAACATTTTCATTACCCAAGAAAACAAATGCATACCACACTAGTCTTCAAAACAGAGATTGTACTCATTGCCTGAAGTAAGTAAATTACTGATGAATAACTAGCTTGAAATAAGCTAAAGATTCATTTAAAAACATCAGATGTCAACTGCCAAATTTAAAGAGGGAAGAGGGCATAATACTTCAAGTATGTGAGCGACTGTTGTGTCCGTATTTTAATATCTATCGACGGATATTTCCCATATATATCAAAGTCATACTTTTCTAACCTTTCTTTTTAAAATGTGAAGGTAGATCTCAATGGCCTTCTAGTCACTGATTTAACTTTTGCTTTCCTCCTTTACAAGGTCTATGGATTATAGTTACACTATTTATTACCCAATCTCAAACTCCTCACCCAAGCGAGAACCTTTTGCACTAGTTTGCCAGCAGCCTCACCCTTTATTCCTTTATTTGTAATGGCTTTTCTTATATATTTTTATGAATCTGCGTTGTCTACATGAATGTTGTTCATTTTATTTTTCTTTTATTTTTGGTTTTTGAATTAATTCTGGGAAACTGAACTCACTTTGCAACAATAAGCAGATGAATTTCTATCTTTTTTCCTTGTTGAAATATTGAAGAATACCTGACAAATCTTAGCTAAAAGATTGATTGTGAAAAGTGCAATTTGGTGCTTCTTTGGTTATCTGTAGACTAGGTTAACTAACCAATTCCTCAGTCCGAGAAGGAAGTGTCAAAAAAATCTTCGACAAGGAAAATGTGTTGTCCTCTTTTTACTGCCATGGTTTAAAGTTACTCTTCCTCACATCAACAATCACAAACAACATGGGTTGTTGTTGATATAGTCAGCTTCAGTCACTATAAACTAAAGTTAAAAAAAAGAAAAGACTGAACAAACCTGTGCCTTTTAAGGGAACACTCAAATAGGTTCTTGAACCTCCTCTTCATCGTTTTGAACATCTTCCATCCTAGGTAAGTAATGTCATTATTTTAATAAGAATGAATTAATTGAACTATTCATCTATAAGCCTAGAAATGAAGGAAGGATCAATATCTTCCAGTCATTCATTCATAACCAGGTACTGTTTGCATCCATACTAGAATGAATGATGGTCATTAATGAACCACCTTAGTAGAAAAGATATGTCTATCTCCAACAGACAATTTTTTTTTTTCTTTCTTTACTGAACAAGTATATTCAAACAGTAATTTCTAAAAGAAGTTACAGATGTACCATTAAGTAAATTAGTCTTACCTATTATCTGCAAGCTTCATATCCATAGCACTTGCTTCTTTATGTTGTAAAATTGATGAGAATAACCTTTTGTCCTGACAAAAATATGCATTGCAGTTTGTACTGATATATAAATGAAATAGAATATGCTACTTAATCTTCAGAATTATAAAGAAGGATGGCGTCTAAAATCAGTGGAGCAAGAACTATGTTGTGAAACTAAAATATCAGATATCCAACTATGCAGACAGCCCTAATTTGTGAAGCAGATGAAGAATTTTGCAGCTATTCACTGATACACACAAACTTGTGTCTCTCTAAAATTGAATTTGAAGTTGAAACAATGTGCTTCCAGTGTCAGAAAAATATTATCCCTCAATGTTCTCATGTACATTTGAAATTTACAATGGATAGATAAAGTTTTTAAAAAATGGTTGACAAAATGCACAACAGACAAATTAGAGTCAATTTAGAAATTGTGAGTTAAAAAATCAAACCCCTCTACCAAAAATGATGAATTCCATTTACCTCTTCATTCATACTTGTGACAGTATCCTGAATCCTCTGTAAGATGTATCTCAAGTGTCCAACTTCATAATGTAATGCCTTCGGATAATTTTGAAAAATGTTTAGAAATCATATGAATTTCCAATCAGACATCATAAACATAATGAATAAATAAAACATTAAACCTCTTTGTCTGAAATTAAATTCTGTATCTCCACATCCTTTGCAGATAAAGTTTTCTGAAGGTGAGACCAGTTAAGAAAAGATTAAACGAGAATCTATAAATGAAAGTGCAAATAAACTTTATGGTATTTGATATAGATAACTATTTCATGCAGATACATATATATCGTCCATTTGGGCTTGGTTATTGTTGTGAAGTTTTGCTGCATCTAGCTTTGCTTCAAGCTCTGACAAGACTCTATCCTTCCTTCTTAATTCAACCTCATTGTTTTCCAGTTTATTTCTTAGGTCAGATATGTTTTCTGGAACAAAAAGGAAGGTTCTTTGGTTGGTAAAACATTGATGGTGTGTAACACAGCATATATATACTGCTATTATTCATATCATACTAACATACTTTTAAAGTGTAAGACAAGTTAACGGGATTCCAAATTACCAACAAATGCTTTTTCAAACGCAGAGACCTGATCCATTTTGTTTTTCATACTGGTCACTGAACAAAGGAAATATAAAAATAATTGAATAAGTGACAAAACTTCAATGGTTTCGATGAATGTCCACAAATGAGCACACTTTGGAAACAGTACTAGTTGGGAAACTAGTTACCAAGTTCCTCTCTATCATTGACAATGTTTTGGACTTTATCCACAATTTGCTTGATGCAACACACCTCCTTCTCTATTGAATCAAATAATAATAGATGAGAGTTTATCTTCTCTGAAAGGACATTGATCATCCTATCTTTGGTTTCAAATGAACGTTTCATATGAGAAGTAGACTCCTGCATAACCGATTCAAACCCATATACATAATCAATTGCAGTCCATAATTAGGAGAGTTTCAACCATGATCCTTTCTTATGTTGATGATATCCTCGACAACAACCAAAATCCAAATTCCCAAATTTTATGGTTTAAACCCAAAAACCCTATTCTTACTCCCTCCCACCAAGCCAGACAGAAAAGTTTCAGTTATGCTCAAACATGTGGATTAGGCACAAGTAATAGCAATTAGGACATCCACAGAATTGACGAGAAAATAAAAAGCTCAAAGCTTCCAACGGTGGCCCTTTTGGAAGTTGCTATAGTAACTTATAATTCCCTTCTAACCAAGTTTGTGTGTGTGTGTGTGTTTGGTTCCTTTTTCTTTCTTTCTTTTTTTTCTTTTTTCAAGGGATGACAGGGTGCAGGTTAAACATAGTAAGTGGGCCAAATTTTTTGTGTCAGCATGCTCTAGGTGAATAATAGATACAGATTATAAATCAGATTGAATTTACACATCTAACACTCCTTGAATTCATTTCTAGCGGGGAAACAATGATAAAAAATAGCTTACTAAGATTACATAGTTATCTGAATAAACTCACAAAATTGCCCTCACCAATTTCAGTAATCCTCAAATTTAGACACACATTGTTTATTCGTCAAGAAGGGAGGAGATGATAATTTTTTTATTTTAAATAAATATATTTAAAATTAATATTTTTCCACAATAAAAGATATAAATTAATATATTAACATTAATTCAATATGTTAATCATGTATTTATTATAATAAATGATATAATTATATTAGTTTAAAATTAAACAATATGTCTCTCTCTTTTCCTTCTCAAAAACCCTCTCCCAACCATACTCCAAAAGGTAATTAAAAACCTTCAAATTAGAAGAGGGGAAAATACCTCGTAAGCATGCACGAAGTTTTCCCTAGACTGCAGTAAATTATTCAGTGTTCCCTTCAACTCTTTCTGCTTGTTCTCAAGCATCACATTATCATTCTCTAGATAATTCACCTGCATTACGAACACAGATAAATTTATTTCTTTTAACGAAAAAAAAAAAAAAAACAATCGCATGAACATCAAATTCCTCGAAACCTTTCTCTCCAGTTTCTGGCGTTCTTCTTTGATAGAAGCCAACTCGCCCTGCAACTCCTGTATCTTCCTGCTACACTCCTCCTCATTCCGCCTCAGCTTCTGCTCTTGCTCTCGAACATAGAATCGAAAACCAAATCAGCATTAAAACCAGGGAAATAAAAATGTGATCTAATTGAAGAGAATGGAGAACCTGGATTAGATGGTGCTGCTGCTCGGCGGCGGATCGTTCCCTGTCCTGAAGGTGTTCAAATTAGTGGAAAATGAAACGGAAATTGTGATTGTTGGATTCAGAGATCGTTACCCTCAGATCTCGAACTTCGGTGACGAGGGCTTGTAGTTGGAGCTTCAACTTCGAAAACTTGAGCAATTCCATCAAAGTTTCTTTCCCCCTACTATTTCAAATTCGCCAGAAATTTATAGCCAGGTCCCCTTGCCAAACGACGTCGTTTAAAAGCAGGTGACGCGGGTTATTTATTCTCGAGTTTTGTTTTCATCAACTTTTTTAAATGTCGTTTTTTAATTTATGGATCGGGTATGAACTGCAGAACTTGAGACCAGTTTCTTTTGGGCTACAAAACCAAACAACCATTTCCCGGTACTGCATTCTAAGATATTTGTTTGGTACTAAGTGAAAGAAAATAAAGGGACAAACAAATTTGAAGTAAAAGGAAAATAGGAAGAGAAAAATTTTAATTCGTGTTTTAAAAGATTGTCAATTTTAATTTTTTAAACTTTTAAAAATTAAAATCATTTTCTCTAAATTTTAGTACTTTAAATAAAATATTAAATCATAAATTTAATTTATACAGTTTATTTATTTTTCTTTAATTTAAGCTTATTTGATAATACAAATGACAATGGAAGTGAGGGGCAAAAAGGGAGGGACAATCATGATAAATGTGGTGGACTTCTTGTAAGAGTGGTAACAATTACGATTATACATGAGATGTGTTAGAGATCAATTTTTGTTTTGTTTTGTCTTTTTTTCTTACATACAGCGTCATTAAAGCAAAACAATATATGAAGTAATAGTTTTATCCAGTTTATCGATGAAATATCCTAATCTTAACATTATGGTGTATTTTACATTACATATTTTATAATGAACAATGTCAATGTAGATATAATATCATGATATAGAAAATATTATCTGTTATATTTTAAAGTATTGTTATTAATACATAATTATTTAAAGTATAAATTTTTTTTAAAATATAGGATAGCGAGTCAAGTTGAGACAAACCAAAATATAATTCAAACCTATCTTTTAAATATATTAATTTATTTTTTAATTTAAGTCTGTCAAAATTAACTTTTGACCAGATTAAATCTAAGAATAAAGCAAGTTATGAAACATTCACAGTAATAATGCATATAACAATAATCATAACATAACAATAATTGTGGTAGCAGTAGTAAGAAAACAATAATAATAACAACAATTATCATCATAATACTAAAATTAACGATTACTACAATATTGACAAATATTATGATAATAGTAATAATAGAATCGATGACTTGTGGTAATAATAACGGTGGAACATGAAAACAATGACAATAATAATAAGTAATAATAATGGTATTAAAAAAATTTAACCGAGTATGACAACAACAATTATTATTATTATTATTATGTATTTTTTTTAAATTTTACCAGAGCTATTCTTATTTACAATTTGAATTATCAAACTTCATGCGTGCGTATCTTTCCTCTAAATAGACACCCTCATACTTGGAGGGTTAATTGTATAGCTACAACTAAGTACATTTAGGCTTGGAAGGTAATCTTAAATCGGAATTATGTTGTCTCGTAACATAACATGTCATGAGTGTCTCAAACTGGGACATTATATTACATTTGGAAAATATTTATATGTTACAATTTTAAGTTCTCATTTTTATATCAAATAATTATTATGTAAGGACACAAACCAGTTTAATTTAAAGTAAAAAGAAGGAAAATTATTAATAAATATATATTTTAAAAATCTATAATAAAATATTCTTAATATCTTCTTTAAATTTAAAAATATTATAACAATGTGATGTATAAAATTAAAAAATAATAGAACTGACTTGGCCATAGCCAGCAATGTAGCATTTAAAGCACGCCAAAATTTTTCTAACCTCGATCATCCTTTCTTAACTTGATGCTTCGAACATGATTGGATTGCAGCTGGTACCCTGTCACTGTTTACACTGGTTTGTGTCCTTACATAATCATTATATTTAACAATCAATGCTCTTCACATCATCTTATGCAGATTTTTTATATTACTAAAATTCAAACAATCATGTAAAACTAATAAATATCTGTATTTTCCCAGATAAGAAAATGCAGATAAAACTTGTAAAATTTAGTTTGCATAAATCTTTCTCCTTTGTGCATGACCATTTTGCCACAGAAAATTAACAAAATATACATTTAGTTTATTATTAATGACTTCAGTTTTAATTTGATTATTGTTACAGATTAAGTTTTTCAATCAATGAAATTATGCATCGATCAATTTGTTATTTTCTCAGACAAAATTTATTGAAATTCAGTTTATGAGGGATTAAATGATGTAGATTTTGATAAGTGAGACTTATTCTAAAAAATAATTTATAAATAACTAAATTAAATATATTTACATTAATGAATATATATATATATATATTATCGATCATATCTCAAGCTAGAGTTCTAAATTTATTTATTTATTTAAATATTTAACTTAATTATTTTTGTAAGATTTAAATTTAAAATTATTAATTAAATAAAAACAACTAATACCAATTAATCTTCACACGCGGTGATATATAAGTTTTATTAACTATGGTCTAATTTAAATAAACTAAAATATTTATAAAAAATATATATTAAAAATATATTATTTTATAAGATATAAGTAACTTATATTATTATTTTTTAAAAATTTAAAAATAAATTTTATTTATTTTTTATACTTTTTTTCAGAGTAACCTTTTTATGAATCTGTCCAAACCTACGTCGCAGAGAATTTGATAAGTCCGACAGAAACCTTGCCTCAAGTTCCAACTTGTTTTGGGTCATGACTCATGAGTATTTTAATATCATATTCACAATATATTACATTATATGTTTCAGAAAATAAATTTAAACTCTGTATATTCTTATAATTTGTTTTTTTTAGCTAAACATTCTCTTGTGTATCTCAAAATACGTATCATAATCAAGTCACCTTAAACTCGAGCAAACAAAAATGGACCTACGTTAAACAGTATGGAAGTTCATGTGGTCACTCATTTTTTTAAAAATATTATTCTAGTGTTAAGTTTATTATTTTTAAGTTTACTTCCATCATTCTGCATGTGCAATATTAGATGTTATTCTACTTCTACTGCCCTAAGTTTTTGAGTCTGACATAGGACACAAAACTTAAATGATTTACTATAATTTTGAAAGCATTATCAAGGAAGCAATTCACAGGAATGCATAACTCTTATGCTACTACCAAGCAATTATTTTGAAAAAACAATAGTTTTTCTTTAATGTTTTAGGGTTTAGGATTTTTTAAGCAAGCAAATATTTTCTTAAAATTAAGTTAAATTAAACATGCTATATATTAATTCTGGGGACAATTCAAATAAAAATTAAAGTTAATTAAATATATCTTACGGTTAAAAATTCATAGCATTTTTGTCTTGTATAAGATAGTTATACAGAAAATAAAATACAACATATCTTGTAATAAATATTTTGTTTCTGAAAAGATGAATATGACAGAAATTTTAGCAATGAAATAATAAATTTAAGAAACTAGTAATCATTTATATATAAAAAAAAGGTTAAAAGCTTGTTAAAAATTATGTTATTTAACAAAATTTTAAAAAAGAAACTCTTTTTATAGTATGATTGTAAACCTTGAATTACTTGAAGCCACAATTGCAATTGACTTATCCTTGGTGCTCCTCAATTTATAGTTTGTAGGACAGTTGCCAGGTAACTCAAAATTGAGAAAATTTTGTTCATTATCATTGAAGACTAGAAGTGGCTGGCAGATTGGCAGTTCAACAGCTTTCTCTGCAGTTCCTAAATGTCATTGAGGACATCACTTCTGCCTAACTGTACTTATAAAGGACATAAAAATTTCACCCTTGTCCCATAATTTATTATCAAGCAAAGAATCTCTCAACCTCTTAGATATGCTCATTGCAATTTAGAAAACATAAATGCTAGTTTGTAATTAGGTTAGTTTTTTTAAAATTATTTTTCAATAAAAATGTATATTTAGCAATGAAAAATATTTTGTAAATACCCTACCTAGAGATAGAAAATGATAAGAGAGAGAAAAATAACAAATATGATGAGTTATAGAATGTGATTAAAAATATTAAATAAGTGCTGATATGGTTTGTAGATATATAAATTGTAATCGATTTTAAAATACGATACTTTTTTTTAAAAGAAAACAAACATGTTTTTCTATTTAGGTATTAAAATAAGATATTTTTAAGGAAGGGTGAGGATGATAATGATACTAAGTTATTTTCTAATTCGATATGCTTATATTTGACGAAAATGACCTCATTTATTTTATTTATTATTCTTCAATTCTTAAGTTATTTTTTGATATACAAAATATATCAACATCTTTTATTTTATGAATAGTTTTTACACATTTATTAATTTAATTTAAAATAATGTTATAATTCAAAAGTTTACGTTGTATCCTTCAAGAATGACCTAAGCTTTGGATGTAATGGTTAGTAAATTAGATCAGAGCCACCGAACACTTATTTCAACAAGTTCTGCGTTAATTTAATTAACCTACAGTTTACAACAAATCATCAACGATAAATGATAGAATTAATTGATGAAACCCATATAAGCATAGGAAAATGTTACACATATCAGCCTTTTAAACAATAAAAATAGAAGACTTCTTAAAAAACATTTGTCACACTTTTTATTTTTATTTTTTACATAACTCATATTTTCTAAAATGAAAATATTACCACAACTACAGTTTCCACAGTGTATTTATATTGTTCGTCCATTTGCTTGATCATTTTAGAGAAACTTCCACTTGAAAGCTCAACACAGATGGTGCCTACCTATAAATTGTTCGAGGTACTTCAAATCTGTGACACGTTTCAACTATTAGACTCGTTAGAACATTTATAACGAAATATCTTAATGGGTTGGTTATCTTGATTTTCAGAATAATATATGTCAAATAAAACAATGGTTTCTTCGTCAAGTAATCAAAAGAGAGTAAAAAAGTTGGCTAAAGGTTGACAAAAGTTAGTGATGTAAAATGACACAAAATATTAAGACTATTGCCATATGATGAAAATTAACACATGGGGGGGCTTCAAAGTGGCAATTGCTCACTGTAAAACCCCATAAAGATAATGCATTTTGCACATGATTTTCTAGAAAAATAAACAGAAGAATAGTAAAACGTGCTGAAAATTCCCTCCAAGAGATCTTGAAATTGCAATAGCTACCATTGGATTGGAAAAACTGTGGAAATTGCAATCAGAGTCACGTACATGTGCAGGAACTGGTTAAGTGCACGAGTATAATTTATTGAGTGATATCTAAGGCAGTAAATAAGGTAACTTTCTGGCTAGTATCTATGCCTAACTGAATTTGATAGCAGATATGGCAAAGGTGTTTGGCGAGACCTGTGGATGAATCAATGTCACTTTGATAAATTGTACTTTTGCATTTACTAGTGGCACCAAATTAGGTCAGGCCCAATAATGTAAACCAACGCACAAACATTAAAAGGAAAATGAAAGGGATAGAAAGGATGGTAGCATCCAAATCTGCATGTTACAATTGGATCAAATTGAAGGGTGATTCATAAATGAAGGGGATTTGAAAGGAAGAAAGATTAGAAACGTGTCTTTAAAGTTGAGCATAGGAGTATTGTACACAGAGGCTGATTCAGATGTTGACTTAGTATATTACATGCTCTGTCTTTTTCATTGTGGATCATTGGTTCGAATTCATTCTCAAAATCAAACTATAGGGACATTTTTAAAAAAATTATAATTTAAAATGTGTTTAGTAAAATTAGCAAAATTGTTAAGTAAACACAAAGTAAAAAGATTTTATAGTTTTAAAAAGTTATCTTCTAATTTTTTATATATAACTTTTAGCATTTAAAAGTTAGTTATCAATTATTTACTTGCTTAGATATTATTATAGTGTGATAATGTGATTGGCTAAGGCCTCATCTTAAAACTCAAGCGTGGGGATCATCGTAAGTAACATGAAAAGTGTCTGAAACTGAAACAGAGCTTTCTGTTCTCTCCCAGCACCCCACCCATTCGTGGTCTCGTTTCCTCTACCAGTTTTAAGTGCAATCAAACCAACATAATAATTTCACACTTTCGAGCAGAGCAATATTATTATTAATTCAATACATTTATATTATTAATTAATCTTATTATATGCTCTTCTTCACGTGCTCATGTCTAAATTGGGTCACCCCTTTAATGTCCCAAACCAAACGCGCTTACGTAAAGTCACTGTTTTTTACATTCTTGGGTACCCAAAAGAAAAATCTAAACTTAGCAAAGCAAATCTTATTAATTAAACATACTTTAATTTGTGATTTCTAAATCTATTTATTGATGTCTAAAATAAAACTACCCTTTTACAAGGACTCTCACTTTTTGTTTTCATTTACTTTTGATTTCCCTCTCATAACTTGCATGACAATTGTCAATTATGAGATGGGGCCATCAATTATTATGAAAAAGGGGAACATCAAGGGTACAACACACTTCAAAGTATTAATTCGATGACCCCCAACCCCAAAAACAAAGTGGATCATCGTAAGTGGACAAGTTTAGTGTCAAAATCAAACAAGGTCCATGCTGGCTACTTAACTGGTGGGCCTCAAAATGCATCCAAATCAAACATAAAAAAAATAAAAAATACACCTAATAATATATTATCATTATCACACCTTATAAAATCCTAAGCATCATTGTTCAAAGCCCCAAGCATAATACTACAACAATCTCACCTCTCACGCACGTCCAAGAATCAAAACAACCATCAAGTGCTTTATTCCAATACCTTTTTCATAAATCATACGTTAATCATAATGATAATCACTTCAATTTTCAAACCCCACTACACAAATTGCGCATATATTTGATTTGTTTTAAAAACAATTTTTTTATCAGTTTATTAAAATTTTAAAATAAATAGTTGATTATTTAAACAATGACAAAAATGTAAAGAGTGTCTTATCATCAAATGTCTAAATCAATGGACGTAGACCAGTTTAACTTAATAAAAGTCTCGAATTTAAGTGTGGATAATTAGGACAATGGTTAAATAATTAATACATGTTTTTTTATTAAAAGTCGCATAAAAAATATTTTTGAAACTATAAAAATGTTTTTCAAATTCTTTAAAAATATTTTAAAAGAACGTATTAGTATTTTAAAAATATTTTAAATATACATTTATGTCAACTTTTTATTTTGAAGGATAAAATTAAAATTCAATCATTTACCATTTTTCGTTTTTTTGGAAAAAATGGGGGAAAGGAAAGAATTTTGAAATTTGAATTGAAGGGAAAATGAGAGGAATACATTTATAGTTTTTAATCGTATTTTAAAAATTTTCTTCATGCAAAAAAAAATATATTATTCATATTTTCCCCCTCATCTAAATAAAACATGCATTGTTATTGATCGGCAATTTTTATTATATTCCTTGATTAAGGTAAAAAATTAATTTGAATAAAAAATAACGCTAAAGAAACTAAAATACAAGGTTTATATTTTGTTTATTAATAAAATGCCTAATTAAGTTTCTATATACCAAAAGGAGTCATATAAAAGTTAAAAATATATTAATTTCAATATTGAAATCCAAAGACATTGTAACAGAGTTTTCTCAAAGTAAAAAGATATTGTTTTTGAAACAATAAGAATCAATTATAGCAGAATTGAAAATTTGTCAATACTGTTCAACATGGCTTGTTTTTAGTAAAAATAAAACCTAATTATTCAGAGATAAAATTGACTGTGAGAGTCGAAACACAAACTTAAACAGACTCAAAATAACTATTTTGATCTAAGCAAGCAAACATAAAATTTAATTAATTAAAATTGAAATCTTTAACATGATAAAACATTAACAAAAAATAAATTTTAAAAAGAAAAAAAAAGAGTGGGGGGAGTGATATATGGAAGTGACTTGGGTGTGGGAGTCCCGAGGAGAGGGAGTCTCTAAAACATTGAGAGTAATGCTATAAACCACTCTGCGTTCCGCTCTTCATCAATGCCACTCTCTTTCCTTTCTTTTTGAACCAACCAATGGATCCCGCCGCCATCATCAACGCCACGTCGTTTCACTTATCAGAGATCTGGCACTTCCTTCCGCCCAATGCGCCACAAAACCCAACCCCTCAGTTCGGGGATTTCGCTCCGCCTCCGACCCGACACTCCCTTCCGGGTACCGACCCGATAATTCCGCCCACCATTGCCCACAACGGAAAAAAGAGACGCGACTCCGAGGAGGAACCCGCTAAGGGCGTCTCCACCAGCAATGGCGTGGTACCTCACTATTTCGCTCATTCAGTGATCTACAATTTTTAAATAATTAAAATGGATCTGCTTTTTTAAAAAAAAAAAATTATTTGAGCTTCATTTTTGTGTGCAGAACGAGGGTGGTGATGGAAAACGTGTTAAGACAATAGGGAATAGGAGTGAGAATAGTAAGGGCGATGCAGAAGCCAGTTCAGGAAAGCCTGCGGAGCAAGGTTGTAAGCAACCTTCTGAGCCTCCTAAGCAAGACTACATTCATGTACGAGCTAGAAGGGGTCAAGCTACTGATAGCCATAGTCTTGCGGAAAGAGTAATTTTTCTTCTTTCTATAAGCTCTCTATTACCCCTTTTTTATTATGTTGTTTAATTAGCATTTTGGTTATTTTTGTATTTGTAAATTATTGTTTGCTTAACCGGGATAAGTATAATTTAGAGCCAGCCATTCTCATTAGTGGTAAGAAAAATTAATTCCTCTTATTATAATAATGGGTTTGTTAATATTATTTCTTAGGGTTTATTTTATGCATTTTTTTGGATGAAAAACATTCATTATATTGAAAATAAAAATGAGTTAATAAATGTATACTATTTTTGATAGGTTAAAATCTGTCCTACAGGTTAATGTTTGCATTTGCATTATAATAATGACACCTGGTTTTGAATAGCTTTTTTTTTTTTTTTTTCCTGATTTGATTTTCTTTTCTAATAAAATTATTTGGAAGTTACTAAATTTAGAATGTTGACTGCAAGGGAGTATGTATTATAGCAATATAGAAAATTTGCTCAGCTTAAGGGCGTTTCGTGTGGTGGAAATTCCGTTCCCTGAAAAAGTTGGTTTAAGATATATGAAACTGTATTACTGCTAGTATCTTTATGGAAATTAGAGGGAATGCTGAATTATTTGATGTTTTTAAGTTAGTGTTATTTAGTTTTCTGATGGAACGCTGTTGGACAGGCTAGAAGGGAAAAGATTAGTGAAAGGATGAAAATTCTTCAGGATTTAGTCCCTGGTTGTAACAAGGTATGGTTTTACTGCCTGTTTAGTTTTGTCTCTGCTCCCAGTACATATGTATTACTAAAAGAGGAAAAAATAAGCATAAAGGAAGAAGAAAGAAAAAAAGAAGAAGAAATGTTGCGTATCATATGAAAAGAAAAAGAACAAAGTCATCAGTGGATTGTGGTGTATGAACAACTCTGGTACGATGACCCTATTTGTAGCATGGCTGAAAATCATTCCTCATGTTTGATGTTATGTGCTGTGGTTTCTGCGAAATAATAAATTGAGCATTGAGGAATTTGAATTTTCTTTGATTCAGGTTATTGGGAAAGCATTGGTCCTTGATGAGATAATTAATTATATCCAATCGCTTCAGCGCCAAGTAGAGGTGTGTATTTTTTATCTGATGTTGGCACTTCTAAAATTTAAATATGATCAGTTGTTGATTTTTTATAGTTGTGATTTTACTTTATGCTAGTTTTTGTCAATGAAGCTTGAAGCAGTAAATTCTAGACTGACCCCTGGAATTGAAGTGTTTCCTCCTAAAGATGTAAGTGTTGAACGGCATCCTTATAATTTTACATTGACCTCTCTTTAATGTATATAACTTGAATTCTGGTTTTATCAATTATCCTCCTTTTCTTAAACTGTCTTTTGGTGAGTTATAAGTATAACTGAATCTGCTATATTTCAAGGATGTCCTTTTGGGTAGAAGCTACTTTTACATACATTATTTGTGGCAAAATTCAACCTATGGAAACATAAATAGGGATTAATTATCTAAAGTTTGTCATATAAGGCAGGAAACAATATTGAATTTGCTTTGATTTTATACTTGCTGAGTAGGTGTTATGTATCTTCTTTTCTTCTCATTTGTAAAAACAAGTACATAAAGTAGACCACAGGACCATACATTGAATTGGTGTTTTATTTGCACGTTTGTTTACTGGAACTTCGCTAATTCTCAGTGGAATCTTTAATTGCTTCCTTCCTCAAATAAATGATATACTTCAGGCTGCTTTTCAGGATTGAATAGTTCAGTGATAACTGATACGAAAATTAAAAAAATTTGATAGTAGATGATAGCAAAAGGTAGGAAACATTCTTTTGTGTAAAAAAGGGTGAACATATAATTTTATAGAAATCCACCCTGTAACTAAAATTTGGCTCCATAAAGATTCAGAATGGTTGGAATTCAGTTTTTCTTCCTTGTGGGCAATATCACTGGTCTTATAAGACATCAATTTTTTTTCCAGTTTGATCAGCAAACATTTGATACAGCCGGCATGCCATTTACTTCACAAGCTACAAGAGAGTATAGTCGAGGTTCATCACCGGATTGGTTACATATGCAGGTGGGAGGTGGTTTTGAAAGAGCAACGTAGTCCATGAAATCCCATCACCTGATAATAAATGCATATACGGTCAGCAGTGTCTGCTTCAGAGCTCCCATAACTCATATACTCAAGGTGTTGCAATGGACACCTCATTCTCGTTTTCTACACGAGGGCATGGAGCTGTATTTGTTTCCACATGATCGCTTCAGTTAGTACTTAAGCAAACTCCATTTGATAGTGTGTTCCGAAAATGAATTCATTTACCCAATTTGTAGCTTAGTGGACTATAGGGTTTCCATGCTGATACTCTTCATAACCTTTAAAATGATTATTATTCTTGTAAAAGAATGCTGCTTGTCCTGAATACATAATTCTTACATATTGTGTAATAGTCTCAACATTGTTGTTTGTCTGTGAAGCTATGTTGAATAAATTAAATCCATGTGATTCTTTTAACTTTTTAGTTTAGTCCCTTGAGGCGCATAAAAAGATCTTAATTGCGTAGAGTTTACGAATGTCAATTAATTTATTGACTGCTAAATAGTTTAAGGATTCAATGTACATACTGTAATGCCGTACATGTAACACTAACACAACAGAAATAAGCTATAGGTTAACCTGACTATGCAAAAGTCAAAAGTTGTAACCCCAATCATACTAATAGATGGAAAACCTTTAATTGCCTTAGATTTACTGTATTTCAATTGAAAACTGTTGTTTTTGTTTTTTGGTACTTTTCAGTTTACACACAAGATGGATTTCGCCCATCTGGTGATGGAACACCTTACGCAAGTGACAGCGATTTTCATACGTCAACTATAGAGCTAGGCAAAAAGAAGAAATTAAAACACTTGGGACAAAATTTGAACGAATAAACAGCTTTAATTTTCAATAAAATCTCAAGATAAATCCAAGCGATTACAGGTCCAACTTTCCTAATGTGTGCATACACACGTCACATCTACTTTAAATGTTAGAAATGATGAGCAAAATGATCTAAAATCTAAACCAAAACTGCCAGACCTCAAAGTCGTGTTTTTTGCATTTCATGCACGCACATGACGACCTGAAGAACTAAATAAAGATAATTGAATAGGCTTTAAGTTTGTGGTGCTCATGCTGCAACCCTTTTTGTCTAACACGTTCTAAGAAGCAAAAGGCTTTTATACAGGATATTTTTTATGATTTATACAAGGCTTTTTGCAATACTACCATCAAATGTCAACTGAATTGCATAAAAAATTTAGTTTTTCTTTTAACATCTTGTTAATATTAACCCTAGTTATTTCTAAGTGGGTGAATATAGATTAAAGCCTTACTTACTGCTAACAAATTTTAGTCTGATATGGAATATTGCATTGGATTGCATTAAAAATACAATTATAACTCCAGAAAACGGTCTGCCAAATCAATAATCAGAGAAATTAGAATTGCATCGTTCAAACAATAAAATAATATAACATCGAATTATTCCATGTATATTCGTGTTCATCTGAATGCATACATAAACAATTTATAATCAACAGAATCAAATATGTACCCCAAGAAAATTCCATTTCTGCTTTATAAGAAAATTGCCATCAACCTAAACTTACAAAGGCCATCTTTTGTTTAATAAATTCAAAGAAAGTTTTAGGCAACGGCACCAAAGGAATTCCCCCTTTGATTGAAGCTATTCCCACTTGACTGAAAGTAAGAAACTGCCGCCCAAATTACACGCAGAACCAGAATTGCAGCAAATACAGTGCCTCCAAGTGTGCAGATAACCTATGATTCATGGTCAATATTCACCACTTGATAATCAATTTCCCAATTATAAAGCTAAGAATTTTACTATGGAAATACTGAGATACTCCAAAACCACAGTTCAGCCTTGCATGTATATTCTATGATCACAAATTTATGTTTTCCAAGCCCTGAAACATAAGAATAATCTAAAGCCTGTTCCACCTATATGGTCACCTACATCCATCATTTGTTAGTAATTAAGATGCAAATAACATTTCAATACATGAATTCTGCAAAAATGAGATTCTAGTTGTGTAAAATAAATAAGACAAAATGCACATTTTCCCCCTAGATAGTGTAAGAGAAATATTATTTGGACACGCTTTATTGTAAACTACCGACATATCTCTTATTTACACCTCAGGAAAAGGCTTGATTCACAAACATGAGATTTTCCCATGACAAGGCATATGAAAATTCAACCCAAGAAGATCTATTTCTCAATTCAAGCAGGGTTTATAACAAGGGGAAGCAATACCTCAAGAAGTGCTTTGACAATAGAAAGTGAAGCAAGTAGCAGAGTCCCATCAACCGCAAAAGAAACCTGAATTTCCCCATTCACATGGAAAGATATAAGAGAGCACCCAATGATAAATTCAAATATTAATTCCCAGTACATGAGTTTTCAGAAAAGAAATCAAAGGTACATTCAGCATTTGAATACGTGTCTTCAGCTTCTTTTCTGATGAGTTTTTAAGAGAGAGAAAGAAGGTTATGATTTTAACCACTAATTTGGCTTGAGTAAGACTTGAAGGGTTTAAGAATTCAATAACATGGCATTGTCACATTAGAGAATCTCGTAAATTACATGACTAAGCTCGATGAAAAACCAAATTAAGACATGGCATTCTCGTTCTATCTTCTAACATGAGAGGATCTCATAAATTACAAGACTAAGCTCGATCAAAAACCAAATTACACCTAATTTCGAAAATTGAAACTTGAAAAGTATAACTGCATAAGACAAGTTTAAATTAATAGAACCATTGCCAAAAATTATTACAAAGTTAATAATAAGGGGGGCAAAAAGAAAAAGAAGGATACTTCTAAGCTACAGCTCGAAGCAATATTCAACAATCAACCAATAATTGGTGATACACATAATTTTTTCTTTCGGATACAATGTAAAATCTTTTTTATTAAAATTTCTTATTAATACACTCTCACTATGATTTGTTTAAGCATCTGGACATAATTTACAATAAAAAAATTTTATTTATAAATTCCTTAATCAATATTTAGCAAGATCCAGTAATTATCCGGGACCGCTAATCAACTAACTTGAAACATAATTTGGTAGCTACAATAAAACTAAAAAGTAAGAAAATTGATGATTCCCATTTGAAATGAAAGGTCACAAGCAATGAACAAAAAGGGAAACTCACAAGCTGGGGCGATATCACTGTGGGCAAAACAGAGCGAGAGGCCTTCTTAGCCCGCTTTGAAACCTTCTTGAACATGCTCTGCAAGAATCTGATCAACAAATCCACACTGCTCTCTGCATCATCCTCATCCTCATCACCCTCGTCAACCCCATCATAGTCATCAAAACCCGCTTCATCCATCTCATATGCATCTCCCCCACTTGAGCTATTCAACTTAAGAACCGAGAAAGGTTAAATAAAAAAAGAGAACCAAATTTGAAAAACAATTGGGTCACTTTTCAGGTATGCACGAAGAAAACAAATATCCCATATCATATTATGTTATATATAAATATATATATACACCTTGCCATGGCAATTGATGATGATGGGCTTTGAACGATGGTTGTGATAGAATCCGGAATAATAAAGGGGTTGGTAAGGAGAGGGAACATTGTTTGTTGAGAAGTGGCGAAGCTTGGAGTGGGGAGGGCGCGTGAGATTGATCAGTGTTGCTGTAGCTGAAGTAGCTACTGCCATTTGGGACACAACATGAAGCTTATTGGGTTTTATGTTATTATCGTTTGGAAGGGGAACAAAGACAACAACCTTTCTTTCTTTCTCTCTTTTTTTTTTTTGGTTGGTGTTGATGAACAACAACCTTAACCTTGGCATATACTTTTATGGATCATTGGATTCTCTGTCTTTTGCCCTCTGATGTATGGGCTTGGGCATTAACCCGGCCCAAAAATATTATCAAAGGGACAAGGACAATAGTTTTTCTCCCCATAAATTGAAATGATTGTCATTTGTATCACTTTTTTTCACTGTACTGTATTTTTTATTGTGAATTTTTAAATTTAATATCTGAAAGCAATTTTATATTTTTTAAAATTGATTTAGAAATCATAATTTTTTTTTTTAAATTCAATCATGAAAGTAATTATAAATCATTTTCTTAATTTAACTTTCATGCTTTGGTTGTTATACAAAAATTTTGTTAGTATTTAGTTCTTAATATTTTAAAAGAGTTAAAAAATTATGTTTATGAAGACTAAATATTAAAATAAAGTTATGAAAAAGAATAAATTTTTTTATAAAAACCAAATTCAAAATAACAATATTTATAAGAACTACAAATTTATTTAAGTCATGTAAAAGGTATTGTAAAAAAATAAAAAAGAATATACGTTTGGTACATCCTCTATCTAGATTAATAAGCTTGTGTTGTTTTAAAATTATGTAAAGTTGAGTTTAATAAAATAAATTTTACACTGTTTAATGTGATTGAACTCTGATGTTTTCATGTTGAATTGATTTAATATATCGTGGATACGAAGACTTTACATCTCATTCATTCTTCATGAAATTTAATCAAATTTCATTAGTTCACTTATGTCTATTATATTGTTATTAATATTTACTAAAAGTATTTTAAGAATAATATTAAATAAGATCTTATAATCAAAACAGCTACTTAATACAGTAGTAGATTATATTTATTATTTTAATATTATTATATTAAAAAAATTCCAGATCTTTGATATTATTTAAAAAAAAATCATGATATAACTCCTTAGCTATTCAATTGTTTCAGCTATTAGATGTGCTTACTGATTCGACTAACCTAAATTTCAACTTCATTTTTGGTGTTATATATATATATATATATATATATATATATATAGGCTTAGAACTTGATAAATAATAGAGTGAATTTATTTGCTGTGTTTATCTGGAACTTGTCAATTTTCTATAGATTTTGTTGTTAGATCGTATATTTTAAAACAAAAAATAGTTAATGAAACAAGAAAACAGTGAGAACTGGCTGCCATAGATTGTTAATTAGGTTATGATGATTTTTTAACTAATTTTTCAATTTTTTTTATTGCTATCGAGATGTATTTGCGTTAGGAAATAGTTCCTTTGAGAAGATAAAGGAATCTCATATTGAAAGGGTCAACATCCTTTAATTTTGGGGAGGGGGAAGAGTTGTGTTAATTGATTCATTGATGTCTAATTTATCATTATATTTCTTATATATTTTTAGGACACTATGTAAGATGAATAAGATAGTAATATTTAATTATATGTTAATTTAACAACTTTAATCACTCAGATAAATGGATGCACACAGAAAGGATTGATCCTATTTTGAACATGTTTTGATTTTATATTCTCTAAAACTATCTCGTGATATAATTTTTGAAAAAATAAATTACATGGTTTTTTTTCCAACAAATTCACCAAGTGTATTTCATATAAAATTTTCAAAATAATACACTTAATTTTTTTTATATATACATAAATTTCGTGTAATCGTGAGGAGTGTCTTATTAATTTGTTTAGATAAATTTTAAAAAACGTTATTCTTTTTAATGTATTTAGTTTAAAGTTGGAAAGAAGTTAAAATCATTTACTTTAATCATAATTAGAGTTTTATCTTTATATTCTATAACATAAAAGTTAGTAATAAAAACCAACATACCATATCATCAAAAAAAAAAAAAAAAACAACATACCAACATAAAAAAATTAACACATATCATTGAGATAAAACTTTAATTTTAATTAAAAATAACATCAACAACACTTCTTGCACCTAAATTTTATAAAAATTGTGGAAGAAATAATGTTGGAACAAAACTTTTTTTTAGTGTTGTGACCATCAAAGATCAAACCATAAGGGTGTTGACCAAAAAAAAAGAAAAGAAAAGAAAAAATATTTAGCACTTGTTCTTGCAAGTGCTACAATGATGCACTCTATATGTTTTTGGATGAATTTGATTTGAGATTTAAGTTTTCTTTTGCCAACGGTTATTTTATTGTCTTTTATTTGTTTTTATTCAGTTTCGTAATATTCAAGAAGACGTTAGTTCTTCTAAAACTTGAGATATTCCTAAGCATACTCGAGATATTAATTAAATTAATAAAACTTGTACTATCTAAGTTTTTTACTTTTTTATAATTAATAACAATGCTCTCACACTATTATTATTATTGTCATCTTTTAACTATTATTATTGTTTGATCATCATATACACTACCAATTCTCTAAAGATATATTTAAAAAGGAAAAATTTGAAGGAAAGAGTGAAAAATATATTTTTTTTTATTTTAAACTAAAAATATTATAATAAATGGATAAATAATATATTTAATTTATTTTAATTTATCAATTTATATATTTTTTAAAAAAATATTAATTTTAGATGTATTTACTTAAAATACAAAATATATTTTTCTTTCCTTTTTTCTTCAAAATTTCTTTGCAAATAATCTCTAACAAACTTTCAATTTAATTTACAATTTTAATCTCATGTTAACTTTTTATTCACCCTCAATGTAAAATTTGTGATGCTTAATGTTTTTAATTTTATCGTCTAAATAAACACTAAGGTGTGAGAGAATAGTTTTACATTCAATGCTTTTATATTAGGATTTTTAGTCATTAAAGGTATATTTTAGGCACGGAAAATATCAGTCCTTTTAAATCATGAAAATAAACCAAACGGGCTTCAAATTTTTATTAAAGTCTTACATATCTATCAATAATTATATTCTGGTCAGTATGTTTAAAAAAACTAGTTATGTATTAGTTATATTAAACTTTATTTATCTATGCTAGTAGTAATATTTTAATCTGAAATTGTTTATTAAATAGTTCCAAATATTAATTGAGCCTACATTTATGATTATTATTTTTTCAAGTCTTTGACGACTATCATAATAGTATAATTGATATTTGATTGAATTAGATGTGATGATTAGACAAAGTTGTCATGAATTCACAAACACCAAAAGGACTTGACATTTCATGATTAGAAATTATAGTAAATACATTAATTACTCATTAAATAAAATAGTAATAATTTTTTTATAAAATAAATTATACTTATTTATAGTTTTGTGTGTTTAAGCTATTTTTTATTTTCTAAATTATTGAATCCGTTTAAATTTTAAAATAAAATAAAAGGATAAATTTTAAGTGTAGTATCTCATAAGTGATTTTAATAGTTTATTTCAATCAAAATCAAAATTTTATTTTAGTACCCTATACAATACATATTGATATTAAAGGTTATTGCAAATCGTTGAAGTTAACTTTTGATTCTAATTAAAAAAATGCATCGCATTGCGCTAAGCAGAAATAATAAATGTTAAATTATTTTATCTTTATTTGATTTATCTATGAATTTAGGTTTAATAATGTAAACAAAATCAATGACATTTATAAATACAACATTTAAGAGTCTTAGTTTAAAAACTATAAAAAATAAATTAAGCAAATATGAAGTTGTAACAGGATAAAATATTTGAAATCTTCTCAATATATATATATATATATATATATATATATATATATTATCTTTAAAATTAAATTTAACATTAAAATTAAAAAAGACTAATTTTTAATAAAATTTATTTCACTAAGATATGATATGGTTAAGTAGGATTGCTGAGATAAAATTGTTGGTGATTTAAGTTAGTATAATAATTCTTTAAGTTTTTTTTTTTTATCATGCGTTAATTTTTTTAAATGAAACAAATGGAAAAAAAACTTATTTTATAATAATTTTTGTCTTTAATTCTATTAAATATCATTTTTTAATTTTAAGTGGTTAATAATAAAGTTTTTAAAAAGTTCAGCTGTGTATATAAATTAAATTAATAATATTTTGACAATAATTATTAATTTTTTAGAAATATAATAAATTAGATTATTTCTTGTAATTTAATTTTATCTTAATAAAATATTGATACTTAAAAAAATTAACGGTATATATTTTTATATTTTATTTATATTTTTAAAATATTTAAGACAATATTAATTAATATCTTTTAATTATATATTTTAATTTTTAAATATTTTTTTATACACTTGTGACAAATAAAAGATATTTGACAATGAAATTATATTAAAAAGGAAAAAATTGAATACAGATGGTACAATTGATTGAACTTTTAATTTATGTATTAGTATATTTTAAGATGGATAGACTATACAGTGTCAAATTTTAGTCAAAGAATTTACGGTCAAACAATTGACAGTGGCTCTTTCAAATGGCAGCAGTCTTAATAAAACCGCAACGGGACAATAACTTTGTCGTTTCATCATCTTCAACTTTCTACTTGCATTAACATTGCATAACAAAAACGTAACATCATAATCATAACATGATATAATAATGTTAATGAACACAAGTCACAAGGGGTTCTCTGTAACGGAATTTCTACGTGGCACCTCACTTCGCAACCATTTCCACGCTCTTTCCTCTCGCGTCCTTTTCCCCACTGCTTTATTCTATAATCCAAAAATGATATGTTCACTGCTCAGCTCATACACATACAACAACAACGTCACCAATTATCATATTTTTCACTTCATCTTTACTTCTTTCTCTTTAGTTTAAAGTTTTAATACAAAAGTTTAAAATATATTTAATAATCTTTTTTTATAAATGTATTATACATTTTTTATAGTCATTTTAGAATTTATTTCTATAATGAATAAATAAATAAAAATAAAACTGAGTTTTTTTTTTAAAGATTACAATTATTTATAATTATAAAATTAATTTTAAATTAAAATTGTAAAATATGATTTTAATATAATGTAATTAAATATAATTTTTATTGTTTTTAGTGAATACAAAGGAATCGCATAAATGTAATTTGAAACCCGGGAAGGTGCGCGCGTGATACACGCACCTTGTCCGGGAAGCGCGAAAAAGGAAAAGCAGAGCACGAACACCAACGCGGGTTCGGAAGTGGAAGCAAAACCAACCCAAAGCAAAGGGCAAAAATGGGAACAAGAAAATTTAGGGGGAGCATATTGGCAGCAGTTAGCACTTAGCCGCAGAAAAGAGAAAGGAGTTGAAATTTGAAACGGAAGGAAGGGACTGTTGAATTGGGAAAAACGCATGGGATAGAAGATCTCAACCGTTATCTTATTTCTCTCTCTGTGAGATCGAGTTCCACAATGAGCCACCGAATCTCTTCGTCTCGGTCGATTCGACTCGGCCGAGTTCAGCCTCAAGCGCCTGGTCACCGCACCATCTTCTGCAACGATCGCCAAGCCAATCTTCCCGTTCGGTTTAAGGTTCGCTTTCCAGTCACGCATTTCCCTCTCTGTTATCTTTTCCGTTTTCGTTGCTAAGAGAATCATCGAGCAATACTAGAACTGTAACTGTTTACTTGAAATTCGTCAATTGTTGATGGAAGTACAGGAGTTAAGGATAGATTTATTGTTTGAAATTGAGCAATTTTGTTGAGTGAGGAAAGCAAAGCTATTTAAGTTTAAGATTTTATCGGTGGAGTTATGCTGTTGATGCTCATAACTGTATAAATTGTATTTGAGAATGGAAGGCCATTATGTCTATGAATTAGACGAGTTCTATGTGAAATATTATTTATTGTTAAAATTAATTTTTAGTATTTTTTTTTTTTTTTTTTTTGTATTTTGCTGTTTCACTGAACTTATCATTTGAAAGAAGATAATCTAACGCACTGAATGGGAATTGACTGAGGAATGGCATTTCATTTAAATAAAAAGAGACAGAGATATGCCTGCGTACAGACAGATTAACTTTTGTTGAAGCTAAGCAAGATACAACAAAATGGAAACAAGAAATAAAAAACGATCAGGATTGTTTGATTTTGACTTTCTTCCTTCCCTTTATAAGGTTGGGATAGGAGCCATCTTTTTTTTTTTTTTTTCAAATTAAATAATGAAATAAAAAAATGCGAAAATTTATTCTAAAGGCGGGTAGAACTAGCAAGTGTGCATTCATAGGTTTTATTGGAAATTTTAAACTCATGTTAATAAATGGTGAATTGGTATGAGAGATGTTGGAATCTTGTGAAGTAGCCTATTGCTGACTGAATTCCCATTTTCCAAGAGAAGGTAATTAGGTTTCTACCTGTTTGAAGCCTTGAACCTTTCATATAATGTTGGATCAAAGACCTTCATATAAAGATGTCGTGTCTAATGATGCCATTTTGTTCATGAGCCAGACATTTGTAGAATAAAAATGTTTAACTATAAATGTACTTCATAGTTCATATACTTTGACTTTAGCCTAGTTTACCAGTTTGTCGTGGTCAAGTGAGCTGTCTTGGAGTCTTATTTACAGCTAGTTAGTTATATCGAATCAAAATTTTCCTTTATGTTTTAATTAAATAGCTAAGTTAATATTCTGTCTGCAACTTCATGAAATTGGGAATTTCTGCTTCTTATGTAATATTATATTGAATATTTCACATACCTTGATTTGAAAAGTTTGGTCAATTAATATTTATTATTATGTCAGGGGAATTCAATATCAACTACAAAGTACAACTTTTTCACTTTTCTGCCAAAAGGATTGTTTGAACAGGTAAATTACTTTTAAGCATTTTTATTCTTGAGAGTATATGAGATGCATTTGATTTCCATTTTGAGAAAAAGAAAAAAGAAGCTTTGCCTGCCATATGTAAAAGCTTGTGCTGTTTGGCAGCGATATTTCTCACCAGACTTTCATAGTACACGTCTACTCTTGCAGATGACATATCTCTTGTCTATACTATTTCATATATTTGAGCATTTATTACAATTTTTATGATTCTATTTTTAAATAAATAATTAAATAATTTTGGTTGGTTCTAAGTAGATGATGTGTGTGCCTTCAGGATTGTTTAAGGTACTCTGTAAATTGCTGACCATATACATTTTTCCATCTCTTTTTATAATTCAATTCTCTTAAATTAGCATTCTTTCCATCAGTATTTATGCAAACTGCAAAATCATGTTGGTGTACTCAAATGGATTTTTTATTTATTTGTGCAAGAAGAAAATGGCTTTTATGTCTTGCTTTAACATATGTGTAGAGTAGTTAAAGCAATATGTCCCCAAAATAATTTATTACTTCTTTTGTCTTAAAATCAATTTATTGCTGGTTGAGGGTAAATGTGTATGTGTATGATGAGCTAATGTGTTCAGTCTGTTGCCAACACACCAATGCTTTTCTTTAACTGAAGATGTAAATTCCTGTTTTTGTTACAGTTCAGGCGGGTTGCTAATCTCTACTTTCTTACGATCTCAATTTTGTCAACCACACCTATCAGGTATATCAATGCTAGTTTAGCTCACAGTTAAAAGATTGCCTTTTCTATTTGCAAGCTTATTTGTAAGAAAAGAGTAGTATACTGACCAGAGGGGATGGGAACACTTTATTTTCTTCAGTTGACCTATTATCTTCTAGGCAATTTGTGCTAGCTTTTCCAGTTATTTAACTCTTATTTGAAAGAAGCAGTATTTTAAGATATTTTTATCCTTAAACTTGGGCTTTCATGATGTTTGTACAGTCAGTGCCAATGTTTCTATCATATAATGCTTCATATTTGATTTGGACTTTCTCTATTTTTGTTTTTTTTTTTTTTTTGTTAGTGCTTGACCACTTGAGTATTCAAGTTGACAAATTATTAATTCAGCTACAGTTGTACAAAGTGAAATGATCTATTTGAAGCCTTCTTTGATGTCTTGTTGAAAGTAACAGCTTTTAGCATTTTATTATTTTAGTTGTATCTTGCTCATTAAATTTATAATATGGTTTGTTACTTTGTCCTGTTTATCTTGCACTTGTTTTATGCTTTTGTGTCTTCCTTTAATGATTGCAATGGTGATTAATAAGTAATATGTTCTTGATCTGTTTGTATGAATTTTTTCCAAAAATTTATATTTTGTAATTTAATACAAGTCTAATTATTGCACAAAAAAGTGAATAAGCTTAATTAGCTACTGCATAATATCTGATGTTGCAGCCCTGTGTCTCCAATAACTAATGTGCTTCCTCTATCTCTGGTGCTTCTCCTCTCTCTTATTAAGGAAGCTTTTGAGGACTGGGTGAGAATGCAATTTACTCTCGCACTTGCACTGTCTTTTCTATATGTTTTTGTAAATCTTGGGCCACCGTAAGGGAATTCAGGTGTCATCTTTCTGGTAGTTGTTTTTGCTGGAAAGTCCAACTACAGATCTTATATGAGAGTTTTGATGGATAATTATGTAGAAATAAACATTGTATACAGTTTACTTGAAAGTTTGTCAATAACTAAGGGTTTTCCTTGACATATGCAGAGTTATTGGACAACTTTCCTCATGCTTTATTTTTCTTTGTTTTTTTTATTTTCCCCTTTTCATTACGTAGTATCCCCTATGCTCTAAATTGCATGTAGTTCCGATGCTTCATCTTAATGAATTTATTATTTATATGAAAATAAATATGGTTATGACTTCATTCCTTGAATTTTTCTGATGGCATCCTTAGTTGGATATTGCCCACATTTGTTATATTTGATTATGGCAGTAGTATTGTGTCTATTCCTGTTTCTGATATATTTGCTTTAATTGTGTAAAACAGAAGCGTTTTCAAAATGACATGGCTGTGAATAATAATATGATAGATGTTTTGCAAGATCAAAAGTGGGTAGCTATACCCTGGAAAAAGTTGCAAGTTGGTGACATTGTAAAGGTGCGTGTAGTATATGTCAAGATTTATTTTACATTTTAAACTGGTGCTTATAAGGAACTCTATGACAAAATAGATTGAATGCTTTCAGATCTTATGTTGATTATCATGTTTTTTGGCTGCAATCTTCCTATCTTCCTTCACATGTTCAAAATAATGCTATTTTTCTACATTTGATAAAGTTCTCATTACCTTCCAGAGAAATCCCTTTTCATCATCACTAGCCAATTGCTAGATAACAATTGTTGTTCCAGATTTGTGTGATTCAATATGAATATGGATGTGTTGGGATGAGCAGCTCAATTAAGCAATGATTCAATAAGCTCTTATCGCATGAAAACTCATGACATAAATTTGAACATGAACCTAATTAAAAAGGTAAAATCTATGATACCCTGGTTAAGTGAGAGGGTTTGGTACCCTTTCTTACATATGGAACAATCTTAATTGTTAATTTTATATGGATAGATAATGGAGTTAGTGGTATAGTTGAAAAAGACGTTAATGCCCTCTCATATTTAAGATATTAAAGGAATCACAACTGTTAATCTAAAGAGAGTATAGAATACCCTTTCAAGTTTATAGGTACCACAGCAAGCACCAAAAAGGTAAAAAGTTTATTTTGATTTGTTGTACAAAAATGCTTTTGAGAATCATAAACTGTTTTCATAAGTTCTTCCAAACTCCACCGGAGAATGATGTTCTATCTCTCTAATTCCCCTTTTCTGTTCATGCCTGTGTGTGATGTGGTTGGAAGTCTTGTTAATGTACACTTATGCAGTATTTTATTTGGATATCGAAGTGACTTTCTGAATGAATAGTATTTTTTTCTTGCAAAACATTTGCCGTCCGGGCTGAAATATTTTTTAGGAGCTTTCCTTTTTACTGGTCTTAGAAAAACTGACTGGGGAAATCAACTAATTCTTCTCCTATAACCAATTTTATTTTGTCAATCTGAATTTTTAATTGTACTTGTTAGTTTGGTATGGTTTGCAGATTTGTAATCTGATTTGTTATCTCGAGCTGCGTGTGATGGTATCATTGTGGCTGTTTCTATTGACAATGCAGTTTTTAACTCTTAAGTCCAACTTTGTTCTTTGTTGCAGGTTAAGCATGATGGATTCTTTCCTGCAGATCTTCTTTTCCTGGCTAGCACAAATGTAGATGGTGTCTGCTACATTGAGGTTTTTTCATTTGCTTCAATCTGAAAATGAGTGTTGTCTTGACATTCTTTAGCAGTCACTACTGTTTATTAATCCAGGGTTTTGGGTGATAGACTGCTAATTTAGATGGTGAAACCAATTTGAAGATTAGAAAAGCATTAGAAAGGACTTGGGATTACCTGACTCCAGAGAAGGCATCTGAGTTCAAAGGTTTAATTTTTTTTGACTGACCTAAGAATTAAGATTTTTTAGTGCCACCAACCTTATTTATAAATTATATCTGCTGTGATCCTAGATTTGCATTTGATTTGTTATTCAAGTTTTAGTGTACATCATTGACAAAAAATATTATTCTTCTCATGTCAACATTGTTTGGCTCATCCATCTGAGCAGTTGAGTACAAGAATTCCCTTTAAATCAGGCCACTATGTATGAATCATTATTATGGACTGCCTATAGATTTGATTAATTTTGCTACCCAAATTAATATGTATGGCTATAGAAAACATCATCTTTTCAAGTGGCATCCTCTTTTTTTTTGTAGGATGGTTTGTGTAATGATATATTAGTATTGTTGATCTGTTAGAAATATTAGCTTTTATGTTTAAAATATTATCATGCTGTCAACTGTAGTTATGATGATTGCTGATTGTTAGCTAGTGATTAGGATGCAAGTTAGCTCCCAATTAGCTCCCTGATTGATCACCATCACACTATAAAGAAGATATCAATGTCTGGCCTAGGGAAACTCTATTTCAATTTGTTATCATAGCAATATCATCATCAGGGAGCTAATCCAGTCACTATTCTGTTGCTATGTTCCCATAAATCTAGAAATATTCTCACATGGTGTCTCTTCTTGGCTGAACATTGACTCTATCAATTTCTTATTTTTTCTCCTACTATTTATGTATTGACTTGTTAATTATTCTGGTTATTTTTTCCTATATTTTTAGAAACTCCTGAATTGTGATAGTCCTAGAACTTTGTATGGCTTTTAAGAAATGATGTATGTCCTATTAATTCTTTAGTGAGATTATCTAAAGTCCGTGTTTGGCACAATCAATATCAGATTGAAGACTGTCAATTCTCATTATTTTTGCAAAATTCGATTGTGGTTCTTTTTTTCTAAATTCTGAATGACATGTATTTTTTTAACTACTTGCAGGTGAAATTCGGTGTGAACAACCAAACAATTCATTGTATACCTTCTCTGGAAATCTTATAATTCAAAACCAAACATTTCCTGTTAGTCCAAGTCAGCTTTTGTTGCGAGTATGTTATGTTTTTTTACTCATTGTTTGTTATGAGCTTTATGATCATTCATTATATATGGTCATAATTGTTGAAGTTGGTAGGACTTATGAAATTCATTTTCTTTGTTGGATTTGTTTTGAATATCATATATTACTTTTTATCATTGACAGATACTTGTGTTTTGTCTACTAGTTATGAATCCAAGTGGTATTGACATATTGAAATTTCATGCCTTTCAGGGATGCAGTCTCAGGAATACAGAGTATATTGTTGGGGTTGTTATTTTTACAGGACATGAAACAAAGGTTTCTTGAAATACTGCCTTATTATTGATACATTGATACCTCTATCAATATTCTAATCCCTGATATATCATTTAGGCAAAGATAGTATAAACATGTAATTGTAGTAATGCTTTGATTGCTGAAATGTTTAACTAATGACAAATTGCTATTGTTGTTTACCTGTTTGATGCTATCATAAATGTCATTAGCATTTCATGTTTTCAAATGTGGCATGAAAGATACAAAATTTTTGTGGATATCTTTTTTGATGCAGGGGTTATGTGGAAAGAAGAAAATAACTTATAATTCACTTCAGGGTTGTTTTGATGTATGCGCATTGATTTGCCTGTTTATAGCAACAGTACCCTAAAATTCTGACCACCACTTGTGGGTTTTATTTCACTTTTCTTGTCATTTGGTGGTGTTGACTGCTGTTCTATTTGTCTGAGCTCTTGATTTGAAAATGTTGATTAACTTAGATTCTTGGCCTGAGTTGTATGAAATAATTTGGGTTTTATTTGCTTAAGAAGTTAATTTAGTTGTTTTTCTGCTTGTTACCGTGTGTTTCCTTCTGTGATTGTTCAGGGACACTGTTTTACAGACATTTGGAATACATTGCAGGTAATGATGAATGCTATGAATGTTCCTTCCAAAAGAAGCACGTTGGAGAGGAAGCTTGACAAGCTCATACTTGCTCTATTTGCAACTCTCTTTGTGATGTGTTTTATTGGAGCTGTAGGCAGGTGCGTGAGTAAAAACAATTAGTTTGCTTGGCATGGACCCTCTTCCAATTGCTGTTAATATTTTGTGGGCTACTTGTCTTAGCAAACTATTGGGATGGCGATGGAGCTAGCTTTATTTACTCTCTGCATTAGATTTATTGTTTGTTATTATTATTATTATTATTATTATTATTATTATTATTATTATTGTTTGTGACTAATGTTCTTGGATTTGTGTATTTTGCAGTGCTATCTTTGTAAACAAGAAGTATTTCTATTTACATCTTGATTCATCAGAGGAGGGCTCAGCACAGTTCAACCCAAGAAACAGATTTTTGGTAATATATATTTCTCCATTGAGATGAATGGTCATCTCTTTTCTTTCTTTTCCTCTTGACTTATTGTCTATTGATTCTGCTTCCCTTTTTTTTCAGGTTTTCCTTCTCACTATGTTTACCCTCATCACTTTATACTCAACAATTATTCCCATTTCACTGTATGTATCGATAGAGGTTTGTGTCTAAGCCAAAATTTATATGTCCTTGAAATGCCATTGTCTTGATGAAGGGGAAATTTTACTTTTGATTATTGTGTCAGATGATCAAATTTATTCAGTCCACTCAATTTATCAACAAGGACTTGCACATGTACCATTATGAAACTAATACCCCAGCATTGGCCAGAACTTCAAATCTGAATGAAGAACTTGGGCAGGTAAGACAGAAAGACAATTGAGCCAGTTTAGTTGGTAGAGATGTGGGAAGGGGTGGGGGGGTGTTCAAATCCTCTGCGATGCACGCTGTGCCCCTTTCCATTCCCATCCACACCCCATGGGGCCTGCTATTAGCATTACTTAGGGGCCCCTAACTAGCATAGTTTATCAAAGATTTATCTTTCTAAAATACTAAAGAAATGCCCCTGAATATGTACATGTGAACTTGACTGGTGAGAAATGAACTATTTCCCCTGCTCTGTAGCCTTAATGCCCTGTAAATATTGTAGTGTTTAATATCTGAAGATTCTTTTCCACCTTTTTCTTACTATGCTTATTTGGAGCAAATTCAACCCAAACATCTTTTCCTGATGAACTGACTGACTTTAACCCTGACAAATCAAGACATTGTGGGTCTTGTTTATCAACTTCATTGCCCAATAGTGGAATAGATATGACTTCTTTATACGGGACCTTTTTACGTTTATCCTAAGGTGTCTTCCTTTTAGCATTTGTACATGAGAGAATTCGTTTCATAAAATTAACATTGTTGCTAGTAGCCTTTGATAGATTGTTGCTGTCCTTTCCAGTATTAAATCATTCTTTCTGCTTTCTCCTTTCTAGTCTCTCCTTTTTCTCCCCTCTCTGCACAAATTGTATATTGTTCGTGATAAAAATAAAGCTAATTATTAAGTGTGCATTTGGTTCAGTATATCGTTTTGGAGAAAAAAATTGTATGTGTATATATAGGAAAAGAAAATGCTATTGAAATTTCTATCAGTTTATTAGTTCTTGTCCGTATTATTTCTCATTGCTGAGTTGCATTATGCAGTTTTACTTACTGATTTGAATAGGTGGAGTACATTTTCTCAGACAAAACTGGGACTCTGACTAGAAACTTAATGGAGTTCTTTAAGTGTTCAATTGGAGGAGACATCTATGGAAATGGCGTGACTGAAATTGAGAAGAAAATAGCAGAGCGTAGTGGCTTAAAACTTGAGGTAACATGCATTTCATTGAATGGAAGTAGTGAACAGATCATGATTATAAAATAATTATTCTTTCTCTTCAGGAAAATATGTCACCCAATGCAGTGCGAGAAAAGGGTTTTAATTTTGATGATGCTAGGCTTATGAGAGGAGCTTGGAGGAATGAGCCGAATCCTGATAGCTGCAAGGTCAATCATTTTTCTTGAACTAGTTACAGCAGTTTAATTATGCTTTCAATCTAGCTTGTTTATTTATGGTAAAAGAAGGAATATCATGACCCTGCTTGATTTGTAATAATCAGGTCTTCTATTTTTTTTTTGGGGGGGGGGGGGTGGTTTCCATAATTCTGAGTTACTAAACTGGAGAAGTTTATAAATGTTGTTTAAACTGTTTTTATCTTTTGCTAAAGCTTGTTTTCAGATAAGAGCAAGTGTTTTCTTTTAAGATGCTTATACCATGAATTAAGTAGGTCCAATATTGTCACTTAAAAGGCAAAATTATACGTATGATCCTCTATTATTTTTTTATTTTTGCTTTGGTCCCCTAATTTTCAAATAAATTCTTTTCTATTAATTATGTTTATTGTGTTAATTTTTTGATCTTCTGCTGTTACACCGTTCTTCTTCTTCCTTCTCCGTCTCCTTGCCATGATGTTTGCAGTAGTGAGGGGCGGTTCTTGATGGTGGTGCATGGCAAAAAACGATAGTGGCTGGTGGTTTTACATGTTGGTATGTGACAATAGTGGGATGAATCACAGTTCCATGGTGCTTGGGCATGTGAGTTTTGTTGTTGGTGGTGGTTTTGTGACATTATGGGGGTGGCTAAGTGGTTGAGGGTTTGTGGTGGGTGGGGGCACTATTGTGGTAGCAGCGATTAAGGTCCAGTTGTTGGTGGTAAAGGGATAAGATGGTGATGCAATGGGAGTTTGCGGTGGTTAATGAGCTTGGGTGCTTGGTGGTTGACATGTGATGAGTGAGGAACAAGATAAAAAAAGTAAAAACAAAAATTAACAGGGTTACATAATTAATAGAATAGGACTTTGAAACATGTTCAAAAGTTAGAGAATCAAATTGAAACTTTTAAGAGTTAAGAAATCAAAGTGAAGGAAATAAATTAGTTGTAGGATTAAATGTATAATTTTGCCTACTTAAAATAGGAAGAGAAAAATATGAGAGAAAATAAAGGTTTATGTATATATGATGATTGCAAATCTAATAAATGCAGAAAGTAGTGTGGAAGAGAAAAATGATTAAGCTAATAAGCTTAACTCTTTTTCCTAAGTTTGTTAAAAATCAGAATAGGAAACACAGAACAGCAGCAGCAAATGAAAGAAGAAAAAAATGGGGAGATTGTATTTAATTACTGAAACAAGAAGAAATGCAAGGAGAGACTCTCTCCCTACCCTCAGAGCCTGGCTTCGTTGAAGAACCTTAGAGGCTCTCCATTCTTACAAATTGGCTAACTCCAAAAGATACCCCTCTAAACAAATCATTCCCCTATATAACAAACGATTCTCTCTTTTGGCATAACTAACTAGCCAGCTCACCCTCTTTTCCACCCACATATCTCATGCCTCTCTTTTTCTTTCTCACATAAACTACCCACTGTTTTGGCCAGGTCCACTATCTTGCACTAGCAACTCATTAGGCCCAAATGCAGAAAGTAGTGTGGAAGAGAAAAATGATTAAGCTAATAAGCTTAACTCTTTTTCCTAAGTTACTGTGTATATAGTTTATTTGGTAAAGTAGAACAATTATTATTATGTGGTTTTTAACTTTGTTCTATGATTTAGTTTCTATATAGCAAAAAGTAACATTTCTTTAATTGGCTATGTAGGAATTTTTCAGATGCCTTGCTATATGCCATACTGTGCTTCCTGAAGGTGATGAGACCCTGGAGAATATCAAATATCAAGCTGCATCACCTGATGAGGCTGCTTTGGTTATTGCTGCGAAGAACTTTGGTTTTTTCTTCTACAGGTTCATGCTTCTTGACCATGTTCTAATTTTCTGCATAGCTGTTGTGGTACTACTCCTACTACTACTATTTCAAATGCTTATGTGAGATTCTTCCTTACCAAACATAAATATTAAGTGATAGAGATTGTATTGAGGGACCTAGAAAAGAATTTTCTCACGACTGAGTATATTATGAAGAGAAGATATGTGGCCACATTATACATGAGAAGGAAAAAGGAATAGAGTTGGGATGGAGGCACTGCATCCCTTTAATTGAAAAAATTAATTGTAAAAATGTCCTCTTGGTTTAGAGTAGGAGTTACTTGAGCTTCTTCAAAGTTGTTAACTGCTAATATACTTCAGAATATAGAAGAGAGATTCTTGTGTACATATGGTATTCTGAATTCTGGATCCAAATTTGACAATGTTATATAAACTGTCAGTTGTACATGATTAGGTTCAGCTTCTTTATGCAAAACAAAACCCTGTAATTTTTTCTGTCTTAATGGATTTCTTCTTGTCCAAAATTTGTTGACTGAGTGCTTCTTGGTTGACTGCATAAGTTGAATAAATGCAAGATACACTGTACATACTAGAAGTTTAAAAATGTCATCATATGAAAGCAAGCTTGTACATGATATGTTCTTAATTTCTGATCTTTTTGTACTACCAAAATCAAATTTTTGCAATATCGTTGGAGCTTTTATTATAGTTTAGTATTTTGGTTTAAGGAGGATATCTTCTTATCTTCCTCGCCCTTAATAGTTCTTCATTTTTTTTATAATAAAATTTGTTCTATCATTAAAAGGAGTAAGAGGTTAAAATCTTACCCTCTGAAGGCTGAATCTGAGTTGAGCCTCAGCCTTCATTTTAGAAGCTCACTGGCATCCTGTTCCTTGGTTTTGCTACCAGTTTGTTAATGAGGTTTCACTTCCAGTTTGTTAATAGAGATACTAGGTTTTTAGATAATTGTAGCTTCAGTTGATCCTAATCAGCATTTTTCCTTGCCAGACGCACACCTACAATGATATATATTCGTGAATCTCATGTTGAGAAGATGGGTAAAATTCAAGATGTATCGTATGAGATTTTGAATGTGCTTGAGTTCAACAGGTAACCATTTATTCCCCCTTTTTGTACTGAGTTTCAAACATAATTATCAGTTTTGGATACAGCCTGTAGAGGCCGAAGCCAAAAACGCTAGTAGAATAGCGCATAGCAGGATAGCCACTATTTAAAATTTTTATATACAAATTAAATATTTTATACTGTATATATAATGCTCAACAGTTTAAAAACTACTCAAAATTCATGAAATATTCATAATTTAAAATAAAAAGACACAAGTCTTAAGCAAAAAATATACAAGTAAATAACAATAAAAGTAAAAAGAACAAACAATATTGCTGGTTGTAGAGTGGGTGGTAGATAGAAGAGTGGAAAATTATAACCAATTACAAATCTTTAAATTCTGCAAAGGGAAAGGGAAATATCAATGTTGACCCTAAAATTATTTCCTCAAAACAAAGCTTTCTCGAGGGAAAATTTGAGGTTTTTACTTTAGCACCGCTGTGGCTGCTATTTGAAAAAGCTCAGCTATTCAAATTGTAGCTGACTGTGGCCACTCCGCAATACCCCTAGCACTGTTATAGCCTGCTATTAATAACTATGGTTTCAAGGTATTCAACAACAATTGTAATATTTGTTCCTTAATAGCACAAGGAAGCGCCAGTCTGTTGTATGTCGTTATCCAAATGGGAGGCTTGTTTTATACTGCAAGGTAATAATTTCTTGAGACTTCTGTAAAAGATTCAAATTTCATGACTTTGGCCAAGAAAATATCTTTCAATGAACTTGGTTTTCACAGGGTGCTGATACTGTAATCTATGAGAGATTAGCTGGTGGTTATAATGACATAAAAAAAGTTAGTAGGGAGCATTTGGAACAATTTGGATCTGCTGGACTACGCACATTATGCCTGGCCTACAAAGAATTAAATGCTGATGTTTATGAAAGCTGGAATCAGAAGTTCATCCAAGCCAAATCTTCTCTACATGATCGTGAAAAGAAGTTAGATGAGGTACATTTTATCCTCGGCTGGTATCTTTTAAGTGCATATTAACCATCAAATTATTATTATTTCTGGGTAAAAGTTTGCATCACTAGTCCAATCTTGTCCCTGTATAATTTATTATAGTGGGTTGTTTTCAGAGACATTATATAGAGAATAAATAGGAGAAAATATGACAATAGGTCTTCCACTAAGTCTCCTTAATTTGAGAAACAGATTCCTAAATTAAGGAAGCTAATGAAGCCAGAAATATTTTAGGAAACAGCATTTTTTGAATGTGCTTGGTAAGGCTTTTTAGCTAGCTGAAAAGCTTGTTTAACCAAAATCTTGTTTGGTAAAGTAGTCACAATTAGTAGCTACTAGCATTTTTGAAATGCTACTCCACTAAGCATTCTAGCTTTTCAGCTACAAGAAGAAAGTGTTTTTTTTCCCTCATAGAAATGTTAATTAAAATTTTACTTATACAAAAATTATTAAGTAAAATTTTAAGTTTGAAAAATAAATAAATGCCACAATATTTTATCTCTGAAAGCAATAGATTGCCATCATTTGAGAAAGATTTAACAAAATCATTAATTTCATTTATTTATAATATAAATTTGTCAAAATATTAATATAAATTCATTGTATTGTCTTTTTTTATTCAATTAAATTATTTATAACTAAGAATGAAATAAATACTAGGGTTAGCTGTTGATTAAGTTTACTATTCTGTAATAGTTTTTTGAAAAAGCTTTTAAAACTTTTTGATATTAAATATTAATGTATTGAGAATGAGAAAAATAGCACCAAATGTTCTCTGCTCTTTATATGTTATCCTGCCTTTTCTTTTCTTTTTTTATGACAGATAACTTATTACTTTTCATTTTAAAGAATTTTTGAACTAAAAATCTCCTTTTGAACTTGTAGAAACTTTTGAGTACATTATTACAAAACATAGAGTTCCATATTTTCATGCTTTTTTCAAAGAAAAATATGAGTATTATTTTACTGAACTGAAGTCTATAGAATAGAAAGAAACAACTGTGCTGATTTACTAAATTTTATATTTATCTTTGCAACCAAGCCTCACTGGAGTGGTGCTGTCTGAAGATTACAAAGAAATGGCCATGCTCTTTTAGCCAATTGAAACAGCATGACAATTCAAACTTATGTTCATTAGCATCATTCTTAAACTTGAATCCATGTATACATTAGACATTTTTCAATCAATAGGTCATGACTCATGAGTAGCCCTGTGGTTACTCAAGGAAATTAATCCGTACCTTCTCCACTTCAATGAGTCTTGCAATTCTGTTTGATTTCTCTAAAATGTAAAAACTACACAAGAATACAACCATAACAAGTAGAAAATTTAAGAATTATATCAGAAAAATGTGTAGGGAAAAAAAATGCAGCTTATCCTCTCTTAATCGTCTCTACTTATTCATCTCATTGTTCACTAGATAGCAAGCCACACACAACCAGAGGCTGGAAAATGATATAAAGATCCAAATAAACAACCATGCTATTCTTGTTAGTTTCACCTTTCTATGTAGCTTTGCAACCGAATTTTCATTCTAATGATTTCCATTCTTGAACTGCATTTTGAAAGAAACCAACTAGACATGATTTTGTGATTTTTTGTCACTAATCCTGTCAAAAGCTATGCACTAAATCATAAATTACTGCTGCAGAATTGTCAGTTTATTTTGTGTGCCACTCACTAAATGCGAAATTCTGTATTCTTACTGCTATCTGTGAAAATAATATAGGTGGCAGAACTCATAGAAAATGATCTCATTTTGATTGGTAGCACTGCCATAGAAGACAAGCTTCAAGAGGGAGTACCAGCCTGCATAGAAACTCTTCAAAGAGCTGGCATTAAAATATGGGTGCTTACAGGCGACAAGATTGAAACAGCCATTAATATTGCCTATGGTGAGTCTGCTTTGATTGGAATCAGTTTTTCTGCATGTTGGAACTTATGCATAGTAGAATGTGGTTATTACTCTTTTTGTCTGTGTTTTAACACCCTGCCTGCAGCCTGCAATTTAATAAACAATGAGATGAAGCAGTTTGTTATCAGTTCAGAAACTGATGCAATTAGAGAGGTTGAAGACAGGGTAAACTCCTTGCTTTAGCTTTCTATGTTTTGCTTACATAATTCTTATATTTTGAATGTTAAAGTTTTATTATTTTGTAATTTGTATAGGGTGACCAAGTGGAAATTGCAAAATTTATTAAAGAAGAAGTGAATAAAGAACTGAAGAAGTGCCTTGAAGAAGCACAGAGCTATTTTAACTCTCTATCTGGACCAAAATTAGCACTTATAATTGATGGAAAATGTCTAATGTATGCATTGGATCCAAATTTGAGAGTCATGCTACTGAAGTTGAGCTTGAACTGCCATGCTGTTGTTTGCTGTCGAGTTTCTCCCTTACAGAAAGCACAGGTAAAGCTCATACACCAAGGAAAATAACTTGTTATTTCTGCTAACCTTTTTATTCTTGGTAATACTGTACATCAAGTAAAAATAGCTAATTTTGAATAATGTGTCCTATTTAAAAGGAGTGCGAGTTACTTGCTGGGTGTTATGCAGTTGTTTGGCTTATTATCACTCTGTATGCTTTCAGGTCACAAGTTTGGTTAAGAAAGGTGCACAGAAAATAACACTTAGCATTGGTGATGGAGCCAATGATGTTAGCATGATTCAAGCTGCTCATGTTGGTGTGGGTATAAGTGGGTTGGAGGGGATGCAGGCCGTGATGGCCAGTGATTTTGCTATTGCACAGTTTCGTTACCTTGAGGATTTACTTCTTGTTCATGGCCGGTGGTCATATCTTCGAATATGCAAGGTGTTGTGTCTTTGTAAACTAGATAATTGTTTTTGTAGCTGCTGCTTTTCTTTTTTTGGCAGCATCCTTAAAAATTGGTTATTGCAGGTGGTGACATACTTCTTTTACAAGAATCTCACATTCACTCTTACTCAGTTTTGGTTTACCTTTCAAACTGGGTTCTCTGGCCAGAGATTCTATGATGATTGGTTTCAGTCATTATATAATGTTATCTTCACTGCACTGCCTGTGATCATTGTTGGACTATTTGACAAGGTATCGCATTCTATCCAGTCTTATAGGATTACATTTTCTTTTATAGGGACTTTCTTTTTCTACAGAACACCTTTTGCTTGTACCCATTGCCTTGTATCCATTGCCTTGCTTCACTAGTTACATTAGTTGTTTTATTTTAGATGATTACATGTTTCATTTATTTCCTTGTGCCTTTGCAAGGATGTCAGTGCATCTCTATCCAAGAAGTATCCTCAACTATACAGAGAGGGAATAAAAAATGTCTTTTTCAAATGGAGAGTTGTAGCTATATGGGCATACTTTTCCATCTACCAGTCTCTAATATTCTTCTATTTTGTGAGTTCGTCAAGTTTAAGTGCTAAAAATTCAGCCGGAAAGATATTTGGACTCTGGGATGTCAGTACCATGGCTTTCACATGTGTTGTAGTAACTGTTAACTTGCGGCTTCTTATGATTTGTAATTCAATCACAAGATGGCACTATATTAGTGTTGGTGGAAGTATATTAGCATGGTTTATTTTTGTCTTTATATATTCAGGGATCAGCACCCGTTATGATCGACAGGTGAATTCCCTCTATCAATAAATAAATTACTTTTCTTATTACCCCTTATAAACACTGTTAACTTGGTCTATTGCATTTACTTGCAGGAGAATATGTATTTTGTCATATATGTCTTGATGAGTACATTATATTTCTACCTCATGTTAATTCTTGTTCCTGTTGCGGCACTCTTTTGTGACTTTGTTTACCAAGGGTAAGATTCAAAGTTGAAGAATTCTTGACTCATTATCTGTCTGTGCTTGTCATTAATGGAGATATCATTATGCTATTGGGATGCATGAATCTAATTACAGAACATTAGATCAAGATACACAATGATGAATCACTTTTGCGTGGAAATCGTTCGTACTCACGTGAAGCCTTTTATTAAATTATCCGAGTCAACCTGCTAGGACCCAACTTGGTGAAGTTGGAATTTAGATCATGTACATATGTAGGAATAAGAGCAAGCTGAGTTAGTAAACTACAGGCTGTCAGAGGAGCAGAATCAATAATTGAACCAGAATCCGGTTGTAAGGAAAAACAGTTGGGGGAGTCTTTCCCTTTTCCTCAATTCTTGTGTTTTTTAAATTTCTGCCTCTCCTTTTCTTTTTCCTGTCTATTCAGTTCTTCCTTTTTCTGATTTTCGTCTCTGAAACCCTAACTCAACCTGTCGAAAAAGCAAGAGGGTCTTAGTTTAAGTTTCGAGAACTAGTCAATTTTTAATGGATATGTAACTGATGATAATCAATACTGTATTATGATCATTCACTGTAATCATGATATGTTTTAGTTTTACACTTCGGTATCATTCAATTTATTTTATGGACACGTGATCCACAAATGACGATTCAATAAGAATCTTGTGTCAATTGCATGTATGGTAGCAACAGATAGCATGGTAGGGTGTAAAAATAAATGAAATTTATTATAATCATGTTCAACTGTTCTTCTGTTTCTGTTCCATCCATTGGGCTTTTGCCTTTATTCAGTTCAGTTCATCTGGTTACAGGGTTCAGAGATGGTTCTTCCCCTACGATTATCAGATCATTCAAGAAATGCACAGACATGAGAGTGATGGCACCAGCAGGGAACGGCTTCTAGAGATAGGGAACCAGCTCACTCCAGCTGAGGCAAGGAGCTATGCAATATCCCAACTCCCACGTGAGATATCAAAGCACACGGGGTTTGCTTTCGATTCACCTGGTTATGAGTCATTTTTCGCTGCACAGCTTGGTGTATATGCCCCTCAGAAGGCATGGGATGTTGCAAGACGAGCTAGCATGAGATCTGGGCCAAAGATTGGACAGAAAAAGTAATTTTGTTCAAACTAAAAATTAAGTCATTTGGTGTAGGATGATTTTACATTTACTTTAGTTTTGTTTTTTCGTGTTAAGAGCCAGCCCTAGGAGATCTGTAATTAGCACGTGCCATATTAAATACTGGACATTTTCTTTGTTAAAATATTGGTAGTTTTCATTTAGGTATATTTTGTCGTTCTTCCCTCGTTGCCAGTTGTTTCTGTTGAGGGAAGTAGAGTGGATTGTCGCAGATGTATATTCCACAACTTTTAGAAAGCCAGCCAATTTTTAAAATTGAGGTATGGATCTATTTTCAGTTGTTTAAATAATTTCTTCTTTTGAGAGAAGAGCAGGTTTCTAGAATTGTCACAGATGTATATTCCAAAACTTTTAGTAAGCCAATTTTTTAAATTTCGAGATTGTATGGATTATTTTCAGTTGCTTTTAATACTTCTTGTTTGTATTGGATTAAGCCGTTACATTTAGGATATATGCACACATCAGAATCAGATCGTTGGAGTCAATGGAGCAAGTGTCGAATATTCAGAAAACTTTTCATTCTGTTGTGGCCTTCCAACACAAAATTATCGTGTTCAGTGTAGTTATGGAAAGTTTGCTGTACAGTTAATAAGCAAATGTCAGGTTAGGTCATTGCCTGCTAATTAAAGAGTTCTTCAACATTATTTACCCGTCTAATTGGTAAAGAATGACGTTACAGAACTACTTTATTTGTTCAGTAGGGGAAACCTGAAAATCGCAACATAAGAATGACATTCATTTCAAACTACTCGAAAGATTTTGCACAAAAAACGACTGCGTGATGACCTAGGCATGCAACTATGCATATTATTCATTTTTTGATTTCCTGCAGTTCAGCTGAAGACTGATACTCATCCACATGGGTCATATTCTGCAGTTAAGTTGAAGAACTTGGCTAATTTTTGTGAAACGGAGTATTGACTTTCGTCTAGTGATCCTTCATCTTCCTCATAATCATCATCCCCTTCAAAAACTAAATGAATTCTACAGTTCTTCAGCTCCAGCCCCTCAACAAAGGGTGGGTTTCGCTTTGTCAAATGTAAGGTATATTTATCTTTTAACTCAAAAACTAACGAAGACTGAACCCCAAATCTGCGCAAAAAAATGTGCTCTTCATTTGTCCTAGGTACTCCTAGCAGGCGAAACGTTGTGCTATATACATTATCCGTCATATTAAAGATTTTCCCTTGAACATCCACTAACTGCAGCTCTTCTCTTCGGTTTTCTGGTATATTGTTGAAAGAAAGCACGCCAAAACAAATAATACCTTTAAGCTCGCGGTTTCTTCGCTTGGAAAAGACAACTGGTTCCGCTGTAAACCAATCTGGAACTGTGTTTCCAGGCATAATCAAAATCTGTAATTTTTTAAGTAGAACCTGGGACAAAATTTTATCGTTGAGATTAACGAATATAGACCATTACACCTTATTTGAGTGGTCAAGATATAAAAGGATGAAATTATGGGGAGGGGAGGAAGGAAATATTCATTAGATTCGGATAAAGAAATGACAAACCTTAGAAAATCTTCTCTTTACGACAAGGTGGCATCCAATGCAACCATTCATGTACAACCTTCTTAAGGACTTCAAATGTTCAAGACCTGGTATATCCACCACCTTTTCACAATTTGTAAGGTTCAGCTCCTCTAAGCGCTCCAAGTTTGAAATATCGGATATGTACTGTACTGCAGTACAGTTTGCAAGATTAAGCTCTTCTAAGCAAGAGGGAAGAGGAGGCAGAAACACGAGCTCCCTGCAATATGATAACCTAAGCTTTTTGAGATAAGAGAGACCTGTCATGCTGACTGGAAGACTGCAAATATTGTTGTGGCATAAAATTAAAGTTTCTAGTGACGATAGCTTTCCAAAGTCATCTGGAATTTTGCCATATAGTTGCCACCCATGAGCATCTACCTCTTCCAGCAAGGTAAGATTGCAAAAAGAAGTTAAGATCGCCTCTGAATTAGGTTCTTCTAGTTTGTTAGGAATTGTTATCCCAGTGGGCATGCTGGTTCCAACCCCATTAAGATAGGGCTTTCTTTTCATGTCAAGTTTTACCAGGCTTGTTAGCATCCCAAAGCTATCAGGTAGATTCGTTAGTGCAGTTTCCTTCATCATTAACCATCGCAAGGATTTCAAATTTCCAATGGAAGATGGAAGCCTTTGTAGCTGTTTGCACATGTCTAATCTCAACCGAATAAGATTTTCCAACATTCCTATTGACTCTGGCAATTCAGTAATATTTGTCTCATGCATGTCCAAGATGGCAAGAGCTGACATGCAGCCAAATGATTCTGGTAGAAACCTGAGATGCTGACAATTTCTCATCTCAAGCTTTACTAGCATTTTCAAGGCCCCAATTTGATCTGGCAAATAGGTAATTGATGTTCCATCTAACTGAAGCTCAACAATAGAAACTAATGCTTCTATTGACACGGACAATTTGTCAAGAGAAGTGCAGCCTCCAACAGACAATTTCCTTAAATATGATAAAGAACCAATAGAAGCAGGCAATTCCTTAATTCCACTGACGTTCAAAAATAGTTGTGTTAATGAAATTATTTTCCCAATAGAGTTAGGAATCACGGAGAGTGATTTACACCCCACCAAACCAAGGGTCTCAAGGTTTTCCAACGAACCAACAGAATCTGGCAATTCCTCTAATGGTGTATTGTTTAGTGACAATTCTTGCAGTGAGGTCAGTTTCCCAATGCAGTTAGGTAACCTCTTCAGATACTGGCATTTATTTGCACTCAACTTTTCAAGTTTTGTCAGGTGAAAGATGGACTCAGGTAGCTCAGTTATAGCAGTGTCATCAAGAAGAAGTTGTTTTAAATTAACCATGCGGCTTAAGTCTTTGGGCAATGCTTTCAATTTCCAGCAGCCAGAAAGAATAAGGTCCTCGAGAAGTTTGAGGCCAGACATATCACCGGGTAGTTCGATAAGGTTAGAGCATAGGCTCAGGTTCAAGTGAATTAAGGTACTTAGATTTCCTAGTGATTCGTGAATCCAAGTTAGATGAGAGCATTCTTCCAAAACAATCTTTTTCAGGGACAGATACCCACTTAAATCAGGAGTTGCTGTCAAACGATGGCAACTGGTGAGGTTTAAAACCGTCAACTGCTCAGCCACCTGCCAAATAAATCTCATCATTCATAAATTCAATAAAAAAAACTTGAACAGCATTTTAGTATTAAAAGATAATTTTTTTATCACACGTCTAAAAACATATATTAATAAATAATAAATTTTTACTGTGCGTTTTTAGAAATATGTTAAAAAAGTAAGAAAATGAAAGAAAAGTGGAGTTTGAAGCAAATTCTAGCCATGATATTGATATTTTTTTAACTTAATCTCTCAATAATAAAATTATTAGTGTTGTACAAATAACATATTGTATGCTTACAAATGTCAACTGTCTTAACTTTTATATATTATAATTAAATTTTATTTGAAGAAAAAAAGATTTTATTTGGATGACCAAATTACCTTCAGGCATATTTTGGAAAGAATAAATGAGTGTTTAGTTTGTATGAAAACAATATAATGTAAATAAACTAAATTTAAATAGAAAACACCTTGTTCGAAATAAATAAAATAAAACCCAATAGTTCACTGGCTAGTAAGAAAGCAAACCTTGTTACTGTGTCTGCCCCACACCGTTTCAATATCACTTTCAGAGAGATCCAACACTGCAAGTTCCAAAGGATTATAGTTAGAAGGCATACACCTTAATGGACATTGTTTCCATTGTAACCACTTGAGTCCTGAACGAAGACACCTGGATCGTCCTTCCAATCTCGAATAATTAATTTGAAGTAGCCTTAATGAAACCATTGGTTGAAAGTGCTTTGCATGAAGTATAAACTGTTTTGCTTTCTCTTCTCTTTCCCTCACATACTTTTTATATCTCTCTTTAATATATGCTGATGCAGTTTTACAACTGGGCTTTTTTCTAAAGTTATCCCGAGTAATTTCATCAGCAGTGCGATCTCTAGGAATGGAGCTAACCATTCTTCTCTTAACACAATCTAGGACAATCCCTTGAACATTTCTTGTTCCCTGCACGTACTATTCATTGTTAAAATTTCAAGAAATGAAATGGACAATTCATAACTCCTGTGATTATTTAGTATTTCACAATGCCAGCTTATTCCACAGAATACAAAACATAGATGAGTTACTTAAATATTTTTTGTGCTATTTTTTAATTAAATTTCACTATATGTGTTGGTATCTATTCGCTTGAAAGTGATGGTTTTTGCACTACCTTTAATGTGCAAAATAGCATATATGACTTATTACTGTCTCAAAGTTCTAGTTGCCTCACCTAAAACATTTTTAAGTTTTCGACTCAAATACAGCTTCGGATTCAAATGTGAACCTTTGTTTTCACATATATACGCACACTTCTAACAATTTTTTGTTAAAAATAAATTTTACCGTTGATTCATATGATATATACTCATATATATAAAATTTTACATAATTTAAAAACTTGTGTATATGTAATATAGTAATAGCTATTTCAAACAATATATAATATGTTAAAATAAAATGTGGGAATGAATATCAATTATTTTATGAATTATAAGAAATTTTGTAGATGTGATATATTTTATAAGGATTTAAGTTTAATAATTAAATTGATAAAAGTTACTTTTCATAAAAGGTTATTAGAGATATTATTTAATCGTGTAATATTTTAATTTTCTCAACTGAGATAGAAACTCGATTGCTACAATATTTACCTTCTTATTCTTGAAGACAGTCAAGATTTCAGCACGATCCCAAAGCCTGCTACGTAGACCAGGATCCACTAGACTTTCATTTTGAACAATTTGCCTTCCCATGTCTCTAACTTGATCATGCATCCACAGGACACCATCATTAATGATTTTAATTAGAGATTTTGCAGTGAGGACTGTTAATGCTATCTCTCCTCTAAGATTACAACCATCCAATATATCAACCACATCTTCTCTCTTCATTTCCATTTGCACAAACAAACAAGCAATGTCAAGGAAAATGCATCTCTCTTGTTCATCTAACGCATCAAAACTAATCTTCAACACATCATGAAGACAAGCAGGTCGAATCTGTTTCAGCTTCTCCAAAGCATCTTTCCATTCCAGTGGTGTCCTTTTATCAAACAAAAAAGACCCAAAAACCTCCAAAGCCAAAGGTAACCCTCCTGTTTTTTCTACTATTTGTTTTGACACATCCGAAAGATCCTCTGTAGGTTTCTTTCTTCTCATTGCATGATACCAGAACAATTCAAGTGATGAAGAGAAATCCAATTCCCTTACCTCATAGAGCACATCAACATAACTCTCAGGTAAAACTTGTGTATCCCTTGTCGTTATTAGAATCCGACTTCCTTTATAAAACCATTCCTTCTTACCCATCAAAAAATCAAGTTGCTTTACATCATCAACATCATCTAGGATTAACAAAACTCGATTCTCTTGTATTATTCTTTTGATAGCTGAAAATCCATCATTAACATCATTGATGAGACCCAGTTTTCTACCATTGGAAAGATCAGCATGAATTCTGTTTTGAAGAGAAATCAAACCATCTTCATGTTGGGAAACTTGTCTAACATTTGGAATGAAGCTGCGAAGCTCAAAATGAACAACAAGGTTGTTGAAGAGGCTCTTGGCCAGGGTTGTTTTGCCTACCCCACCCATACCATACAACCCCAAAACCCTTACATCGTTGGATTTCACATTAATCAACTTTTTCAACTCTTCAACTCTCTCATCAAGCCCAACTGTGTGCGGAGGTACACTCAGTGGAGTACTCCTCATCTGCTTCATAACCGTTTGCACCAAAACTCGAATAAGCTCATCACTTTTTTCACTGTCACTGCAAAATTTGTGAATCTTACTAGACATAACCATCGTATGCTTATATTAAAAAAACAATAACAATATAGCATGTCAAAATTCACAAACCTATAACATATCAGTTTGATTAGAGAAAATGTTACTATTTTATATCCCTATGCATTTATAAAAATATCACCCTATTATTTCACAAAATGGGAAATAAAATAAACTTTTCATGATCATCAATAAAATTAAAAATATGTTCTCAAATTAAATAATCCTTAAAATTACAAATAACTAATTATCTTAAAAACTTAACTTACAAGAGTAAAAAAAAAGATGAATCACACAAAAACAACGACAAAAACTTCATTTTTCTGTTTGAGATTAATTGGTTATATAGATCACATAATGATATGAAAGTCGATCACAATATAAATTCTTAAAGATATTATTTATCTCGAGACCACTTTTAACAATGGTTGATATGATAGAACTCGTAGACTACATGATACCATGGTTATGGGAATTATGATACAAAATATGGTTCACTCAAAAGTTGAAGCAATTAGATGAAAACGTGCAAAATATTTCATCTAGAAATCACCACCTGTTCTCACCCAAAACCCAACCAGCGATTCCACCCACTTTTTTCATGGCATCCCTCCACTGCTGAACCTCCTCACTGGAAAACTTCTTTGCATGGGACCTGAAAGACATCTCAAAGGGACCCTTTTGCTTTCTGACATGAGACGGGTCAACCAAATAGAAAACGGGCAAGATCAGCCTCCCACACTCACAAATCTTCGCAAGCTCCTCCAAACACCAATGTGAAGACGCATAATCAGGAGACAAAACGATAACAGAGGCTGCGGAATCTTCAATAGCTTCTAGAAGCTTCTTCTGGATCTCGTCGCCACGATCCAACCCGTCATCGTCACGGAAGACCCGAATCCCACGACTGTGGAGCGCGTTGTAGAGGTCCATGGTGAAGGTGTTGCGCGTGTCGGTGCCTCTGAAGCTCAGGAACACGTCCCAACGAAGCCTGAAAGATGCTGGAGACGGTGACGTGATGTCACTTCCCGGCGTCATTGTTGAGGAAAAGAAAGTAACAAAGGGTTCTGAGTGACTTGACTCGTGGGTCATGCTCATGCACTCGTCTATGTTACCGTAACGATGTCAAGATAAAGTTTTTTTTTTTTTTATTATTATATTTATGTCAAGATAAAGTTAAATGTCTACCGCACACTCAAACCACCTCGATATTGATACAAATAAGAATAATGTTCATTTTAAAAATTAATAATAGCATAGTTTGTTAATAAAAATATTTATTATATTTTTATATCTTAAATGTAATAAACATTTTTCATAATTTTTTAGCTATTTAAAGTTAATTCTAAAAAAAATAATGATTATGCTATAAAAAATAATTTCTTAATAATTTATCGTTGTTTAGCTTTCATTCACCTGATAAAATATTCTAGTTCAGTAACAGATCTGGATCACTTGCAGTTTTGACGAGAACTACAAATTATAGTTTTTCATTCATTTAAACAAAATAAAATTCTGCTTAAGTGAATTTGATAAAAAGTGATTTTTGCTTGAGTAACCAAAATTCGCTTAAACAAATTTAGTTTAAGCAGGAAAGAAAGAGAGGTTGAGAGGGAAATGGAAGTGAGAACACAAAAAAGAGTAAGAATAAGAGAAAACTAATAGAGGAAAGGGAAAAAGGCTAGAGGAGAGAAAGAGAAAGACTGGGTGGGACTGAAGGAAAAAAAAATAAAGAAAAGGACTAAGTGAGAAAAAAGAATGAAAAAGGTGGCTGAATTAAAAGAAAAGGGGAAGAGGAGAGGCTAAGTGGGAGAGGGGAAGGAGAATGGGTGAGAGGAAGAGAGGGACTAAGTAAAAGGGAGGGAGAGAGCTCTTAGGTGTGAAGGAGAGGAAGAAGAGTTGAATGGAAGGGAAGGAAAAAGAGGAGAGAAAGAAGGGTTGGGTTGGGTGGGGTGGGCGAAAGAGAGGAGAAGAGAAAGAGTAAGATGAACGGAAAAAAATGAAGTATTTTTTTTTTTATGTATTTTGGCTTAAGCAATAAGAAAGAAGAAGAAAATGTTTATTATAAACTTAATTTTTAAAAAAAATTTAAACATACAAAAAATATATTTTAAATTTATTTTAAGTAAGATTAATTTCATAAAATAAAATCTATTTAAATTTAAACTTACAAACACAAACTTGTTGGGTACCTCTGTGAGCTTTTCACTTGAAGTTTTATTTTGAGTTTGCTTGATTTAATGTTTGGACACTCTATTTCTCGAATATATACACACCCTACTTACCATACTTCGTGAAACATCCATTACTCCCTGTCGTAGTTAATTTTTCTTTTCGAAAATTGATTCAAAGCTATAAAATAATAACCAATCAAAAACTTAATAAATCACGTCTTACTGCAGTTTAGTTTAGTGTAGTTTTTATTTTTTTTATTGTTAAAATCGAATGAAATCAAACTGTAGTTTTCTTATAAATGTATAGTTATATTTCAATATTTTTAATTAAAAGTTTTACATTACAATAATAGACTAAGTCTATTAGTTATGAAATATTTTTAAAAATCACTTGTGATCTATTCTTTTAAATGAGCACGAATTAATAAAAGAGTTATTAATATTTATTCGAATATTGATGCAAAACTGCTTACATTTTCTCCTTCGTTGCTTTGCCGGATCACTTGTCAATTCAAACAAATGCATGCGTCCACCATTCTAGTACCAAATTATATATATAGATCAAATTAACAAAATTATTTTTTGATATATATATTGCATTATTTATACTAATATTTAAGTTTTTATATAAAATATAATCTAATAGTAAATAATATTTTTTTATGGTGACATACTATGTTAATTTATATAAGAAAGCTTAAATATGTTATTAGTATTTATAAATATAGATTATTTTGTAATAAATACTTATAAATTTTTTTGTTGAGATTTAATATCTGAAAAGTTAAAAATTTAAGATTTGGTCCCTACTGTTAATCTTATCTCTATTAAGTTTTGAACTAGCTAACAGACCTAGTTATAATCTATGTAGTATGCTATGTCATTTATTATTTCTTATTTTTTATTATTTAAAATTAAAATTTATAAATAAAGTTCTAAACTTATTTTATATAATTGCATATAAGCTCTTTTTCTTTCTCCTTCTTCACACTTTTTCGACACATCTCATCTACTCCTATCCCTTCCCTTTCTCCCACCTCACACTATCATTCCTCCCTATCTTTCCTCCACCCCTTCCTCTTCCCCACACTTTTATTCACATCACCCCTCTCCCTCACCCACTTCCATTTTATCATCCACACCACTCTCCTCTCCTATTCCTTCCCATTTTCCAATCTGCACCACCTTTCCTTTTCATTCATTTCCTTTTCTCACACTTTTTCTCCTTTTAATACCCACATTCTCAACCCAATTCGCACCACCCCTTCCTCCATCCCTTTTCATTCTCTTATCCTCACTGCCTCATTCTTTATTCCTTTCCATTCTCCTATCCGCACTACCTCTTTCTCCATTCCATTCCATTCTCCTATCCGCATCACTCTTTTCCTCTTCTCCACATCCCTCTCCCTCTAACACTTCCTTTTTCTCACACCTTTTTTCCTCCAACACTCCCATCCAAATCACCCCTCTACTCCATTCACTTTCATTCTCCCATCTGCACAACTTTTCTCCACTACCCCTTCTCATTCCTCCATAAGTACCACCCATTTTCCTTCCCCACACCATTTTTCTCTAACACCCACACTCTTATCTCCCTCCAACACCCACTCCCACTCATATCCGCACTATCCCTTTCCTTACATTCATTTCTCTTTAACACTCACACTCCTACCACCATCTATACCACCTCTCTCTCCTACCCCCTTTTCATTCCTCCCATATGCACGACTCCTATCTCCTTTCCCTCTCTTTTTCATTTCTCACACTCATGCCACCCCTTATTCCTTCCAAAACGGAACTATGAAACTAAATAAAATAATAATAAATAACGTGACATGTTACATAAGTCGTAACTTGGCCACGCTGTACCAAGTAAAATGTTGAGCCAACTCTCCCTTAGTCAGTTCAACACTCTAAAAAAGTTAACGGTAAAGACTAATTTCTAAATTTTTAATTTTCTAAGGACTACATCTTAACAAAAAATTTTATTGGACTTATCACAAAACGATCTACATTTATAAAGACTAATAACATATTTAAGCCTAAAAATAATATAAAATTTTAAATATTTTTAAAGTAAAAATAAATAAAAGAAACTTTCATTTATACTTTATAATTTTTTTAATCAACTAACCTACAAATAAAATACTTTATAAAAAAAAAAAACTTCTAATCTTCTTTAAAAAAAAGTTGTAAATGAAAAAAGGAGGGTGTGGGAAATTTCTTATTTTACCCTAGAAGGTTCTTATCATACGCATAAAGAAAGGGGAAGAAGGGAAAGAGTGTAGTGAGTTTTGTGTTTTGAAAATGATATTTTTAGATTTATTTGAGCTGTATATATTTCATTTAATAAAAAGAGAAGAAAGAAAAATAAGAAATGTGATGTGTAAGGTGATAAATAAAATAATTTCTTTTAACAAATAACAAAGGTGGAAAATGAGAGTAACAAAAAAATGAGTGTAAGAATATCAAAATTGTGAGGGTGTTTAGAATGGATTATTTCTTCTAATTATAAAAAATAAATAAAATAAAACACTGTTTAATTTTATTTAATAGTTGTTAGAAAATTAGCTTATAATTTTTAATTATAAAAATATTTATTTAAAATAAAAAATTAAATTTTATGATTAAAATCTGTTTTTTTTTATTTTACTTTATTTTTTATCTTCAATAATTGATCATTTCAAATACAAAGCAAACTATGATTTTATATCCTTTTTATATAATTTTCACTACAGAAAAAACACATTTTAAACATTTCAATTAAAATAAATTATTTTGAAATCTCCTTTTACTTAATATATATAAACAAAAACATATTTTACATAATCAATGTTTAAAATAATATTTTCATAACTAATCCAAATATTGAATATTATTTACATAATTTGTTTATAATCAATCTATTTTTAAGTCAAACAAAATTACATTCAATACAAAATATATATAATTTAAACTGAAAAAAATTATTTTTTTCAAAATTCTACATATAAATTAAACATAATAATCAATAAATTAGTTGATAAGTTAACATTTATCATATTATTATTAAAAATATATTATTAGTTAATTAATTATATAATTAGCATTTATAATAAATAATTAATATAAGGCGAGACGTAAATAATAAATTATAATTTATTAGATATAAAATAAATAAAAGATTAAAATTGAGTATAAAATTTTTTAGAATTATATATATAAAAGAAACTGAATCTATTATCAAAGAGGCTTGTTAGAGAATGATGTTTTCAAGTGGAGGTGCGACTTTAGTACTGTAAGCATATTTATTTATTTGATCTTATTTTACTGTAAGCATATTTGAGTAGGGGCCAATGGCACTGATTAAGGATTGAGAGTACCCAAAAATCAATTATTGGTTCCTTTTGCATAGAATCATGCATTGGAGTTCCTGATGACCCTTGTGTTTGCTACACATGTCAGGCTTATTCGAGTCTCTGAACAATATTATTAATCCCATCTAATAACTGTAAGGGAGCATTTGACAAAGTTGTAGTGTACGAATCCATAAAAGAGGACGGAATTCATACAGGGCAAAATCTGTTCTCTATTTTATGCTCTATCGGCCTGTTTTACTATTACTGTCACCCATTAGTGTTCTTTTTTGTTAGACAATCTTGTCCTTTCTGCCTGTTCTGCCCCAAAAGCAGAGAGATGTTGAAAACTATTCATAGGAGTATCTTATAGTAGTTGCTGCAATAACTTTAGAATGTGATGATGAATTCATTTTTTTTAATTTTATTAAAATTAAATAATCATAAAAACATATTTTTACACATTTTATGTGTACATGTTATATTATTTTGATATATATTAATTAGGCATTAAATAATTCTAAATTAACATAAAAATTATAAATATACGTGTAAGAATATGATGTAACTTATGTTGATGTAAGTTGATACTCTTCTGAGTGTACGTGTAATCTGTTTTACTAAATTTGACACTGATGCTATCTGATCTTTTCTCTCTCTCACACACAGGAGGAGTTTATTAATGTACACTAACTTATTTTTTCAAAGAGAATATTTTAACAAGCTATAACTTTCCATGTATTTGAAAATTATAGTTATATCTTGCTATCATACCTCTTGTAAAATATAAATGAGTGCAGCAATTGGAAATAATAATATACTCCTAATTAGTTTTAATAGGAATATGTTCACATGCTACACAGGTAGGGTATTTTAAGAAAGTCACTTATAACTTGCTAACATATACATTCAGAAAAATAAATGGGTGTATATATTATAAAGTGTTTTTCAAGGGCTAGGAAGGATAAGAATCTAGTAGAGGACGCATGCATGTACGGTATATGTTTGTGTATATACTGCAGAAGATTCGTATAGAAGCTAGGAAAATTTTATACTCAGCTTGAAGAAAAGCGAAAAACCTCAAAATACAACATACTATAAAGACTCCACCACAAAATGAAAGTATGAAGCTGAATACTTTGTTTTGTTCCATTACTCGAATAAAAGCAATGGTTTATCACTTCAACACTGTCGCTATCTAACTATAGATGCAAAAAGATTAGCTTTTTCATAACAAATCCACAAAGATACGGAAAATCCAGTAACGTAGAGATAATCTTTCGCTTCCACTGTTCATGTATGTTTGCCAACTGAGATTTGCATTATATATCTTCCATTACCCATTTCCAGGATATATTCTCTTTCATAAAAGCATTGCCATGTTTTAGTTGCACGACCTGCAATGACTGTATGATTTGATTTTGATGGTATATGGTATTGATTGGGCACTATGTAATTAATCATATATTTATACTATAAAACTTACACCAATGCATGATTTTTCTTGTTAACTTCAAGGATGGTAGTGTGGTCATGTTTTTCTTTGCCTAATTTATTTTTGTCCATATTTTCCATGTGACTTTCAATTCAAATTATGCTACATGATTTTTACAAAATTTGTAATGAAGACTAACCAATGTGTTTTCATATGCATTCATCTTTCAAAAAATATCAATTCCACGAATATAGGTATCTATGTTATCAACAGCAGTGAAAGTTTAAAATGGGAAGAGATAGTTTGCAGAAAAATATAAGTTCTGTCTGAAGTTCTAACTCTCTTGAATCATTCACTACTTAACTCTAGTGAAACTCATCAAGCACTATGCACATGATGATATTAGAAACAAAAATAGTAACCACATAAAGCTAGTTAGGCACATACCTTGGGCGTTAGACTTCAACTGGTAGAGGTTGATATATACATATATAACATATATGCAGAAGAGGAGACAAGTGGAGCTTAGCTATATATATGCTACACAGAAAACCTGATGTCACTAATTACTTACGTATTCATTATCTTTTAGACCAACATACTAACAGTAGCCCTTGGTTCTAGCTCAAGCTCTACTGACATGTACAGATACAATGAAAGATTCGTAAAGAAGCTAGGAAAATGTATGATTTGGTCAAGTGAAAAGTTTATTTGACTAAATTGGTTTTAAATTCAAAACGATTATTTTGTCTAATTTGGAATCTAAATGTTGTCTCAAAAACAATTTGATCTAGTGAAAAAGCTAGTTCATAAAATAGCTAGTAAGCCCAGCATATGCCAAACTGTTAATTCATAAACCTTTTAAAAAATAATATATCTCATTTATCATGCGCCCATCTTCTAGATGAATTAGCTGTTATTTCATACAAGTTAAAACTAATAAAATATACATGCAAAGCCGCATAAATATTAGCCATCTGTTGTGGACAAGTCCAAAAAGTTCTCTGCAATGAGAAAAACGGCTTAAGGAGGCTTGCCTCTGACCCTGAGCATTATAATTCTCATAATTGATTAACTTTGATAGATGTCCGTAAGTATAAATCACTGTCAAGTGTCAATATATATATGTAATATTCCACACTTCAAACATGTGCCATAGGCAAGGCATCAATTCCTAAAGCTTCGCAGAGTAATGCATCACTTGTTGCTATGAATAACTAAGTTATATCCACCATGTGTCTTCAAGGTGAAGCTATTACAGTAAAAAGCATTGGATTCTCCAACAAAAGCACTTTTGGTTTTGATTATTGCAAGATTCATGCATAATGGATAAGACAAAATGTGCCTTATGCTTTGGCCTTATGAAGTATTAAGATGTGCGATGTGCTATATATTCCCCTAATCACAACCCTCATTCAAAGGAACCAGCTTCTGTTTGCGATGTATTCTATTGTTTCTGATGCATTTGTTCCTCTTTTTCCTATTTAATTTAGCGTAGATATTCCTTATGGTAATACCCTTTAGGTCCAATGGATCAGAGTACAAAGACATTTATAATTTGCAGCCACAAGATACATTAAAGCATATATGTATGTGGGCCATTTGTCTGGCAGCCACTGTTAGGTGAGGATATATGGAATTAAAGATGGCAGCATACTTTGATGAATAAGTATTCAAAGTACAGGATTAGAAAAAAGAGAGAGAGAGAGAGAGAGAGAGAGAGGAGTCTTTTCCCCCTGTTGTGTGGGCTATATAATCCCCAACAGAGTATTTAAATCAATAATGTAATCTGGTATTACAATGAAGATCGAATTTATATTATTAGTAGTCCAACATAAATATCTATAAACCCAATAATGCCAATATCAAAATGTTCATCTTGTATTAAAAAAAATAATTTTTCTTTCAGTTTATTGAATTAGCATTAGAAAAGCCTACTTGCCTAATATGCAGAGGTATAATATTGAATGCACGAGTTGATTTGAAGGCAAACCTTGTCCTCTTTTGTCATTAGAAACTAATGAATGATGAACAAGAATATTGAATGCCCACACAATCTAACATGTTTACAGTATGATCTATTTTATTTTCTTTGTTTCCTGTACTTTTTTATTCTTAATTTACTTTTTGTAGCTTTATTACTTTATTGGTCAAATTAGTATAGACTCATTGCTCCTTTTTCATTCGCATGTTACTTGTTTTTATTGTAGTTGTTCTGGTAGAGGCATGTGGCCTAATAAACTGCAGTCCAAGAGAGAGAAGTACCAAATATTCCAATTGCAGCTTTGGTAACTAGGATTTTTCTTTTCCCTCTAATTTATGTATTCGAAATGCTTTCTTTTAATAGAATATATTTAAATAGGAAGGATTGTCGCTGATGGTATGTGAGGATCTTCGTTACTATCCTTAGCACTTCATCACTAATAAAGCAGAAAATTTTATTAAATACATTTTTTTCATGAAAGTGTCAGCTTGTTTTATTTTAGCACCTTAAAGTTTTAAAAACAAAGAAAATTATTTTCAAAAGTTAAAATCAACTTATATACTTTATCTTTGATATAAGTTAATTAAGAAAGTTTTTGCAAAACATAATTAAGTTTTAGAAAAAGTAAGAGAGTATAATTATAGGAATTAATTCACATTACTAGTTTTTTATTTTCTATAAATACTTATTAAAAATGAATCCAAAAGAAGTCATTGTTTTTAAACATGTACTTTAAGAAATCTAACAAACACAAGTTGGCACTTTACAAATTATTTATATATATAAAAACTAAAATTATATTCTATCCTTTGCTTCCCCTTCCTTTGTGGATTGGGGAGGCATTGAGAGAATGACACTACAGGGAAGGCAACCTATTATTTTCCTTTTACACCATTGTACGTAAAGAATGACAAGATAAGGAGTCTTTTGGTTTGGCACCGTAGTTGCATGAAAATACACACATTGCAAAGCAAAAGAATAGTGTCGTATTGGGACCTTTCTCCGTATAAAGCAAAGGGTTGCCTCCATGTCACGCTCGAAACCAGCTAAGCCCCCCCTCCTCCCTCTCTCTCTCTCTCTCTCAGTTCGAGAAAGTGCAACATAATCCCTCCATCCTATAAAGAAAACCAACCACACACCCTTAATCCTTCGTAGTAAAAAAAGTTCTTGCCTTAGCTTACCCTCTTCTTCTCTCCCTCTATTCTCTCTTTTCCTTGTCTTCTTGTTAGCCAACTTCACTTCAATCATTATGCAATGATAGGTTTTTCTGTCTTCTCTTCTCTTCACTGCATCTATGTCATGGCACGGTGAGGCTTCTCCTTCCTCCTATGACATAAAAATATACAAAGATATTCATATAACTTGGAAAAAAAATTATAAAGAAAAAAACTTGCATATGGGTACTAGTACTAGTTTTTTCCTTCCAAGGTTCTTTCGAGCACTAGCAGTGGTGGGGCTTGTATGTCTTCTTGTTTTGGGAAGCTTAGGTAGTGGTGAAGGAACAAGACAACCAACTACACAATGGTCTGACGAAAGGGTCAAGCATGAGCAAGTGCTAGGTAGAGATAAGCCCGTGAACCGTGCTGAATTGGACTTCAACTACATGAGCAAAAGAAGAGTTCCAAATGGACCAGATCCTATTCATAACAGGTTTGTCTTGCTTCCGTTTATCTCAACCCAAATATAGATAGACAAATTTAATATTTTGTTTTGTATTCATATATGTGCCTTTTTAGTTTCAATTTATGTTACTGTTAATTACTTAATCATATGTATGTTATGTTTCTATAAAGTTTTCTGCCACCAAGACATGCATTGCTTTTTAATATTAAACGTGGCTAAGCCATAGTACGTACATATATAGTTAGTGTATGATCATATTATATTGTTGGAAGTTCAAGTGTGACAGAGAAAGGAATGTACAAGGTAAGGACCACATAAATATATGTAGATATTGATTTTTGAAGGGTTTTTGGCTCTCCTGTTCCTATCATATATATGAGATGAACCCTATTACTTGACTAGTGTTTATTTATTTATTTTTTCCTAACTCTTAATATAAAATTTGCATTGGATTATTTTCAAATATAGTACTATGCCTCTTACGGAAACAGGGCTTCATCAATTTCAAGTTTAAGGTTCCTGCTATAATGGAGATTAACCAAAAAGGATGAAAAGCCAACCATGGGGTTGATTACTAACGCTTTTAACTGTTACATTGAATTGCTGATTTAGGTTCTTTTAACAGGGATACTTCTTTATAATACATTAATCAGTGGACAAAGCCATAAAAAAAGATAAAGTATATAGCTAGCAACTTTATTCCACTTCCTAATTAATCATAAGCAATTAAAGTTATTTATGTCTTAGGTTCTCTGCACTAAGAACTTTTAACCTTTTTCCCTGGTTATCTTTCTTTTGATCTTGCTTTATTTCTTTTACCGCAAGACACAAGCATGCACGAATTAAGACTTGCTATGAAATTATTTTAAACATATTTCATGCTTATCAATTAATCAATTAATTGTATTTGTATCCGATGTTATTTATTTTGCTAGGAAATTGATTTTTTTACTTTAAATATTGTTTGATAATTATTTTCAGGAGAGCTGGAAATTCTGGTCGACCTCCTGGCCAAGCTTAGAAATTAACCAGGGAATTAGACAAGCTTCAGCAACCTAGCAGAAGATGACACAATATGTTAGAGATGTACTTTTGAGAACTTTGAATGACTTCATATATATATATATATCCCTGACCTTGACTTCAGCTTGCATGCAAGGGCTAATCTCTCACTTGCGGAAATTAATTTGTTATGGGAAGAGTTGTGGCCTAAAGAGGGAAAAGAGAAAGGAAGCTTGTCCCACAGAAAATAAGCTGAAACGAAAGTTTGATCAGTTTCTATAGAAACTGCAAGTTAGTGAGTGTTTTTGGTTTTTGAACTAGTGTTGATGAGGGAGGGAGGGTGTCACAAATTTCTAAGGAATGGAAATCAGTGCTTGCATGTAAAGCAATTAACGTAACTTTAAAGTTTAAAAGCCAGAAAGATGTATGTACAAGATGTTGTAGCAACAGCAGCAGCCATGCATGCTTTTGGAGGACTATACATGTCTTCTATGTTAGGAAAAAAACAAAGTCTTGGCTTTGGTTTGCTCACTATTAAGTTTGGGATTTCTGTTTTTTTTTTTATTTTTTTGTAAAGATTAGGTATGAGTTCCTAAAGTAAAAGTAAATTCCACCATTTAAAGGTGTTGGCGCACCTGTAAAAGAAGGGTGTTTGCATCTTGTGTTAGTCTTTTTCACTAGATTCTTTGGTGGGGTTGGTGAAACTGATTGGTCTTTGGTCCATTCAAACATTTTACACTGTATTAGATTCTTATTATCTTGTCGCAATAAGAAGTGGTAAGAAAAGAATGAGATTATAAAATGAAAATATGAAAAAAGAAGGAAACAAACAAATGGTCTTCAATGTCTGAAAGTGAAAATTAAAGATTGCTCAAAACTCAAGCATTTTTAGGACCTGCTTTTCTCTCTTCCTGTTTGCTTTGATTAGTTTGAGAAGCAAAGAAAGTGTGCAAAGCAAGTGAGATTCAAATAGGGGCATTTACCAAAAAGGGAAAAAAGGATCAATAATTTTAAACTTGTGTTAATACCCCACCATTTTTTAACAGCTACATGTATTTGTGCCCCACCATTTTTCTCTGTTAATTTAGGAAAATATGTACTTATAAAAAAATCATATATTGCTCATAGTCCCAAGAAAGGTGCATACTTTATAAATTTGGATGTCCCACTTTGCATTGGTCATGACCCAAAATAAAAATAAGATCAATAACTCGATTTTACAAGAATAATATTTCTTTCATATCTCTAATTTTTACCTTACCTATATATTCCTCGTTTATGATAAGAGAGAGAGAGAGAGAGAGATTCATTTGATATAAAAAATTAAGAATATGAAAAATTGGTTGCTTTTGTAAAGTGACACACACATATACAATTCCCAAACCCTCAACCTCATGAGAGGAGGTCTCTGTGTGCCTGTGCAAAAATGGTACATACAAAGCAATATTTTTAAAATTAGTTTGAACATTGAATTATTAATACAATCCTATTCGATTTGTGCTTCAACCACTTGAAACGTACAATTTTAGCAATAAGAAAAAAAAAACTCAATTTTTAAATAAAATAAAAAGATGGCTAAATTTTCTTTTTCTTTGTTCAAAGACATCCCCGTCATTTTCTTTTAATTTATTTTACTATTTTTCTCATTTTAAACTATCTTTTTATATTTTATAGAATTTTTTAATTTTATTCATTTTGTTCACCGACACAACTAAGGAATAAGTTATGCTACTTATTCTTTGGAATATTATTACTTAAAATTTTAAAAACAATCTTTACAACTCAATTTTATGTATATCATATATATCTGAGAATAAATTTAATGATTTTATCTTTGAATATTTTTAAATTTTTTTTAACTATTATCTTTTTCGTAATTTCTAAGATTTGAAGAAAAAGAAGTTTGTTATAAAAAAATTTATTATTTTTTTATTTTTTATTTTTTTAAATGATAACTTATCATTTACATAATTAAAAGTTATTAACATTAATTTTATTTTTATCTATTTTTATTTTTACAGTAGTCTATTTTCTTTTTTTTTATTTTTTTATTATTAATAATTAATATCATACTTTGTTAGATAGAAATAAATAAATAGATAAATAACATTTTAAAATTAAAAAATAAATTATTTAAATTAATTCATATAAACTTTATTGATATAACATATTAAAATTAATAATTTAAAAATAAATTAATTACACAGTTGTACTTTTAGTTACAAATCCACAACTTTTAACTAAATTGATAATTAGAAAGCAGAAGTTGCAATTTTTAACTTGTATTATTAAACATAATCTTAATTTTTTATTGACATAAAAAGATAATAATTATAAAAAACATTTTTTATTCTTTTTCATATAATTATTTGCTTAATATTATTTGTTTTGAAGAAAAAAATTATACTATTTTATAATCACTCACAATTTATATTGGTGATAACATAAAAAAATATTAATATATTTGTAATAATGATAACAAAAACAATAGTTGTACCAGTAAGATTAAAAAATATTCGATATACATTACAAAATATGTGGATCTTAACTGTCGAATTAATCTTTAAAAGTCTTACAATTCAAAGTTCAAATTAGTAAGGAGTATTGTATTAATTAGAATTTGAATTTGGATGAATGAAGCATTGAAGATTCCATGTATATAAAATAAAACCGCGTATAGTTTTAGAAATGGAACAGTATTTCTCCTTCCAAGTAAAACTGCAAGAAAGAGAGACGTGCAAATGCAATTGCTGCTGAAGCAAGATTTGACTAAGCTGCCTCTGTTGTAAATTTGACTTGGGAACTGTTCTGGTTTGAAAATTATATTTTCCATTATAGATATATCAAACTTCTAACAATTTTGATTGACTAGTCATCAAACTTAAAGATAATAGCAACAAGTCAAATACTTACACTTATTTTCTTACGTTTTTATTGAATCACATTGCATTGATCTTAATTAGTTTAATAAGTATGACTTTGCCAAAATACGCTTAAATTAATATAATTTGAACTTATCTACTACATTGTTGAATAAATCATAATTGTCACATTTTTTAATGAATTATTTTATCAAAGTTGGCCTCTTTTCATTTATCTATTTATACATAAATCTAAATATTTTTTTATAATAATTTGATTAACTCTTTATTTATTATTTATTACTAGGTCTTTCTTTAATCTTTATACTACCCTAATAGTGAATCTTTTATTTATTTTATCTAAAACCTTTAAATGGACAAAACATATTAATGAAATAATAATAATAATAATAATAATTTTATAAACAAATATAAAAAAATGTTATTTATCTTGACAAAAAATGTATAAAAATAACATTAATTAATAGTGTATAAATTTTATTGAAATAAAATGGTTTAACTCAATTAATTAGCACCACTATCACCGTTATGTCAGTGAAACAAAATATTAGCTAACACTCATCAAATATTAAATAGGGTAAAATTATTGTAAAAAAATGTGTTATTGTATGCAATAATTGTGCATATCAAACATAACATAACACAATTATTTGTGGTACATTGACTATCAAACAATAAATAGAACAGAACAACTATATTATACCTCAACCAATTGTAATGTACTAAACATAAACTGATAAAAAATGTATATGTTGTTCCCTGATATACCTAAAGTGCACTCTTAATTTTTGTTTTTCATTTTTTTTATTATCTATTGTTGTCAATTAATTCTTGTTATCCATCGGTCTGATGCAGGTAAATGGTTCATGCAAATCAAGTTTAAAACATTCATAATATATTTAATTTTAAAAATAATTTACATTAAAAATCAACATATCCAATTCAACAAATTTTTAAGAAAGTAAAACATATTAAAACTTAAACTCACCAATTGATCTGACAAATTTAACCCAAATATTTTAAGTGATCTCAATTTTTTAATACAAGACTTTCATGAGAGTTGGCCTAAGCTGGCGTAGCCCAAATTTAGCCTGAAACCACTTATAATGCAAACTTAAATAAAACAAACTAATTCAATATTTAGAAACAAAATTCTCTGTGTTTATTCGGTGTGTACTTTTGTAATACTCTTCTTCAGCGGCTTTTACTTATAAGTGGTATTGAATATATTTTTTTTTATAATTGAACCTTAAAAAAATAATAATAAGTAAAAAATTGAAATCTACATAAAAGTAAATTTAATGTTTCGTGCCTCAAATTTAATTAGTATATTTAGGCGTTCCATTGAACTTCTATTGAATTATAAAATTGCTTCAAGGATGTAGGAATGATTTGAAGTAAATTAATTAATATTTTTACAACAAAATTCATTTGTCTGATTGATATTTAATTACATTATAATGTCAGCTAACACTTAAATATAAATTGAACCTATTAAAATTTAAAAGATAAGATGTTAGCTTATTTTCTAATTAGTTTATTTGGAATAATATTTTTTTGCAACTTCCTAAAAAATAGCAATTTTAAAAAATGTTAAAACAATAAATTATTTACACCTAAAGTTAAGTTCAATTTGTTTGGCAATAATTTTTCTGAACAAATTTCATTGCAGCGTCATTTCATTTTGGTTTGAGTTTCATTTCGTTAGGTTATGGCTGGCAGGCTCCCCCACCTTCGCGGCAATTTCCCTCTTTCTCTCATTCACAAATTAAACTAATTTTAAAATAAAAACAAAAACAAAATTTTCTAAAATTCATAACATTAAAAAAAGAGTTTTTATTTTATTTTTCTTTTTTAAGTCTCTGCCTATAGTTTTTCTGTTTGAAATACACAGAAAAAAAAAAAAAAAAAAACTGAGAGATACAGAGAAGAAAAGAAAAAGACACAGAGGGGAACCAAATGAAATGATTGAAAAGAGAGCCAAGAAAAAAGAAACAAACCCTTCCGAAACGGTTTCGTTTTGCTCTCAGCGCTTTAGGCCCGACGCTTCTCCGGTCGCCTTCGGCGACTCTCCGGTGAGATTATCCTGAACCGATAACGGATCTGTTAGGAACAAGGATCTCGGATCTGAGCGAAAACGATGCCGTCTCACGCGAATCTGGACCGGCAGATCGAGCATCTGATGGAGTGCAAGCCTCTGCCGGAGGCGGAGGTGAAGGCGCTGTGCGATCAAGCCAGGGCTATTCTGGTGGAAGAGTGGAACGTTCAGCCGGTGAAGTGCCCCGTCACCGTCTGCGGCGATATTCATGGCCAGTTCTATGATCTCATCGAGCTTTTCCGGATAGGTGGAAATGCTCCCGATACTAATTATCTCTTCATGGGCGATTATGTGGGTCGGTTTTCTCTTCTTCTATTCTTTCTCTTTCTATTGTGTTTTTTTTTTTCTTTTATGTTTAGTTTCATGAGCTGAATTTGATGTAGATAGGGTTTCCTTTTGTTTCGTTCGAGAGCGAAATGCTTAATAGCGTGTTATAATTGAATTTATTTTATTGTGTTTTTTACAGCGTGGTATTGGATTTGAAATTGGAATTTCTGCACTTAGTTTTTATTTTACCTTTTTATGCTTTGATATCATGTTACGATTTTTTTTTTCATGATTTGATGTCCTTGAGAAGCGTCTTTTCCCTGTGTTTTCTGAGAATTGAAAACTGTTTTTTTATGGGATTGTTAGCTGGTTATATCGGTTTGAAAATTAACCACAAGGGGGGTGATTGCTTGGCTGCAGTATTTGTTTACTTGTTCTGCAATATTTGACATGCTGTTACCTAGTTTACACCTGTTTTAAGGTTTTTCCATGATGTCATGCTAGTTAATTTTCATGGGGTATTACATGAGTTTGTTTTATGCTTGACTAATTCTATGCATAAAATAAACTGGTTATTTCTATATCTTGGCTCCATGTTGTGTCTTTACTCTTTAGCATCTATGTTACTGTTAAAATCTAAATAAAACTCATTTTGAGTTTCTGGTTTTGTTACGCCAAACCAAGCATTTTTTTTAAAGGAGAATTGTTTGGTGAAACTTGCTTTTTACGCGGCCCTTCTTGAGAGAATTTTGCTAAGGGCAGGCTTGGAATTGAAAATGCAGTTATTAGAGTTTGATATGGGAGTCTGATTACAATGATGGTGTAGGGAATAGGGTAGAGCAACACAAGGGAGAAATTCTGAGATGGAAACTTGAGCATTAAATATTGAATAAATTATAAAACATCATTATGATTTTTGTAGTACTTTAGGTTTGTATGTTGGAAGAGTGACAACAGAAGGGGAAGAATGTTCATCAAACTGTAGACGGAGAAATGAATGTGAAATTGAAAGTTGTATGAGATGGTTTTATGGGATAAATGTCTGTGAAAACTGAAGCTTCATAAGTCAAATGTAGGTAGCCAGTTTTTTACAAATTTGTCTGGAGCATTAAAAGAAGAATAATTAATGTTCTGTTTGTATTGAGGTATCCAAACTGGGTATCACTATGACGTGTCTTTGAGGAAATTATGAGGTTTAACAACAAAATTATTTGTGGATGTTACACATTTCAGAATTCAGATATAATAGGTGCCAACCCTGGCTGTTATCATCCTTTTCTTTCTGTTGTACTGCTTTTAATGATGCTTAAATTTTGAATCTCTGCATCTTGGGAACTGGTATTTTTTCCTCATAGCTAAATTTATGCAGATCGTGGGTACTATTCAGTGGAGACTGTTACACTTTTGGTGGCCTTGAAAGTCCGTTATAGAGATAGAATTACAATTCTCAGGGGAAATCATGAGAGCCGTCAAATTACTCAAGTGTAAGAACATTTTTTACTCATTCTAAGTTTCTTGGAGAAACTCATTGTAATATATGCATTTAAAGATGTGTCTTGTTTAAGCAAAAGTTTTAGCACATGTCCTGCTTTTAAGTTTAAGAATAGGTTTAAGGTGTGCTTCCCTGATTCTTATATTCATTTGGTTTATGCAATAGAACTTGTCCATGGGCTCCATCTATCTTGATGGAAATGTCAAGGGCAGTTAACTTATGAACAGCCAATGTTATCAATGGTGGAAGACAGCTCATGGCGGAAACCAAAAAATCTGCCATAAAGTTATGGCGGCCGCCATGGCAGGTTACAGTAGATATAATAAAATATATAAAAAAGATTATAATATACATATATAATATTTATGTACACAGAAATTTAATATAAATGATCAAGAAATTTTCAAGATTACATCATCATCATTCCAAGTAACATTAACAGTGTAAAAGAGAAAAACACTGCAGCGTGGATGTTATATTAAACAAAAAATGCTAAATAGAGCTTGAACAACAACACAAAGAATGAATAGCAAAATAGATGTTGAACAGAAAAGCAAGAATGATCAATGAATAGTAAAATAGAGCTCAAACAGAAAAGCAGAATAGATGCCAGAAAAGCTGATTTCTCTGGTGAACAGAAAAGCAGAGGAGACGCTGGAAAACTGATTTTTACGGCAAAATGGAGTGGGTGACCCTCCGGACTAGCTGGTTTTTTGGGCAAAATGGAGTGGGTGAGTCGGTGAGGATGGGAGAAATTGCTATGTTGAGGTTTTGACTTTTCGCGCAGAGAGGAAGAGTGTGGAGGAAGATGAAATATATGTTTTATCAAGGGTAAATGACCTTTCTACCCTTACAAATAATCAAAACGGTGCGTTTTAAGAAAAACAGAAAATGGTTTCTTCCTTTCTCCAAAATCATGCAGTAGCACCTGTGACTTCTCCCTGTTCTGGCCGCGAACCACCCACAACCACCGTGATGTGACAAATGCCCTGCAACGTGGCAGTAGTGGCAGCCGATGGCTGCTCTCCACTGCACCGGTGTGATAGCACCACTATTAACAAGCCACCTTAGTGTTTTCTTGCGCGGGTCAACCTCTGGACTGAGTCGGGTTCGCGGCCCAAGCCTGCAAAAATGCTACTTTTCAACAATTTCCGCCATGGCTGCCGTTACCGCCATGCACGTAACAGCTGCCATGGCGCTGCCATAAAACGCTAAAGCTGTAACGGCGGGGTTACTTTCCGCCACCAAATTCCGCATTGCGCTGCCATGGCTGCCATTTGACAACACTGCGAACAGCAGCTTCATTTTGTGATGACATTCCTTGTTTTTCTCACCATTATTCTGTTGTATTATCTTAGTATTGGGTTAATGTAATAGAATTAGTATATAGATGTACATATGGATGCTGAGGCTAGTGTTGTAGCCAATTTTTACTACATTATAGAAATAGTTGCGAAGTGCATGGTAAGTGGATGATGAAATTATGCTCAAATCCAAATGAACCTGGTACATGGATGTCAACAGGTGCTTAAACATCATAGCTTGCTAGTAAGGTACATCTTTGTAAATGAGTAGACATGAATTACATTTACATTTGTTTTTTTTTTTTTTTTTTTTTTTTTTTGGGAGGGTGGGGGGTGGAGTTGGGATGGATATCAAAGGGAAAATCACTTTCTCTTTGAAGTTAAGAATCATCAATCATGAGGAATTTTATTTTATAAATATATGTATTTGCTTACCATTTCATCTATATTCTTCATCTGCTTTCAGGTATGGCTTTTACGATGAATGCTTGCGAAAATATGGAAATGCCAATGTCTGGAAATTCTTTACCGACTTGTTTGATTATTTACCTCTTACTGCCCTCATTGAGAGTCAGGTTTGAGTTAAATATGCTGCAGAATGCTTCTCTGATTACTTAATGCTGGTGTCTAACATCCATGAACATTACAGATTTTCTGCTTGCATGGAGGTCTCTCACCATCTTTGGATACACTGGATAATATCCGAGCCTTGGATCGCATACAGGAGGTTTGTGTTATTAAATGGCTATTACAAGCTTTACAATTAAAAATTGTCAACCATTTGGTATGAATAACATCTTTATGCAAAGCATGCTCGAGTCAATTCACAATTTATTTTTAATATGGGATGAAAAGTCTCTAAATATTTGCCTTGGTGTTGCAGTTGCTTTATTGTGGTTTGTAATACTCTTGTTTTGCTTTAGAAGTGTTTCATTTTTCTAGGGTTTACAATGATGTTTGCTTTCTCTTTGTATTTAGTTGAGTCAACTATTTAGTATTCATTTCAGCCTTGCCAGGTGCTTTAGGCTTTTAGCCTGTCTCATCTTTTCGTCATGTATGGAATTTCTTTTTCTTACATCTGTCTTGTCTAGAACCATGTTAGCAAGGGTAATTAGATTTCTTGCCTAACAAGTGACAACTGTATTTGTGCAATGTAGGTTCCACATGAAGGACCAATGTGTGACCTCTTGTGGTCTGATCCAGATGATCGCTGTGGTTGGGGAATATCCCCACGTGGCGCTGGATATACATTTGGACAGGATATAGCGGCTCAGTTCAATAATACCAATGGTCTCTCCCTGATATCTAGAGCTCACCAGCTTGTCATGGAAGGATACAATTGGTGCCAGGTAACTAACCCGATATTCTGATTCGACGATAATTATCAATTTCTTTCATTTTAAGGATAAAAATCACTTTCAATTTGTTGACTGTTTCTCTTAATGACACTTTTTAAGGACAAAAATGTGGTGACTGTATTTAGTGCTCCAAATTACTGTTACCGATGTGGGAATATGGCTGCCATACTGGAAATTGGAGAGAACATGGATCAGAATTTTCTGCAGTTTGATCCAGCTCCCCGGCAAATTGAGCCTGACACTACACGAAAGACTCCGGATTATTTTTTGTAACTTCATATATCTATCTGTAGTTACTACTGTCTGCTGTTACTGTAGATGTGTCTTTAAGGAAAGAGGAGTTTCACTGTTTTAAGTGGAGGGCTATCATCACCATAATTCTTTCTTTTGGAGTTTGTCTGCTATTGCTGCTGTCTTATTCGGACAAGAAACCGATAGAATTGACACAATTGGTGTTGTATATTTTTGATAGGAGGAAGCGGCAAAAACATGGTATATCTTGTGCTGTAATTTTTTTAAATTAAATTTCAAGTTAGAGAGCAGATTTTTGAGTTCTGACCATCATGTTCATTTGAGACAGTTGATGGTGACAAATGCAGGTGTTGGTTTTCACATAAGTGAAAGATAATAAGATATGGGTAGAGCCCCTAAGAGGGTTGAGTGGAGACTGTTGCATCGAGCCTCGTGAAATAGGGAGCTAAGGTTTTGCCTGATTATTTTTTTATAAACATGTTTTTATTACTAGTTATAAAATGTTATTTTTATTATATCTTCTATTTTTAAGATTTTGTGAAGAAAATGGTTTATTCACTAAATCCTAAAAATAAGAACTAAAAACAAGTTAACTAAAGCAAAAAACAAATCGATAAACACCTAAGGACTTGTTTGCTTTCTTTATTGAAAAGAGCAAAAGGGCCTAAAATCAAGTTTGCATAAAATTTGATGAAAATGTTTTATGAACAGCCATACAATTACTAGTGTTTACTTTTGTATAATTTTTACTGCGCAATTGCAATTAGTTTCATCTTACCCTTTGCTTGCGTACTCTATCAGTCTCATCTTAACTTTTATACACTTAGCGCTTCGACTGTGATATTAGAGAATTGACTTCTAATTTCTTCACAGTATTCATTCCTTATAACAGTGCGGCTCAAATTTTATAAGTGGTAAGTACTAAGTAACTTGTAATTGGAGTTGTCAGGTATTGATGTCCCTTTGAATTTTATTTGCCTTATATAGTTTCCACTTCTTTCTTTATTGAAAATGAATTGAGTGAAATTTAATCTTGTTTAACTCGATTTAACTTAATAAGAATTGGTTTGGTTTGAACTTTAAGTTTAATGTGAATTCACCCAGTTCAAGGTTGACTCAATTTTAGTTAAGTTCAAATTATAAGAACTAAAATGGAAAGGCTAAATTATATTTTTTTATTCTTTTAATTTCGATTATGATCAAATTTAGGTAAATTATATAATAATAATAATAATAAGATAAGTTAAAAATAACTTATTTATTCAAATTTTAGAAAAGTTAATAAGAAAACTCTTCAAAAACTAAAGAATATTTTTAACTTATAAAAGATATTTTATTAATTTTTTTTATTTAAAAGGTTTTTCTATAAATTTACTTAAATTGGATGTGCAATTTTGGAAGTTCACTTATTTTTTTGCCTTCAAATTGAATTTTTTCTTCTATGTAAAATCCATAAATTTTTAAGCTGAGTTAAAGATAATTTCATCGATTTAATTTATAAAGATTATATAAGTAGAGGTTAAGAATTTTAGATAGAAGAAATCGAAGTTCAAATTTATTAATTTTTATTCAAAGAACTTAATTGACTAAAAAAAATAGCTTGAAGTACAAAAATTACACATATTTTTAACTGAAGAGGAAACATTGGAATCACGGCAAACCAAAATAAGGTAGGTTGTTTAATTAATTTGATTGATTTTTAACCTTATTTTAGGGGCAAATACTTTTTTTTTTTGGCAAATACATTTTTCTATTTCTCACATGGGTTCACTTGTACTCTAAACAATTTTCAAGCAAACCCCTACGCTGTCGGGGATGTTTAAAATTGAACTAAATCTTTTTAAAAAATAATTAAATTGAAAATCAAAAGAAATTGAATTTTATTTTATCACATTTGCTTTTAGTTTTTATTATTAGAAACGAACCATGCATGCAATATAAAAACATTGCTTTATCTATTATATTCCCATATAATAATTAATTATTTACTTAACTTTATCTTAACATTGCGTGAATGCATGGTACGCTTCTCATACACACTCTCACCCATTTGTTTCAATCACGTATTTTTTTTCCTTTTTCCTTCTTTATGAAGACTCTACCTTCTTTCATATTTTCATAATTCTGATTAGTGCTTTTCTCCTTTTTTTTTTTTTTTTTTTTTCTGAAACACTAACTTTGATTTTCAATCCCATTGCATCACCTTTCTTTAATCTAAATTTAAAATTAAATTGAAAGTCATAAAAATATTTAAAAAAATCAAATTGTACAAGATTAATTTAGTCTGGTTTAATTCTAATATCACATTCAAATCAAATCAGACTAAATTATATTTTTTTTATGTTCAATTTAAATAATTTTTTGTGAAAACCAAATCACAAACGCTTCTAACACTGATCACGAAAAAAATTATAAACTACTTGAGAGATCTGCTCCTAGCAAATCTGAAGCAAAGAAGACGACAGTAAATCTATGTTTGTTTCAATTGATTAAACATCAAGATTACTGCATTATATCTTTTTTATTGAATCAATGTCTAAAATTTGTCAGCTAGCAATTATACCGTTATTTAGGACCTTGTCAATTTTGTTTAAAGAATCGTGTCGATATCTGTTGATAAGAGTCCAAAGAAAAGACTTATCTAATATTCAGGAAGATATCTCCACAATATTTAAACATAACCTGTCATATACACAAAAAAGATTTATTCTCATTTGATAATATACACCAAATGTGAATCAAAATAAAAATTTTAGCAATATGAAAGAAATTCATTTTATTGATAAAAAGTAAAAAATAATATAAATAATACATATTTGAAATTTTAATTAAAATTAGTTTAAACAATTTGATTAATATAATAAGTTTAACAATAATTTATAAATATCTTATTATACTTAATGTTGATTGAAGAAATTTGAATATTAATAATTAAAAACTAAAAAATTCTTTAAATAAAATAACTAATTATAGAGAGAGAGAAAAAAAAGTATTAATTTATTTTAATATATAAGATCATTAGATGTGTTCCAAATTAAGAAAGACAACTAATTACATAAGACCATATATAGAGAGTTCATCTTATTTTAAAACAAATTTTCAAATTTACAATATAAAATATTCCAAGCAAACGTATTTCGATTGAATGATATGTAAAATTTAAGCGAGTTAGGTAAGTAACTTTGATGAATGTTTATTTTGGATCAATTTTTAGGGAATAAACATTTTCATTAAGCTCTCACTAAGATTTTACTTATGAACGTTTTTAAACAATGTGAAATTTAAGTAAAATTTAAAAATAAATATGTGAGATATTAATATAAAACAAAGTTATAATATCCTTGCTCAAGAATAAGTATCTAAATTTATAAGTTAAGAATTGATAAACTAATCTAAACAAAAAATAAATAAATTAAATCCTCCATTCCAATAAATTAGCTAAAGTTGACTCAACAACATGGCATCAAAATGCAACGGTTTATGAATACCACCATGACAACTGTGCGTCCAGTTAAAACTACACTACAAAAATACAAAGAATATTTGGAGGCCACTAAATTCCAATATTTGGCCTATTACAATAAAATATCATACACTATCAGAACAAAAAATTAGAGGGAAAAAAAAAGTATTCAATATGGAATAAAATATCATCATTCTCCAGGCTACTATTTCAAAATCGAGAGTTTGTTTGAGCCCTTACATAACCGGACACGGAAGCAGCCTTCTTTTTTCTCAGGTATATGATTGATCCACTAATTAGTAACAAAAAAATCACCAGCCCCTGTACAAAGTGTTGCACATAATATGCATCAATATTTTAACATAAAACCTTGTTTTCCACAGTTCAACAAATAAATTTTAGAGTAACAGTTATACAAATGAATGCTCCACATGTGTGTATATAATGGTCAAGGCAGCTGAAAACAGAAACAATCATATGCTTTCAGATTTGAACAGCGTTGCATATACTCTCACATAGCACGTGTGGATTCACACTACTAAGTTCATTGATTATCCAAGAACTAACAAAAAAGACAGTACCAAAATCTTAAACACTACATGGATATGAGCCAGTAAAGTTAGTATCTTAATTTCCGTTGTATTTTAATAATCAGGGATATTACAGTCCCTTGGATTCTTGTGGAGGATAAAACAACGCTGATACCCAGTAGCTGAGGTGATTTAGGAGTAAATCTCTAGATGAAGCAATATGTAGCAAATGCTAGTTGAGATGAATCAATGAGGACTAGTTCTAAACCAACAAACTAACCCCATAAAGCAGAAAGCTAGATGAAAGAACAAGAACAGTGTGAAGCACTCAGTCTCGTTATAATGCCTAATAGTAATGACATGAAGCTTCAAACTTTGACAGCACATGGAACATCCTTAGAGGCTCCAATATCAACCTAATGATTATTAATAGATGTTAATGTAATGCCTCATCCTAATTAGTGGAACCCAACTGGACATTTTAGGAATGTCAATAATTACTCAAGAGCATGGTTCATAAGCACTTGGAAAAACTTACCACATAGATAGGAAACTACTTTTCAGTAGAATTTGAAGAATGTAGCTCAAGAACCAAATAATAGCACTTTGCTTTGCTAGTTCAAACATTTACCAACAGACCCTCATATTAAAAGATGTTGATAAGTGAATGCTTTTCTGGTAGCTCACTCAAGATTATGATGATTATCTATTAATTTATTATACAGGTTAAAGTCACAAACATGAAGGTGAGTCTTGGAACAACATCACATTGCAGACTTGTGACTTAGAGGTCACCGGTTCAAATACTAAAAACAACCTCCCTACTTGCAGGGATAAGCTGTGTATATCTACCCTTCCCAAACCCCATTAGGTGGGAGCTTCATGCATTTTTCAGCTCTTTGATTAATGTCACACACATGGTTTGCAAGTACACAATGTTTCTTGAAAATTTGAGTCACACACATGGTTTGCAAGTACACAATGTTTCTTGAAAATTTGAGAACCAAATACTTGAAAGACACTGACAAAACAAGTTAATCCTCTAAAATGGATATGTTCAACAGAATAATACATTACTCACTATATGATTTAATATTTCCAATCAACCAAGTTCAGAAGCTACTAATCAACCATAAGAATAAGAGTGTGCTAAAAACTGAAGGTTACCTCAAAATTAAGCACCGATAATTTCTCTTCACTGACTGGGGGTATACAGCTTCTATAAGTGATGTAAGCCTCTGAACTATTATCCGAAGACGATGAATCATCCAGTAAATTTCTATGTGATTGTGAAGTAGTGAACTCTCCGGCAATGTGTGACACTTCATGAGATTTTGCAATACTATCAGAGATTTCCAAAAAAGACCGACTTTTTTGAGAATTTGTTTTTTTTGTGTCCTTTGTTGAATCTTTAATTTCTAAACATTTGAATGGAATTCGGTAGCCAGTCTCACTGCAGCGGTATTTCTCATCACCCTACAACCTCCCAAGAAAAGCTTGCAGATAAAAATAAAGATGCCCATGAACAAACAACTAGGCAAAAGGCATCATGATGTAGCCAACAAAAAGAAAGAAGGACCCAAGCAAATGCAGAACTGATAGATTATAATTTATAAGTGCAATCCTAAGATTAAAAATACAAAAACGTTTGAATCTTTCAAAAGCTTCACAAACTTCTTATGGACTCAAGAGAGTCAATAGTTCAATATTATGAGAACTTGAATTCCATTTCATCAACGCCCAACAAACACATTCATTCTCTAGCCATTTGACATCACATTAATATTTATTTGAAAGCAAGGCATCATGAACAAGTCTGTACAAACATACATAATGGCCTCAAATCTCGTATGTTAAAGCTTTCTTAAATCCACTGATAACTCGTTAATATAAAACATAAACTAGAGTCAGATCTGTATTCATAAGGTTGTTCATATATCTCATCAACCTTCAATCCCACGCTAACACAGCTTGTTGATCTAGCTAATTGCAAAATGAAATGACTACACTTACAACGTTCCATTCTTTCTCAACAATAACAGTAACACAGCAAAAAGTCAAATACTTTATACTTCAAAACGCATAATTCAATCAGAAACGACACAACAGAATCACATTCTCAGTGTCAAACACCTATTTACTCAACAATCTTTCGCATTAGATAAACACCAATTTGAAGGAGGAAAAAAAAGGAAACCTTCTCGGAGTAGAGGCAGGGGACACATGGACCAGAAGGAGCACATTCAAAGGAAACGTTACTTCCTGAGGGCTTCTCTTTGAAACTCAAAAGAACTCTGCGCCCTAACCCGTTGCCATGTGGAGTGTTCCCATCCCTGCCCAGTTCCAATTACGAACAAAAGATTCCAACTTTAAGGTAAGCTAAATCAAACCAAATTTATAGATCACCAATCAGGCTAATCAGGAATTCAAGATGTGCCCTTTATACAAAACCATGGATGCATAGCGACAAAGAGATTGGAACTTACGCTTGCTGTCCCAAAGCGCGGAAAGGAGATATGGTGAAGAAGAAGAAGAAAAGTGGAAGAAACAAAGGAGAATTTGCTATATTCATTGCTTTCATCACTACGTTGCCTTCCCTCTTTACTTTTCCTATATGTAGAACCTGCAAGGCACCTCTGATATCTGTATTGTTATATTTATTTATTCTATTTAATGTAAAAATAAAAATAAAAATATATATAGAATCATATTTTGTAAATAATAATTTTCTTAACAAAGCTTTAGTTAAGTACTTACGTAAATAATTATGGAATGTTAAGTTTAATTTTTTTTTAAGATGGGTCAAAAGCTGTCAATGTCTCATTGCGATTAATATAATTTTTCTCCCTTAACTGCGGGCAGCTTCATCAGCTACATTTCTTTCCAGTCGTTAGCTCAGCCTGCCACTTTCATCTCACTTTACTGTATTTTGATTCATGGAATAAGATAAATCGCAAAAGAAGTTTAAACAAATTAAATTTCATTATTTTAAATGTTTTTTAATTATGTGTTTAAAAATTTATAACAAAAATTTAATAAATATTTATTTTATTAAAATATAATATTTAATATATCATTTTACTAAATCTTGTAATATTTGTATATAAGATTTGAAACAAATTTGGAATTTATATTTTAGAGTCAAATATCATCTGTCTTTAAAAGGAGTTGCGTCTTTCACATTAATCCCTCAGGAATAATAATTACCATTTTTCATTCTTGAAAGATAAAAAGTTTCAATCAATTTAATATTTTTCTAACATCAAATTGGAATTCGGCTAATATAACTCTGATTTTTTATATTTCAATTCAGTTTTAGGGACCAACGTGATCAATTTAATTTTTTATTTATAATTATAAATATTGATATAAGGCAAGCATTATGTTCTTCTTCTTCTTTGTTGTTAAAAACATTATGATCTAATATATGGACATCCCAGGTACACGTTTTGGTCCCAGTTGACATAGGTTAAATGAGCTATCTGCTATTGGGCTCGATGATAAATTAAATTGGCTATTGGGTCAAATTGAAGTTTAACTCTCCCCTACTCATTCCTTTTTCAAGACTCACAATGGTATTGTGCTACTATGAGCCCAATAATAAAGTGTTGCTTTAAGACCATGAGAAAGTAATGTTTTTCACTCTCTTTTTTCCTAATACTTTTTATGACTCATTTTCTTCTTTTTAGCTTTTTCTACCATACCAATTATCTTATCGTACAAATCTTCTCTCTTCTATCTCTCTGTGGTATGAGAAGTATTTAATGAGTGAGAATAATCATTCATAGCAAAAGGGTCCCCAACCCCTACCAAAACAGAAAAATAGGTTATTGGATTATGAACCAAAGTAAAAAGAAAGGTATCAAGATCAAGCAGATGAAGAAGCTGTATATATAAATATGTTTGCTTTATGGAAAATGATACAAAAGGGGTACATAAGGATCATCAAATATGGTCTTGCCAATGCAAGCCCCGAAAATGAAAATACACATGCCTCTTACGAACACAACAGTTTAAACTTTAAAAATCATCTCACACAAGACAAACACAGTACATATTCTGACACAGACTTTAGCTCAAAAAGGGTGGCTTTATATACAGACAGTGTATGGAATGAAAAGGTAAAAAAAGAATTATATTATTTACACGATAATTTTTATTTCAAATTTTTTTTAAAGTCTTCATCATACTAGCTTATATTATCATCCTATTCTTTCTCTTCTCTTCTTATATTTGCCTGATTTGCAAAATATTTATCATACAAAACTCATTTTTGGTGATGAAAAAAGGATGAGAACAGATCAAATGAAGGTGGGGAAAAAGAGATGGATTGCAGAGACTAGAATTTTAGGCACAAAGTGATGGTGGATTAACACTGCACTTGCCATGTGCTGGCATCCAAGCATTTTACTTGATACATATAGGGACAACAAAGACAGCTCAAGAAGAAGAGGCAGCAGGATTTAATGCTTCTATTCATCACATCCAACTTTGTCCTTTTTTTTAAGGTGTATTTAAAATAATATATTAAAAAATATTAAATAAAATATATTAAAGATTTTTAATACTTTTGTTATAATAAGTATTTTTATTTTAAATTAAAAAAAATTAACTACTTAATATATTTTTTTAGCACAATTAAAAAAGCTTTATATTCATTAACATAAAGAGATAAAACTTACCTCATTCCTTAATATTAGTTTAATATGCAAGATGTAGGTAATTTATATTATATATATATATATATATATATATATTATATAATGTACAACTTCTCTTTTTTTAAAAAAATTAATTATTATATAAGTCGTAAAATTACATAAAATATGATTTAGTAACCCATTTTGATAATATAACTTGTCCTTTCATAACTCGCACACATAATATATTACTTACACTAAATTGGTTTAAAATTTTAAAGTACACAAATTGTAGCTACTTAAAAAGTCATTCAAAGTAAATGAAAAAAATCCGTTCATTTTGAATATAAAATTATAATTAAATTAAACTAAATTGATATTTTGCAGTTCAGTTTATATTTTTTTAAAAAAACTAATTAATTTTGTATGGATTTTAAATTAAGACTAAAGAGTAATTTAATGTGTTTTGTTGGAAAACAACAAAAAGGACAAAAGTGTTAATGAATAATTTATTTGTTTGTTGAAAAGAGAAAAAATGATATTTTTAATTAAAAGAAGTGAGAATTTAAAGTAAATAAAAATGCTATAACTTATATTTACACACTATTATTATGATAAGATTAAAAAATATTTTTTATATGCAAATAGCATGAAAAATAATATAAAAACATTATAGGAGTGGTTGAATATGGTTTTTATAATAGAAATAAAAAAACTTAATCAAACTACAATATAAAATGCAAATTTTTATTTTGATTGATTTTTGTTTAATTTTTTAAAATCAGTTTAATAGTTTAAAAATTGTTTAATTTAATTTTAAATATCCCTACTAGATTGATAATATTTAGGCATCAAATCACCCCACTGTTATGACAAAAATATTTAATACATGTTTAGATTAACATACAATTCATTAAAATAATAATTTATTTTAACACTACGAATAATAATTTTACATTAAAATTTGATTTTTCCTAATTTTCAAACACACTTAGTTTTTTTTTTTTTCCAAACGTAGACTTGATACAGTGTGGGAAAAATATCTTGTATGTTATGTAGCGAATGAAATTTTTTATCCTCACTTCTTATTAAGCTCTACCTTGTTTTTAAAGTTGGTAATACTTTTATGCATTTGTTGGTAAGTTTTTATGCTAAGTTTTAATGCTCTTAATTAGAAGGAAAGGATATTTAAACCCAATGTGCAATTGCATCGGCAATGACCGAGTGTGTGTTTTCCTTTAGTTACCACTCACTAAATCGCTGTTAGACATAATCAGCAACAAAATTTATCATTAGAAACCCCTCCAACAAACTTCTATTTTTCCTTGGAATCATTTTTCAACAACAAAACATTAATGATTTATTCCATAAACTATTTGAATTATCATTTAGTTTTCTATTTTTCTTGTATTCTATAATGGTAGCTTAGAGACCGTCGATGAAATTTTTGTTATGATTTTTTGGATCCGTTTAAGAAGGTGCAAATCTAAAAGCTAATTTTATTGGACTGTCAATGACTCAACCAGTAGCAAGTTGAATACAGATTCAACTAAAGATTGAAAACAAGTCACAAATTATAGGCCTAACTAGTTGGACTAAAATCATTACATTGATAGGTTAGAAACAAATAAAAGAGTATTATATATATTTTAATGGTGGTCAACATACCATTTTGTTGATTTTTTTTTTTTACATCACCACTTATGCTATTATTGATTTTATTTTAAAATTGTTGTTTTCACAATATTAAATATGTTTAGCATTAAAAGTATAATAGTTAGAGGAGTAGTAGTAGTAATAATAATAATAATAAATGTTTCACGTAACCAACATCTACCTATTATAGTACTACTTTAAAATTAACTAATGTCAAATTAAAAATCCCAGTTAAGAGATTAAAATAGAAAGTACTGACAGAGAATGCTGCGCGCAATTAAAGTGTGCATCGTATGTTACCAAATTTTGCTCCTCTTACTCCCTTTGTATTTCTATAATACATTATCTCCATTTAAAAAAAGAATTATTATTTTTTTGTTGCACTAAATTTAACAAGGCAACTCGATCCTTTCCCATCATGAACTTATAATGGAATTAGAATTGGATTTGACATGTCAGCAAAAATAGTTACCCAACGGATTCACCCAAACACAAGAAAGAAAGAAAAAACACAATTAATGGCATATATATGGGCAAGAATAGAACAGCTAGCATAATATATTCCTCTTTTCTCTAAGCTAATATTTGAAAGACCCATAAAAAGACCAATAGCATACGAAGAGTACCGGGTGCCCTATCATTTCACGGTCACATTTCCCCACACAAATAGAAACAAGAATCCCCCAACAGCTAGAGAATATGACAACCCATCTTCTCTTTCTCCATCTATCAAAACCTGTACACCAAAACCAGCCATTAAAATTTGCCTAATCACCTACATAACCTAACCATTTTTTTCCACATCATAAGCACGATCATAATCATTAATTAATTCATATATCCCCCTCTCTCCTACCTATATTAATTATCTTTAGTAATTAATAAATCTCTTTCCCATCTTCAATTTTTTTCCCCTTTCCAGTACATTTCGACTTTATATCATTAATTTACAAACATAAATTAACTAAGACCATACTTAATAACTTAACCACACTATTTTTTTTTGGCTTCCTTCTTCTTTTCAAGCAACACTGATAATACTGTCCCCACCACCGCTGAACTTTCCTGCGGACATAGCCTGAAAAGCCGCCGCCGATGACGATGAGGAGGAGTGGCTACTACTTGCCGGCGACTGATCTTGAGACGGCGGCGGCAGATTTAACGACAACGGTAAAGGCTCAATGAGATTAGTAGGAGAAGCTTTCTCTTTCAAGTTCAAATTAGCCATCTTGGAGGACGGAGGCACTGGCAAAATAGGTGTTGGCCTAATCGGTTTGGCCAGTCTCTCGCCACTAGCAGCCGGCAACACCGCCGGAGCCAGACTCATCGGAAAACCCGAGCTAGGAAAGCCACCGTAATGTGCTGGTGGATATGCTGCTGGAGTAGGCGGTGCCATCGTTTCTTGCTGATCTTGTTCTTCTTCCATTATAGTAGAAGATTCCATCACCTAAAAGTCAACCAAAAAATTCAATCAAAATTAGATCTAATGATAAAATCATATTATTATTATTATTATTATTATTATGAAATGAAAGATGATGAAATTAAAATTACTGTATCAGTGGTGATGTCGAAAAGGCTAGATCTCCTCCGGCGACGGTTCTGATTATGGCGGCGGAGGAAGTACTTTTGAGCATGACTAGCAACCTGAGTTGGAGTGCGAGTCTTAACGAAGTTTCTAGAAATTCCTCTCCAATCTCCTTTACCCACCTTATGCAATCCCAACAGGAACAACCTGTGTTCTTCCTCAGTCCAAGGAACGCCTTTATCCACCAAACCAAACACACGACACACTCAATCTCACAAACAAACAATACTGAAGATGAAAAAGCAAAAAAAAAAAACAAAAGAAAAAACACATCATCCATTTACTGTTACTTACCTCGCTTGCGCTCCCGGGTGCGACCGGAGGCATGAACGACGTCGTCGGAGGCATAGCCGGCGTCTGCGCCGTTGGAGTCCGGCTCGTACTGGGAGAGGTTGTTCATGCTAGCACTCTTCCTGAACGATGAGTTTCCTTCCATCAATCGCACACCGAACAGCATGATGCCGTTCTCTCTCGGAGACCCTCCGCCGGAAGCGGCAGCGGCGCCGTCGGTGCATGTCCGAGAGTTGTGGCCGTTGTTGCCGCACTGTGAGCACGTGCGAGACATCTTAACAGTCCATGCAAGGAACAAAGAAGATAATAGAATATATCTATGTCTCTTCTATATATTTATAGATTAAGATATGATGAGAGAAGAAAATGGAGAGTAAAGAATAGGGAGGGGTGTTGTGTTTCTCTCTCTAATCTGATAGAGAGAAAGAGAGAGAGACTTGGGGAGGTTTGGGTGATATATAGAGAGGGGGTTTGGTTTGCTAGGGTTTAATTAACTGTGCTGTTTGTGTCTGTTTTGTGGTGGGCGCTGCCGTACGATGAAGTTACTAGGGTTACTCCTATATTACTGTGTTTGCTTACACATGCTGTCCCTGTGCGGAAGAAAAGAGAGTGTTTCTCACTTGTAATCATAGACATACATTGTTGTCGATGTAGTATTGGGTGGTGCTGTTTCGTTTGGGGGACAATATCCGTCAATCAGGACCGTCCACTTTTGTGCCATCTAATGTTGCCTCGGTAAGCACAAGACTCAAAATGTGTGTCCTACGTTTGTTTAGCGTTCAATGTCCGATAATAATTATGGACACAATTCAAATTTGGAAATGTAATATCCGTCCATTGGAAACTTGTAATTCTCTCGAATATTTTTTTATCTATTTTTAATATTGATTTTCTTGATTGAACAAAATTAACGTGTTTATTCTTAATCAAATCTTTGTTTAGATTATTCATTTTATATGATCAATGTAAACTATTAAAATAAAAATAATTAGTATTGTATTCACAAAAGAAAAACGCTGCATCCTTATTAAATAAATAACAAGTTAATATTTAATAATACCGATAATGCCACACGTTGTGATTTGTTTTTGAAGAAAATGCATGTCTACCTAGCTAGCAGAAAGGCTCTTCCAACTAACGGGCTCTTGGTTGGTGTACACTGTAGGCGGGGATCAAGTATATATCGACACTCAGGCATTTTTAACTGGAGTAGTCTTGTAATATTTTTTTATATTAAATTAAAAAAAGTACATATATTATTGTCTTGAAATATTAAAAAAATAATATTTGTCATTTAGTAATTAAAAATATTTATAGATATAAAGAGAGAGAGAGAATTTAAATTATTCTTATAAGTAAGCGCAATATATGATTGACCTAATCAAATTCAAAACTATGGGTAGGGCTACGAAAACCTAACAATCATGAAAGACTAAACTTACAAGATTAAGAAACTTAAATATCTCTGATCCGGTGATCCTTGATGTTGAAGTTGCTAGAGATATAATTGGTAGGAAATGTCAGCGTGTTAATGGAAAAGCTTTTCTAAAAGTAATAAGTTGAATATTTAATCAGCAATGCAAGCAAATAATGCTTTACAAAAATAATTATTATAAAGAAAAAGAGGGGGATGGTGGAGAATCAGGGTGTTTCTGCACCGTGAATTGGGCATATTCGCTGTTCCTTTGATAAAGATTTGGTTGTCTCGTACGTTTTAAATATTAGCATTTTGCCTTTCGTTTAATCATCCAAAGTTGTGGGTGTGGTCGTATGCTTGCATAGGATAAGCAAACATGGACCCCACTCATCACCTACACATCTTTCTATTCACCTCAGCCTTTCTATGTGGCTGTGGTAGTGACTCGTTGGTAATGGTGGGTATGTGGTTGGCACCTTTTTTAAGAGCTTTCACGTTTTCAACTTTGATAAGGTATCAATGGCGTTGAAAGTTGAGTGGTATGATTGTGTATTTCAGCATCAAAAGTCAAATAAAGTCGTCTAAACTAAGAACATGTTAAATGAATGATTGAAAGGAAAATAGTATAATTACTGTTTTATTAAAGTTGCAAACATATGTAAGAAAGTTCTTTAAATAGAACAAGTAATTTTAGATTTGTCTCATTTATTAAGTGCGCGCATCTCTAATAAGCAAGTAATTTTTTGTAAAATTATTATTTTTATACTTTCTTTTTGGAAGGTTCACGTAGCGTTTAAACCGTTAAACAAAACTGCTACAAAGAACGCATTTAGGGTATGAAAACAAATCGGGAAAAAAAAATATTAACAACTTGGAGCGATACCTTTCAGTTTTTTTTAAAATTTTTTTGCATGCATATGATAAAGATAAAAATATTTATATAATATTATATACGATATTAGTTTTAAATTATTTAAATAATAAAACTGTTAAGAAAAACGTGCAGCAACATCTGGAGCTTATTTGGAGGATCGAAAATTTCATGAAAGCTTGATTAATATTATAGTTTGCTACTATCAATTTTTGTGTCTTAAAGTGCGTCTTTTTTTGTCATAACTTGAAAGTAGTTGAGGTGGTGCTGTTAGCCTGGGAGAAGAATGGCTTTCAAATCCAATTCAATGTCACTTAATTAATTAGGAGTTGATTAAAATAATTAAAATGCCTATCAGTATATAGTCAGTTGCTTAGTTCCTAAAATGCTTTCATAATAACTACGATAACTTTTTTTTGGTCAATTTGGTATCCCTCGAAAGTGTTTTAAAGATTGTGCCAGATTAAAGAATTCAAATTTATGTATGTCAATAGTGTTGATTCAATTCACCGAGTCAACCTTTTTCTCTTACACAATTAGGACTTAATTAATTCGATCTGAAAGCAATTTACTAATTAGTACTTAACAGATATCTAACGCTCTCATAATATTTTTCTTGAGATTGGTAGCTAATTTGCCCTAACATTACTTTATGGACAAATTTTTTCCTAATCTGAATTTTTGTTCAAAAAATATCTATGAACAGTCTTTTTTTCCCACAGTTTTATGAGACTGTTTGATTGTTGCTTTGCATATTATCAATATAAAAGGACAAACATTCAATTATTTGTTATCAGAAAATTTTTATTTATACAAAAAAGGTGAGACAATTTCATGATCTCTTTTGATTTTGGGTGACTTTTCTGCTATATATACGTATAATGATAATAATATAATACATGATTAGATAATAATAGTAATTAAAAATGAAATGCTTTGGTGGGTTACTTGGGGAGAATGTTTATGGAGCACGTGTTTCATTATCTGAGAGGAGTTAAAAACTTGAAATGAAAGTGAATGAATGTAGCGGTCCACAAAGACAGAGTTATTTTGTTTGTTTGCATGTGTGCCGTGTAATGGTGTCTGTTGCATGATGTTGGGCCTCATTCTATGCCAACATGGTTTTTTATCGTACATTGTTAAACTGCTTTGGTACCACCGCACAAACCTGTGGCCGCCAATGTTTTTGGTTCACCAGCATTGTCCATAAGGGTGCCTATTATCAACATTGTCAAAAAGTTCTCCTCGTTTTCACTATTTTTATTTTATATACTTTATGGTTGCATCATAAAAGAAAACTAATTAAGACCTAACTTAACAAGGACTCTGCCAATCAATATGTTAAGTGTTTGAGTTCCGCTCTTTCTCAATTTGATGTTTTTTATGTAAATATTTCTGACCCTTTTTAAGTTTTTCAAAAAATCATATTCAAATTATTTTTGAGTTATGATATAATATTTTTTAATCACAGAAAAATCAAAATACGTCAGTTTAATTATTTGAATGAAGCGTCACTGTGAAAATTAAAATTTGAAAACAAATTATTTGACAGTTAAAAAATTAATTATCGTTCTTTTCGATAAAAAAAATCAATGAAAAGAATAATTTTGATTAATTTATGTACACAAAATCAATGTTATTAAAATTAATTTTAGTCAACTTAGTAAACTTCTAAGATTAATATGAAAGACTCAATGATAAATTTTATTCGATAATTTGTATAGAAATTTGATGGATGAAATTTTTACACCTAATTCCTTACCAAACTAGCCACAAGAGTTGAGATTCATATGCAAATTAAAAGGATGAACAATAAATGGCTTTAATCTAATAGGTATTTTTTTTTAAATCTCTTATAAAATATGTCAAATTGCTTTTAGGTGCACTTTAACATTTTTTCGTCTTTTCAACAACCTCATTACCCTATTTTAATAAATAATTTGACGACACAAGTGCAGTCTAAAATAAGCAATATGACATTCGAATTAGCGTAAACACGACTTGAGCGTAGTGAGTTTTAGGGTGTTCTTTCTCTTTTTTGTTTATTTTTTGTTCTTTTGCCATTTTTATAGTGCATTTTGGATGCTATTTATACAATATGCTCCTCACAGAAGTGAATTTGGTTGGGTTTTAAAAAAAAATCTCTGACCTTAATCAACCCAACTTACACATAGCAAATAGGATCGTACAGAATGCGAATTTATTATACAAACTTATTCAACTATAAAAGCAAATTTTCAATTTTTTTTAACATATGACTAGGGGTAAATTAAATAAATATTTCAAGTGTCAAACGCAAACCTAACAAATAACATATCATTAATTATGACCTAAAAATAGTTAATGCCTCAAATGAATTTAAAACAATTACATAGTTAAACGAGGCACGGTTGGAAAATATAATCTCTAATAATTAAAACACAAACAAATAAAACAGTGATTATGAACCAAAACCTTATTTCATCTTAATAAGTTGGGATGATTGTTGAAATTTTGAAATTGAGTACTTTTGTGCAGTTTTGAAGACTGAAGGGTCAAGGTTTAGATAGTTGCTAGGTGAGCGCCTTCACACAAAGCTTGCTCGCTTCCAAGCTTTCAACCCTAATGATAACCCTTTTAAGGAGAAGAAAACCCACTTGAGCATTCTTCGTATTTTATAATTACTTTTGGTTCTATCTTTGTATTTGTGGGTTGAGCCCAGTTTTTCTGGGTTGAGAGTCTTACAACCCACTATCTATCTTACTCCACTTTGATTGTTATTTGTTCTAGAATTATAAGTTGTAATTGAGGTTTAGTCTATTGTTTTCTTTAAAGGAAAATAGTTTTATAAAATAATATTTTTAAGTAATGTTAATATTTATAAAATCATTAATTATTTTTTTAAAGAATAAAGATAATGTTTAATTAATTTAATAATTAATAGTTAACCATATTTTTATGTTTGAATGGGCCTAAAGCCCAAAACTAGAGTGCGAAGAAAAGAAACCTCTTGAAAGTCTTCCCTAAAATAAGGAGACAAATGTTGGACCCAAAAAAATAAAGGAGCACAAGGGAAAGGAATATAACTATACCAAGAATATGGATCCAAAACAACCAAACACTACAAAGAATAAAAACCTAAGCGAATCCTTTTTTTTTTTTTTTTTTTGGGGTAAGATGAAAATCCGTAACACTGTGTTACCTTTTTTAAGAAAAATTAGAAAATATTTGTAACTCGGATAAAAAAGAAAGGAGAACAACAGTTTCAATCAAAAAGATTTTAACATCATTAAACCCTAAACCCTAAAAATAACATTACTCAGTAAAGAAACAGATAGATAGCAATAATAATAATAATAAAAAAAACACGCGAGTGCATAGTAACTGTGCGTACCTTGTCTTCCTCATCTAGAAAAGTCCACGTCATCCATCCCATCGAGCTCCAAAGGCACCACTGATAACAAACTTTCATGGAAGCGGGAACTGCTCTCTGTGTCCCACTCAACACTCACATTCTTGTTATTCCATTTCGCTCTGCCAATTCGAATTCGTTTTTCCATTTCCAACCTCGATTCACTCTTTCATCTGCTTCTTCCTTTTCCACTTACAGTTACAGAGGCCCCAAACCAAAACGCGACTTCCTCGCCGATTGGGTCTCCCAAAACGACGACGCCGTTCGCACCCTCCCCATCTACGTCGGCTCCGCCTCCCTCTTCGCCGTCCTCTTCAACCGCGCCCTGTCCGGTATCGCCCCCGTCGCCGACGCCGGCAGGCACTCTTCTTTCTATGCTTAGCTTCGTTAATTGTCATGTTCGAGTAATAATAATAATAAAAAAACCTATCTAACTGAATTACAACTGGAATTATTTATATCTGCAATAATTGTTGTACCTCTTTTTGCAGTTCACAGTCTAGAGCTGACCTGTTGACTTTAGGATTGGCCGTTACCAATATTTTGACTGGTCTTGTTTGGCTGTCCATAAGACCTAAATCTATAACTGTGGTAAGCTCTTTGCATTGCTCTTTTTCGTCGTTTTGAATCTGATTGTTGTTCTGCCTTCAGAATTCGTTTTTAATAGACATGTTTTTTGGGTCTAGGTTAATCCTCAAGGAGTTGAATGCAAGAGATTGTGCAGTACCCTCCCTGATGTTGCAAATAGTGAGTTGCTCTGGTAGGTGCATTTGGGTAAAATAACTTAATTAAGTGCTTATATTATAAGTTTTATTACAAAATTTAGAAAAACGTAAAAAGAACCTTACCATCGTGATTTTCAACGCGTAAATTAAAAAAAAAAACTATTTATTGATTCTTTAACCAGCGTCCTTCACTGATTAGCAAGACCCTAAAGTTTATTGAAGTAAGATAAAAAGGAGTTTATAGGTAACTCATACAATACTTTGATAAGCTCAAAAAAACTGTGTGTAAACTCTCGGCACTTGTTTGCTTCATTGGCTTTTCCCCGCTTGGTCAGTGGCTTTCGGTTTCCTGTACAGAAGTTAAAGATTAAAAATTTGGATCATGATTATGGCTTCCGTTCATTGTTATCAGATAGTCAAATATGCATCATCTGAAATAAGAAAATAGATGTTGAGGTTTGTTCTTATGCTGTTAATAAAAGAGATATGATTGCAGTGTAACAGGAAAAATACATGTTTTGTGATAAGCAAGTATGGAAGTTACTGATTTTTTAAATAATTAGTTTTTTCCGCTGGTTTATTGATAGCACCTTTGATATTCTGTCTCAGGGCATGGGAGTCTCTATCAGATGTCACTTGCTGTCGTTCACTTGTTATTGTTTATGAGAGCAGTTGTGTACTCCAAATTGGTTATGCTGCAGAATCTTCTCCTGGGGATGGTGACGCTGTAAGTGTGGACGTGGATAAATTGATGCAAGGATCACTATATAAGGATGTAATGAAATCTGGAGCTCGTAAGTTTCTAACCATATATGTCAACTATCTATCACCGTTGCTGCTACTTCAGTACTGTGCTTTTCATGAAGATGTGCTCTGATATTGATTAAAGCATCCTGAATCTTTTACACTTGTTCAGAGAGTTACCTGGCTAATCTATCTCTTTATCCTGGGAAATCTGAGCTGCCATTTCTACCTTCAAATACTCAGGTATCGTGTGTCTTTGTGTTGAAGCTGTCCACTTAACTAATGACATATGTCTATGCATTTCATCATTACTGTGTGTTCTAATTAATTGTTGAAGCATGTCTGAATTCCCTAGAGATAAAACATTCCACAAAATTCCATCAGTAACTAATCTGTTCTCTTAGGCTATGAGTGTATTGATGGAAAAGGATGGAATGAAATGACATTAGTTGTCACTGTTTTAAGTATTTAAAATAGGTGAAAATTGTTGGAATCTACTCCATCCAACTCCCCCCCCCCCCCCTCCCCCTGTGGGAGTCAAGCAGGAATCAACTTTTTCCTTACAATTCCGTTCTGTTTATAAACCCAGAAACAGAACCAGAGATTTCAAATAGAGAGTTGAGCAAAATAAAGAAGAGAGAAATTGCAATATACTCTTAACATCCTAATTAATGTATGTATTTGTGACTACTCTAACTGCTTTGTCTCCACATCTTTCATTCTTGTGTCTTGGCTCCTATAACATCCATTTCCTAAACAACAGAATCGAAATTCTCCTCCATTCCACCATAAAACATCCAAAACAATGGTATGGTAATTTTATTCCATCCCATTCCATTTCTTCTAATTTCACCCATTATTAAATATCCTAACATAGCTATTGGATTACAAGAAAAATTATATGATGGATCATTTATCTGAGGCTTATTATATGGTGTATAGTAATGTGGTGACCTTCAGGCCAGTGATCTTGCATCTTTTTATGTTTTGTTAACGGATACAAGTTTCATTTGTGGCAGAAAAATTACCACGCATATTTTTGGCAACCCAAATTATTTGGCTGACATACATGTAAAAGATCATATAATGCGTTAATCATGTTCAAATGATATAGAGTGGAATTATGAGAAAAAAGAAGTTGGGAAAAAGAAACTGTAAAATCTGTTAGGTGTTTCCACTCATCATTCCCTTTCCTCGAACTTAGAGAAGTTACTCTGTATTTCTTGTGATTTGAATTTTTTTTTTTGTTTATATAGTCTTCTGTCTTTTCATTTTCCTTTTTTTTTGGAGGAGGTTGTGTTTCCAGCTTCTCTTGGGGCTGCATCCTTGACCTCCTTTGTGATCAATGACTTAGTTGAAGATTACAAAATTGTCTATTATCTAATAACATAATTTATTCATACAATTTTTATTTTGCTAGGCAGTAATTTTACAACCACTTGGAGATAAAGGGATTGCAATTATTGGGGGCGACACAATACGAGGTTTCACTGCTTCTGATCAGGTAAATTTCAGCCTTCAATTTTATCATTTTTTTATTTCTAATGTTACATCTGAATTTGTCGAAATCCTTGGATTCTATACAGCATGCGGAAATTAGGTTAGTTTCCTTTGTTTCCTAAAGCATCACTTCAACCCCTATTTAACACGTCATGGAACCAAAAAAGGGAAAAAAAACCGCTATTAAAATGTCGAATATCAGTTTCTGTATTTCAGGCATGACAATAGTACCAGTACATTTTGTATATCCTGGAAATTATTTCCAATTTCAAAACTCAATGAGATGCATATATCTGTGGGTTAGTGGTATAAATATTGAAATGACTACAGGCATGGATTACATATATTGGAGAGAAGCTGGATTCTACCCTTGCAAAATATGTGAAACAACATCCTCTGATTTCACAAGATTAAGTTTCAAAGGTTTGCGAGGTAGCCTATCGTGTTTGTTTTTACCCGATTTTAATGGAAATAAATCCTACTAGTTTCCGCCGAGAGTTCTGGCAGAGAGGTAAATAGTTGATCCCATGTACACGTTATCCATCTCAAGGCAACGCTCAAATTATTAGTCTTAATAACTTATTTTATACTTCAGCGTATTTTGTTAGCAGCATTTAGTGGTTGATTTTGCTCTTTCAGTTCTGATATTTCCATTTGTAAGTTGTAAACCCCCGCCCCTCTTCAACAGAAAAAAAAAATCCATTTAATAATGCTTTTAGCACCTGCACGAACATACAAGACCAGAGTCCAGAGGTCACGTAATCACGACGTCATTCCTAAACATCTATTTACGTTGTGCCCTTCTCGCGGCACAAAATTAATTTGGTAGAGGACGTATTCTGTTAGCTGTTTTTCTATTTATAGCTTGCAGTTGCATAGAATAAATTGACATGCAGTTTACCATAGCTGAAAATTGAGTTGAAATACGTTTGATTGGTTACTATCTACGACTTGCCGGCTAGTAAAATAGGGGGCATAAATTATTGTAATGAGCTCGTGGAATAATAGAGGGCCCAAATTAATGTAATAAACCAAGCCCCACCTTTTCTTGGGCAATTAAAATTTATCAAGAGGGCGCCAAGGGAGCTACTCCATTGAACAAGTACGGTACGAGAACGAAGTTCAAACTTGTGTGATTATATTTCCTGTTCTAAATTGCTAAAGGCATAACAAGTAAGTTTGATATATCTAGGCTTTGTAGGCATGAATAATATTTAGCCCACTGGATGCTATATAGTTAACTAAAAAAATGGTAGGGAATTCATTCATATTGCTGCAAATATACATCTGTATGAGTCTGTTTCATATCTATAAAATCATATAAAAAAAATACGAAAAACAAAAATTTCTGTAACAGAAAGCCCCCCCAAAAAAGAATGAATGCCTAACAAGTATGATCATCGCGCTTTACATGGGTACCCAGCTACCAAGATGTTAGCACCCTGATTAGTATCCATTATAGAAAAGACCTTTCCCAGGGCATCAACCCAGTTGTAGGATCAGCAAAATAAGACAGAAGGAAGTCCTTCAGGCCAGTATCCCAAACCTCACAAAACTGTAGCCGCCAGTTAGGTGGTTCAATGGCTTCTGTTCCTAGTCCCGGTGCTCTATCCTTTGATCCTTTGTTCTGGTCCTCCTGCCAGTCCACAACATAGGTAGCAACCCTTCTGAAGAACTTGGCTTTAAAGGTTTCCCATACCTGGTACTTGTAGTGGTTTATTATAGCAGTACCTTCAGGCATGTTGCGGTACCTGAACCCCTCTCTGAGCTGAAAATGATGCACCACATTCAGGAGACTAATATCAAGCAAATCCGGCCGCACAATGGATTTGTGCCGCTCGGGGCTCTGAAGCCGGCACGTGTACCCTACGGTAACCCCTTGTTTAGGGGGAGAGTTCAATCCAGAAGGCCCAAAGCTATGACAAGTTGTTCTTATCTCTGCAATGGATTTTGAAGATGAGAAATTGGCAACCACCGATCTCAGAGAATTCTCACCAGGAACACCTACCCCCAGTTGTTGATGGAACTCATTGGGGAAGTAGAAGAACTCATCAACATCAAAGAACCCCACCCACTTGCACTCCTCCCTAGCCCTCAAAGCACAGTGGGAAAACCCTGCTTCTTGAGTCTTAATCCAAGGCCAGGTCTGTCTACTGACATTAAATCCTTGAAGATCAAGCTCCTCAACAACCTTCTCAATATCATCATCACTGTTGTTATCATAGATAAACCAACGCTCCACTCCAAGCCAAGCATGGTACATTACCCACTCCCTAAGCGCAGAAGCTTGGTTCCAAACCATAGTACACACGCACAACTCATACTTCCTTCTATTCCTCTTCTGAACTCTAGCACCACCAGAGCTACTACTTCTACTAGTGCCACCAACCCTAGCCACAGAAGGCACAAGAGCACGAACCGGATGCCTCACATTGCCACTCAAATAACTCACCGTGACCCGAACCCCTCGAGCCTTACCCGGGTTGTTCTTTATGCTCTGCGGCAACATACACCTCACAACTTCCTGAGCCATCGAAACCGCTCTCGTGGTGAGCAAAAGAGCACCGTCTTTGTGAAAACTCTTCAGGCCGAAATGGCACCGGATCCGGGTCGGATCCGATATCTTGTGCGGTCGCAGATTCAGCCCCTTCACGAACACCACAACGGTGTCTCCATCCAGGGTCGCCTCATACGCCACCCTATCCCAAGACTGAGCCGTTTGGTTCATCAAAAAAGTCAAACGCCGGCGACCCACCTCGCCGCGCCGCCGCAAATCGACGGCTTGGGAGTCGCCGGAGGTGGAGGAGTTCGTCCGGTGAAATGGGCACCTAACGATGGATCGAGATTCGTCGTACCGGTCCACGGACATAACAGGTCGAACCTGAACATCGAGGACCGGTTCGGGTGAACGGAGAGAGGAACCGTTGGGGAGGAGCGTGTAGTACACGCACTCTAGTTCGCGAAGTTGGGCATGCTGTTGGTGGGTTAGGATGAGAAGGTGGTGGTCGGGGAAGAGGATACGGTGTTGGAGGGTGAAGGAAGAGGTGGGTTGCGGAGGGTCAATAATAGAGTGGCTTGCGGAAGAGTAGAGGAGTGACACGGTGGAGGCTGTTAGAGGGGGTTTGAAGGTGGAATTAGTGAAAAAGGAGAAGAAGAAACGATGGTGTGAGGACAAGAAGAGGAGGAAGATTAAGAAGGAAAAGCAAAGGAAGAATGATCTTGATGAGATATGAAGGTGCCTTCCCACTGCACGTTTCCTCTTCCGCCGTTGCTCTGTATCCATTTTGCTTTCTCCGTTTGGTTTTTTCAATTCTTATTTGAATCGGTGGATGAAAGAAGAAGAATATGATAATGGAAGAAGTTGGTGTTGGAGACGAAGAAATAATGTGAAGAGAGAGTTGAAGGAGGCTGGATTTAGAAATTTGACGCGGAAGGATTGTGTCGTCAAAGAGGAATGAAAAGAAAGAGGTGTGAAGCTTCTCTCTCTGATGGAATAATGTTTAATTAGTGAGTTAAAAGGTCCAAAACTACTGACCTGAGATTCTGGCTGGTCTGATCTTGGACCGTGGTGAGAATACTGGATTGGATTACTCTTCAGAATCATTTTATTACTCTTTATTCTTATCAATTTTTTTAATTAATTTATGTTAACAATATATATTTTTATTTTATAAACATTTTACAAAATAAACAATTATTAAAAAGTAAATAAAAAATATAACAAAACTCTATTCATAGTTATTGAAGTGTTTTTGCATTTACTATTATCAGTTACGCTCATTATAGCGCGTGAAGCGAATGCCGTACTTTCTGCTCGTTATTTTTTACACACATACTCACTCATATATGTTGTGTATTATTAATATGATATGGGTACCCAAGACAAGAAAAACAATACTAATTTATGGCCAACAATGAAGAGAATCATGAAAAGAGATTGACGGATGTGCCAATAGAAAAGAAAGGGAGATTTGGGAGATAAGGGTTGCTTCCGTGTGAGAAATAATCATTTGATTGGAGGTCACGTAACTTCAAATAAATTAGTAAACTATATCCATTATAAATGTATTTGAATTAGATTAAAAGATTAAATTTGAAATTATAAATCACGTACTATGTATGTCAATTTTTAAGAGAAATTTAATTAATTTTAGGAAAGTATATTTAAATAATGTTGAAAAAATGACTATTTGCAACCTAAGACCTTTTCTCACTGAGTTTAAAGTAAATAATTGTTTCAAAGCTAAAGAAATGACAATTTTATCTATTTTCCTAAAAAAAATTGGTAAACTGTTTTTTTCTTAAATTTACTTTATTTGGTTTTAAAATTTGTAAAATAAGGAAGATGAAATGTTTTTTCATTTTCTTTGGAAGTTATAAGACCATTTTTTTTGTCAACAAGTAAACACCCTTCAATCAAGTGCTTGACCAGGGTGATGCAGTGTGATCAAGCGCGTAAGGCGAAATTTTCTGTTACGGGTCACTCTAACATACACGTATTCTAAATCAGTTACGGATCTTATTATTTTAGTATTTCATGTCTAAATCAATTGAAGTTGGAGATAAGAATAATAATATTTTTACCACCTGTAAAAAAAAGCATAAAATTGTAGTAGATAAAATAGAGATGAAAAGTAAAGAAAATATATTAAAAAAAAGAAGATAATATAAATGTAAACAAAATGTAGCTTGATCATCATTATTATTTTCATTAATAAAAAAAACTAGATATTATTTTCAATGTAGTTTTTGTTGAAATATTAGCCGTCGTATAAAATCATTGAAAGGGGTTGTAATGCAAGGTCGTATATAAAATTTCAGGGGATATTATTTAATTACAATAATTTTTTTCTAATTTTTTATGTTTACAGTTTTGCAAAAAAAAAAAAATCTTAATTTTCATAAAAAATATTAATTAACTTCCTATTATGCTCTTATTATATTAATTAATATTTATCTTTTATTTAACAAATATCAATTATTTAAAATATAATATAAAAATTAATTATTCATTAAGTGTATAATACAATAATTAAAAATAAAAAATTACTAAATTGTCAAAAAAAAATAGAGTAAAAAAATCCGTACAGAAAATTATTTATTTACAAACTTTATTTATGAAAAAAAAACCCAATTATTCGACATAAAATCCCTTCATAATTGTTGACGGACTTGTTGATTCTTTGCAAACAAATATTGATCAATGTAGTGGATTTAAACAAGACAATGGCTCCTCATCCAATTAAAACAGGATTTGGCTTTAAAGTTTCCCTTCACAGATGCAAATTCGTTTTAATAAATTTTGATTAATATTTTAAATTTCACACTTAATTAATGGATTAAGGTGGCTATTGGCATGCCTAATTTTTTCACCAATTGCTTCTTTTTAATTTCTTTAAAGACAAGACAGACAAAAAATTATCATAATTTGGATACTTGATCCTCTTTACTCACTAACAAAATGTAACCCAAGATAAACAAATTAAACAGAACATTCAGGGTCTACTCTTGTCTACCAAAACAATTACATGCACTAATTTTTTTTATGGTACAGTATATGCACTATTATACTTGGAACTATGGCCAACTTGTTCAAATAAATACCCAAAAATAGGTGGCTTATGTCCTTTCCAGCCAATTATGACTTGGTAGCGCCGTTTATATATGACATGATAATTTTGTCTTTTTTTTATTCAACCAACAAGATTACCATTTGCTGTTGGTAATACCATTTTTAAGAATGCAACGATATTGAAAGGACAACACAATTGGGACAAGTTTTCCTTAGCTTTTGTTTCTTCTTTCTCAGTTTCCCTGCTAGGGATATTGTCCACATGCCAGAATCACTGATTATTTTCTCTTTCCACTGCCACATAAGGGTTAGAATTATGATAGATTCTCTAAAATGGATAAAGCCTCTGGCAAATTCTTTCCTTTATTTTGAGGTAACGCCAATTTTTTGTCCCTAAGTATATATAAGAACATGATCAATCAATCTCAATTTTCCTGTTAAAATCTCGAGAAATCAGGTTAAGAGTTAACGATATTAATTAAAATAGTTAGTCAATAGTTGTGAGATAGTTACTGTCTCACTTGCATATAAAATCATGTAATTATCCTGATGTACATGTTTTTAATGAATTCAGCTTATGATTTTCTCTCTCAACTCTTCTATTTATCGATTATAAACCATGATTTCTAATATCAAAGCAATGACTTTTGTCTTTCTCCACTGCAAAGATATTTTGGAAGTCATTTTTGCCAAACTTCATTTGATTTAGACGAGAGTCGTAAATGTGTAGGACTCTGCACTTCAGTTGTTATTATGTTTTTATATTGTTTAGGAAAAAGAGGTGGGAAGGAGATGACACCTTCAATTTTACTACTAGACAAGGCACCATTATCAGACAATTACTGCATAACCTGAATTGCAATTTGATTTACCCCATTGCAGTTATTTAATTAGCCTCTAGCTACTAAAAGATTTTTTTAGGGAGGGATATTCACTAAGAAACATGACTCAAATTTTGATACATCGTTATTCTTTTTTTTTTAAATCACTTAATTTACTTATATTTTTATTTGTTTGAAAATATTGTATAATTCATCCTTAACTAAAAATATAAATTAACTATGCATCCTCCAGCCTGTGAGAAAGCTATTAGAGATTATAGTTTTTTAAGATTATTAGATACATGTTTATAATCGATGAAATTAATTGAAATAGTGATTAGTTACAAGTTAATTACTTTCTCACTTGTATATGAATCGCTTATAGTTAGCTTGGTATACACATCTCTTCTCATTTTAATGAATTCAGCGTCTAATTTTCCTTTTCAATTCTTCCAAAAAATTTTTCTCATCTAACTGATGTATACAACCAACTATTTTATATGTGGTTGCAATTTCTCTTCCGCTAAGGAGTTGCATTTGACCTTCCAATATGTTAATACGCTGTTACTATTATGGTATAAAAAATAATGATCTTTATTACCTTTGTCGAAATTGGTCTAAATAGCGTACTATTTTTGTAAAGACAAAGTTACGTTGAAAGAATTGGACATATGGGTGCCTAACTTGTAGAAACATGTAATGTCACATTAAGTGAATTGGAATGAGTTATTAATTAGCATTAGTGGTATGATTATGACCAAGCAAAAAATGGTTTTGTAGCTGATGATGCTTTTGTTTTGCTACTTTTGAAGATAGAACCGGAAAATCAAAGGAAACTAGGAATGTCATGTGGCAACTTCTGTTTTATACTACGAAAAACGCATGTTGTGCCCATGTGCTCTGTCTATATATATATATATATAAATAGTGATGCATTTCGCCATAAAATTGTCTACTTAGAATTCAGATTTTCATGTTAATTACTTCCATCTTATTTACTTGTGACATAGTTTCATATTTAACCTTAATATCTGTCATCATAATCTGATGAATTGCTGTCAGATCCACCGTAGTCATAAAAGACTAATGTATGTTAAATTACAGTATGGATTCCTGTCTCATCTTTCTCTTTTTCTTTTTAAAATTTATAACAAAAAAATCTAATGATTTCGTAGAGGATTTAAAAACATAATACATAATAATTATCATTATTTTAAGAAATAATAATAGATTTTTTCAAGTTATTATTTAAAAAACATTAAGTAAATATTTAATTAAATTGTATAATTAAATATATGGAAGAAACTGTGACTGTAATCAATTACGACGACTTCCAAGCCAAGGCATGGCTAACTTTTAGCCGCAGATTTCTATGATATGAATGTAGATTAACATTGAAGTTTTTTTATATATAATTTGGAGATAAATTTTAAAGTATTTAAAAGAATATACGAAATATGAACTCATTGATTAATTGATAGATACTAAATAATAAAAAAAATAAAAGAAGGGTTTGGGAGGAGGGGATGGGAATTAACAATAAATTCCAAATGAAGATACAAAAACCTTATCATTATCACGAAAGTAGAAGAAGAAACGCACTAGGTGTTCTCAGCCGTGGCAAATTTTTAGTGTGATCCACTTTAATTGAACTTGCTTTACGAAAAGACCTTTGCTTTTGTTTTCTTGAGTTAGATGGGCTTTTGCTTTTCTACTTTGTTGGTTTCAGCAACCAAATTTTTTGAGTGTGGTTGAGAAAAGGGATAGGTGCATGGCTTCGAATTAATAAAAAGGATATGACATAATTTCCAAATATTATCATATATTTATCATTGCCACCAAGAAGAAAAAAAGAGTTTCATGAGAAGAGGAAAACATTGATTGAGACATCAACTCTAGAAGAATGATGAACGGACCAAGAGACAGTGAAAGAAATGACCCCAGATTCTCCAGTATATGTGCACTCACCAAAGGGTCTATAGATAATGACAGATATCAATTTCAAAAAAGGGTCATCGTCAAGACTCGAGAAAGAAGACAATTATAACAGTAACAATAACATTAACATTAACAATGTACTTAAAAAGAAATTCATAATTAACGTATTTGGCGTATTGTTTGGCCTTATTAGCAACCAATATTCAAACCTTTTGACCCTAAGAAGGGGT